TTTGCGAGTTCGATCTCGGATGACGATCAGATTCGTGCACTGAAAGGCTCTGTTTGTGACCGACCGACGGTTTTCTTGCTTGCCCCTCATTCCACGTCGCTGAAGCTTCTGACTAACTCCTGACCTGGTCCGCTGTTTCTGCAGAACGGTATCGTAAACGTAAACGCCCGTGACAAGACGACCGGCAAGGAGCAGGTGCGTTGTCTTGGAGCCGTATTGTCCCCCTTCTCCCATTTTAAATAGACGCTGACACACTCATAAGAACTTAGAAACTGCTTGGTTTACCCGGATGAGAAGGTTCCGCTTGGGGCACCGTTCGTCAAATCAGCGCACCTGTAAGGATGTTTGTAAGGCGTACGACTATGAGCGAATGTGAAACAGATCCATACGGGTGAGTCGTAGCAAGTTTTCCGGTGAGCCCGTGCTTTACCTGTTGCCAGGACAACAATCGGTCGTTCTTCGTAGAACGCAAAGTGACTTCATCAGGAAGTTGCAAATTCACTTCGTGACGCTTCGTTTCGATTCAACCTTATCAAACTGAACAGTGCAACGGCCTGAGTCGATTACTTTTTCTTGGGCCACACAGGTCGAAAAGCAGGTCTTTGTTGCTCAAGCAATGTCGGTTCTTCTCCCTTCCGGTTCGACTCGTCCTCAATTCAGTCCGCTCAATTTTCTGCTTAGGCGGAATGCAAATAGGCAGAGGGGAGTTTGAAAGGCTATTTTGCTACTCTAGTGATTGTTTACGGCTGGCTGAAAACAATCTGCGTCTTCTTTTCTACTCGGGCGACCGCCCAGAAATAGCCAGGCCTACGGAGTCGCCTTTTTTGAAGCACACAGTAGTCTGAACGTCGGGGAGTGGGCCTGGCGGTTTTGCAGACTATCACAATCCAGTCCTCGGGGGGCCTCACTCAGGCAGAGATTGACCGTATGGTTTCCGATGCCGAGGAATTCGCGGCGCGGGACCAGGAGCGGCGGAAAGTCACCGAGGCCAGGAACGAGGCCGACTCGCTGGTATACAGCTCCGAGCGCGCGCTCGACGAGCATAAAGCAAACCTTTCGACGGTGAGAGCCGCCAACCGTTACCGTCCACCAAAACCGTTACCGTTTGCTTGCAGCACATTACCATCCGCTCCTCAGGCGGGCTGTCTCAGGCCGACATTGAGCAGATGGTTCGCGACGCCGAGTCGTTTGCCGACAAGGATAAGGAGCGTCGGGCGCTGATAGATCTCAGGAATGAGGCCGATGGGCTCGTGTATTCGTCCGAGAAGAATCTAGAGACGCACGGAGCAAACATCTCCCAGGTAAGGGGGCCCGAAGCAGGCGAAAGTCTGCCTTGCGCGGGGCTGTGAACTACAGCCGAGCTGACAGCGCCAGTCCTTGTCCTCTTTTTCACAGCCCAAAATGGATGATTTCGAAGGATCCGAACCTAATTATTTAAGAACGGGGCTCGACAGATTTAGGGTTTTAGGGTTTTAGGGTTTTAGGGTGATTTTTGGCTCCGAAGCTGGAAGGCTTGGGTGACGAGATTGGTTCGAGCTCCTCGTCCTGCCCTGGCCTCTCCCTATGTTTAACATGCCAGAGGGTTTATGACCGGAGTAAGTCAAGCTGCCTGCACCTTTCCGGACTCCTCGGCACAGGTATAAAGTCTGTCTGGCGCAGCTCGTCTCATTGAAATCGTTCCGGGTTTGACCTGACATTCTCTGTTAGGTGCTTCCCAATGCAAGGTCTTCTTTATCTTTGACTTTTGATGTTCTGCGTAACCTTGGCCTTAATCCTTGCTTTGACGATCTTCCTTTCGCCTAACTTGCTGAACTTTGGGCCAAGATCAAGGGCGCGATGGAAGCCGTCCGAAGCCCCTTGACCAAAGAAAGCGCGGGCTAATTTCTTCTGAGGAAATGTTTTTATCCTTTGACAGTTTTTATTTCTCACACTTTGCAGGATTTGTAGACGAGACAGAAGTCAGCCATTGAGGCCGTCTGAAGCGCCTGATTAGCGCGACGCAGACGGACTTGTTCACCAGAGGACTATGGGTGTTCCGACATGTCCCTTTGCATGATGTGCAGGTCGTAGACAAGATCAAGTCAGGCACCGAGACCGATCGAAGCACCCTGACGAGCGAAAAAGCAGACGGAGTAATTCACCAGAGGTTTTTGCGTATGCTGACAAGATCCCCTTCTGCATGGTTTGCAGGAGTCATAGACGATACCAAGTCAGCGATGGAGGCCCACCGGCCCCCCTGACTAGCTAAAATGCGGACAGAAACTTTTCAGATTCTCTTTCTGACGGAGTACTTTTTGCACGACTTGCAGGAGCTCGTAGATGAGATCAAGTCAGCGATCGAGGCCCTCCGATCCACCCTGACCAGCGAAAACGCGGACGACATCCGGTCGAAGGTGGAGGAGCTGCAGAAGGCCATCATGAAGATCGGGACGGAGCTGGCCAAGAAGGCTGGTGGCGGCGGCGGCTCAGACGGGGGTGCCGCACAAGAGCCGGAAGTAAAGGAGGCCGAATACGAGGAGCCCAAAAACAACGACAAGAAGTAGGGAGCGTCGGAATAGATATTGTCAATACGTGATGATGACTTAGGCAGAGGTGCAGGGGACTATGCAAGCTGCCGTCGGAGGGTCGGGTTAATATGTCAATGTCAGACTGAGACTGACCCGCTTAAGCATATAACTAAGAAGTGCGTCCGACCATTGAGTCATGTTAGATAAATCTGGTGAATCAACATATGATGTCCGACCGCTTTCCGGACTCGACGTAGTTCTCTTTCGCATGCATGCATTCGGCACAACCTCAATGGCCATATGCAACCGAAATTATCACGCATGCACAAGCTAGTAAACACATGCAGGACAGCTGATGGGCTTATCGGGTCCGCCCAGGTACGGGCCTTCTCCGGTGGTGTATTGAACTGGCAAATGTCCGATCGGTCCGCGGGGTAAGACTACACATTGAACTGGCAAATGTCCGATCGGCCCGCGGGGTAAGACTACACAATTTCCGGCGGAACATAAGAATCTGACACTCGCATTATGTGCCATATGGCATGCCGCCGGTTGGTCGGATCTGGACATTATATAATCAACTTAGCGGATCGAGACTCTAGTTATTGATGATATCGGCCTTCGCATACATGGTAATGATGAGTACTTTCAACATGCTATTTGTTTGCATGGCATTCAAGTTTTCAAATTGTGGATATATAACTGTGAGTGCACCATCAGCCTGGCATTAAAAAACACGAAGCTGACGTGTCCTGAATGAACGACTGACAATCCGAACCGCATCTTGCTGTTGACGATTTGCATGACGCCAACGTAGATCGGGCCGCTGTCCTAGTACAGGCTTGCTTCTGATAAAGACGGCTCAGTTTTTGCAGAACCACGAAACGGCTCTGAGAAAACCTATTTGACTGTATGGTCAACAGCCAATGACGAATCGTCAAGGTATTCGTGACTCCACGTGACCAAATTGCGATGGTGGCCAGATCTGCAAAGCAGCAAGAACCATAGTCAAATCTTATGTTGTCGCCTGAAATGAACAGAAGGTCCTCTTGGATTCCGTCTTCAATGTGTTGATTCGCTCCTAGTCGGCAACCCTCTCGTTGCATTGACAAGTGTGCTTCATTCGACCGCAGTAAAGAAATCTCACGACAATCAGGTCTTGAGTTCTAAAGAGTCTTTAGGCGCAAGCGGCTTGTCATTAAATAGCCCCATCAAAAGCTCAAGTAGCTTTTTGCCAATGCTCCGTTCGTCTCGCGAAGCGCAGACACACCGCAGGAGCTCAATGGAAACAACATAGCGAAGCAGACCATTGTCTGGCTGATCGTCCCAGCTCCTAAAATTGGGTTAAGCATCCGGATCATGACTCTGGCCCCCTTAAACTACCTTTTCATAAGTCAAATCCAATCGTGTGCACAAGAGTTTCAAAATGGATAGGCATTAAGTTGGCAACCGCAAAACATTGAGTAAAACGTACTTTCCCCCACCAGACAACCTCACCTTGAAAACAACTTTCCCCTTCACGAGAGCGGCGGGGACTGGCCCGTACTCGCGACTGTCTCGAGACACAAACTGGTTATCGCCCTGTAACCAGACGTGGCCTTTCGGAACCTGCGGAAAAGTACGGTTTGTGAAATTCGCTTCTGCTTTCCTCCAAAACCCGAAACTATGTCTCGACAAGCTTACTTCTGTTCAGATCTTTCTTTGTAGAACAAAAGGAAGTCGGGAATTGAGCCGTTCATAAAGCCTCCTCACTCGTGAAACGACAATCAGTAAAAAGACGTGCTTTTAGGTGCAAATTTGGAAATGCGTAGGCGTCCCGGTTGCAACTCTTAAAGCTGTCGTAATCCTGCTGGGAAGGCGACAGCATTTGAGAAGACTCCGTGACTTCCTGGGCATGCTGTCAAAGTTGACGGGCTTAACACTAACCACCAAACACTGGCCCTCGAGCATCCTTCTGCAAGGGCGCTGCATTTGAGTCGATTCATTGTTGAACTTGGGCTCTCACAATTGAGTGCGTTAAAAGCTCCACCAAAATACTCCGAGTTTAGAAGCAGAGCAGCACGCATGCCACCGAACAACTGAGAGAAAACTTCCATTCAGAACTCACTGTCACTAATCGTATACTATCACGAGGCATCGTAGGCGGCACCCGTATCCGATCCCCCTCTAGCCCCAGTATCCGTTTGCAGATGACCGCGTTTGGATTCCTGGGGGACTGCGCCGTCACGACGTCTCCCGCTTTCAGCCGGCCCAACCGGGGGGAGATGTGCTCGACAAAAATGATGTTTCCTTCCGCGTTGAAGCTTGGAAGCATGCTGGGGCCGACACACTGCGCAAAGCAGGGAAGGACCATGACTTTGCTGATTGATGATACGGTTGCTATTTTTCATTGGACAATTTTGCGCAACTGAAGTTCCTGGTCTGAAAAGGGCTTTGCTGAGAATGTTGAAGTGCCAGATCTGCGAACCTTGAAAAGCTAGGGCAAGAACTGCATCTGGATACGAAGTAAAGTCCACGAAACGGAAGCATCCCACCTGCTTTTCAACAAAATGGTTAACCTTCTCTTACTAGGCCCTAGTCAGCAGCTTGACGGGTCAATCTATTCCAGCAACCCTCATAGTCATGACCTGGAATCTTCCAATTCTCCCGTTCTCAAAACTGCTGGTTTGTTAGCTCGAGAAGCAAAGAACTGACAGCTTACTGTGGTCACATCCATCACATAGGTGCCGAAGCAGTAAATGAACGATCCAAACTGGACCACCACCCCCGCCCTCTCTAGCATCTCTTTAGCCAAGGGCCTCAGAGCCTGGAACATACTCATGATGTCAACCTCTTATGTCACCGCTGATGTCACCTCTGCCGGCTCATCATAAGCATTTAAACCTACGTTGGGCCTGCTGCCAGTGCGGAGGCTTTGAGGAAAGCTATTGTGCTTAAAAGGGAGAAGGCAAACTGGTGCAGCAATCCTGCTGTGGCTCAACAAGACCTGTCCTCTGTGCCTCAACTTCTCTTATTCCAGACTGTCAAGATGTCATCTCTGCCGGTTACTTGATTCCAGCTTTGCGCTTGCTGCCAGTGCAAAGGATTTCGGAAAGAAGAGAAAAGCTTCCTTCTTGCAGCTGGAGGGAACCGAAGAGAGGCAGCATTCCTGCGAGGTTCCTCAACAAAGACGTGCCCTTTACACCTCAGAATCCTTGCAATCTTCCGACTGCTACGTTTCTAGCAGATGAAAATGGAGACAAACCTCCCGGCTGTAAATTGTAATAGAATTACGTTGGATGGGCGCTATCTTACATGGAAAGAAGCGTCTTTCTTCTTCAAATTTGTCATTTTTTTCCAGCAGCACATCCAAAAGTGCGAATTCTCGCAGACAGAGCCTGCGGTAAGAACCGTCTCCAAACTGGTGAAGAGTGCCGTTCCTTGGCAAGCCCGGTGAAGTCCAAGTGAGTCTATTTAATATTGCCGTGGTAATATCAAACCAACCGACGGCCTTGGGAAGACGGCAGATTGGTAAAGTATTCACACAGTCCAGCTTCCTGCATGGGTGGAGCTTCTTGTCATCTGCAGTTAGACTGCATGATGTATCAGATTCATGTTCTGGTACTAGTACTACTGCTACAGTGCAGCTAGCTGCCCTGACAAAACTAGCAAAGCAGTGAGCAGGACGGGTCTCTGAAGCGCTCAAATCCTTGTCCAACTAGCACTCTCCTCGAGCCAGACAGAATGCCTTTGCTTCCGCTTCTGTGAAGTCTGCTGGTTGCACCTAGCTTTTGAAATGGGGAGAGGGGCAATGGGCTACGAGCAGGCCTCCGACAACGCAGACGGCCGCACCGCCTTCCGCAAAGCTGAGAAGCTGTACAAGCTGTACACTGAGCGGAATCCCAAAAGCGGTGAAAGTGGTAAAGGCAGCAGGAAAACGAAGCAGGAGGTGGACTTGTCAGGCGTGATTGACCTGAATCGCATCCAGGAAGATGGCGCCTATGCTGAAGAAAGAGGTGCGCAGAGGTTGGAGAGTGGATGTAACCGTCCCACGTACATCCTGCATTCGCATCCAGGTAAGGTGCAAGTGGTTTGGTCTCTCAATCGCTCTTTGACTGGCGGCGCTTCTTGCCCTGCTTGAGTAGGTACACCATACTCAGCGCTCTGCATTTGCATGCCCTTGTCAACTCCTCCCAATTTAAACAGGCATAGCACCTACCTCTTAGCTCTCAGCTGCTCTTCTTAGCCCCTGCCACTGCAACAATGAAGCGCACTCGTTCAGATTCTACAGTTGGTCCGTTCACAGTCGTTGGAACAGCTACGCATCACTTCCAGTGCAACCGTCTATGTTCAAACGCCCAAGTTAGAACAGATTGAGTCGTGAGAATCAACCCCATCATAGAGCTCACATAGATTTCAAGCTTACAGCCAAGTTCGCAAGTTCATCAAACGTGTGATTGATTCTGCAGGTCTCTACCTTGTGCCTGGTGCAATCCCTGTTTGCAAACAACAGTACTGGATCCAACAAGCGCTGGAAGTCTTTCCTGAGCCCCCAAACCGCACCAATCACAATGCAGAGTACGGTCCAGTAAAGGGCCTCTGGGGCTTAGCACAGAAAGAGTTGAAGTCTCAAGCTGATGCAAACACAGTACGGTCTGTGAAAGCACAAGCAGAGCGAGTCTCTGGAACGGCTTCAAACGGCGGTTGTTCAAGACTGAATAGAAGGGCAGAGAACGGGGTTCGTTCCACAGAGCTGGAAGGCACAGGAAGCCGGTCTTTGACGTTGGAAGCGGAATCGCTGGATCCTGGCTCGTCTTGTTCAGCTGAACCGGTGCACGCTTCAAGCAGAAAAGCAGGAGCCTCATTTCAAAACGGGCATTTGGACGCTGCGATTGAAGGACCAGGCACCACTGGTAGAGCGGAATCCTCCTCCAAAATTACTGATCCTATGTTGAAACGCCGCCCCTCGGCTGCAAAACTCTTGCGGAAGCTCCGATGGGCTACGCTGGGTTTGCAATACGACTGGTCGTCTAGGAGTTACGATGAGAGCCTGCCACATGCGCCGTTCCCTGCTGACCTGGCCGATTTGGCCGCCAGGCTGGCGGCCCCCGCTATGCGACACCTGTCTGTTCAGAGCGTTTCAAATCCAAATTTTGTTCAGCAACCTCTTCGATCTCCGGATTTGGAACGCTCGGAAGGAGAGTGTCAAACCGGGATTGAAAGTGGGCCGGACAGTGAGAGTACGAGTGAAGGGGATCAAAAGAGTGCAAACGAAAACGTGCGGGGGCGGAAGGATGCGAACGGGAGCGAAGAGAGGCAGAAGACTGAGAAGAGAAGCGAGGGGGGGTGGAAAAGTGAAAGCGGGAGCGTGGGAGAACGGAAGAGGGAGAGTAGAGGTAACGGGGATCTGGAAAGTGAGACTGGAAGAGAAGGGGGGCAACAAATCGGGGAGGGGCCTCCGGGGGGGGAGTGTAAAGCGGGGCGGAAGAGTGAGAACACGAGCGATTGGGGACGGAAGAGTAAAAAGGGCCTCCAGGAAAGAGAAAGTGAAAGTCAATTCGCGGAGTGCAGGAAAGAGGGGCCGGGAAGGGAGTTTCGAGCGGAGGGGGCGATTGTAAACTACTACGGGCCGGCAGATGCGCTGAGTGGGCACTTGGACGACGTGGAAGAGAACATGGATCTGCCGATTGTCAGCATAAGGTAAATGGGTTCAAAGGTCTTCTGATGGAAATTTTTGCTGGAGGTTTTTTTCTTTTGGTCGGACAGGAATGGTTCGCAGCAGACGCGAATCGTTTTCTGCATGTCACCACTCGTACCAGCTGAACGTGTGTTTGCTTCGATCGACTCTCGTCAAGCTTGTCTCAAGTTGAGAGTAAGCGCCACCCAATTGAGAAAGTGTGACCATTCTTGCGGACTGGTCACTTCGCGGCGAAGTGCAATTTTTCCCATGATTGTGCACCCATACAAGTGGAGAAAGAATAACGCTCCTCTTTGATCGTCTCTGCTCCCCTTTTCTGAAAAGCAACACAAGCTCGAGCATCAAGATAAGCTCTCAAGCCATGCCCGTAATTCAGCTTGAGCCCGCGTGTATTCAGACGCGGTCCGCTGCGGACATACTGATTTCGATCTTCCTGAATCCGAGGCATTGCCGCTTGGTACAGTTTGGGATGCAAAGCCCTCTTCCTGATCGGAGGCGAGACACGCGACGTTCCCCCGACGGGCATCTTTCTGCGGAGCGGCGACGTGGTTCTCATGGCGGGCCCTGCTCGAAGATGCTACCACGGTCAGTACGCCCAATCTCACCGTCAGAATCTACATATTTGGAACAGGGCCTCGGTCAACTTGAATGAATTGAATCGAATGGCAACCATGCTCGGAGGATCACTGAGACCCCTTGAGGACCCGAACGGGACTGCGGAAGCCTCATAATTGCTGATGCGTCTGATTGTTTACAAGCTTGAAAGCGTAAAAGAGGACTGTCTGGCATTGGTCCTGGCATGGAAATGAGAACATTGCTGCAGCTCTAAAGAGCATCGAGGCCAAGGCTTAAGTCCATATCCTTCTAAGAAGCATCGAAGCACACAATTGCGTTGATGGATGATAAAACCCGCATGTTAGAAACACGGATTCTCCTTGGGGTCCATTTAAACATGGGCAGGCCAACGGAGGAATGTACCCGGCAATTTGCCGAGCAACACCCAAGCTCGGCCCCTTAAAAGTTGCACCCAAGATCTCAGTCTGCAATCTGTCATTGGGAAACCTGCGGTCTTCGGCGACATGCTGTACTCTCGGCCATACTCAGGAAGCATCCAAGAATCCGTCAAGAACAACATTTTGGGTGCGAATTCTCGAAAAGCTTAAAGGGCCCGAGAAGGAGGCCAAATACGCCGCCCTTCATACCGGGGGCCATGCCGGGCGCCTAGGCCCCTGCTTCCTTCCAACCTCGTGCGGTCTCTGCGCCATTGCTTCGCACAAATTTAGTGGACTCCGCGGAGTCTATTCACCTTTCTCATTGCCCTTTCTACTCCTTATCTCCAGATCACCCTTTTAAAATCGCTCATTCCCTCGTCCCCTCTCCAGGTGTGCCCCGTATCTTTACCGACGCTCTTCACAGCGACCTGCCCCCAGCGATCCAGCGAGACTCTGCCGACACTGACTTCCGGCCGTTTGCCGACTACATTGCGAGTTCCCGCATCAACATCAATGTTCGCCAGGTGAAGTTGAATTCTCCTTCGCTCTCACAAGCAAAGCTGTTGGCAAAGTGTCAGCTGGTATCTTGGAGAAGGAGACTGGTTTTCCGGGAGAGTCTCCCTCGTATGCGGACTAGGCATTCATCGGAATCGCAACTTCGTTCGCCTGCGGGTATTTGTTTTTGTGTGGCCTTGTCGAAACCGAGCAGTTTCTTCCAGCCGCTTTTTGCTGCATACTGTGCGCTTGCTTCCCCCGGGCTACTTTGTATCTAGTACCGTGGCACACCTAGATTCTAGAGCCGCAGGAAAGCAGGTCAACCCGCTCGACAAACTGGGAAAGTGAGGTTATTTCGAGTCGGTTATTGCAAGCGCAACAACGGCCGGCCCGTTGCGGACGTTTCCTTCACGAATCTGCGCTTTGAAACTTTCTCATAGATGTTCAGAGGCCACAAGCGAGTTGTGACAGAGATGCACTTTAACGTCTGGCAGTACCTCAATTCATATGTTCCGACGCGTTTGACTATGCATCATATTCATCTTAAAGAAATGTGATGCAGCTTATACAAAAAACCTAACACTAAATTCAAGAGTTAGTTCGATGGCTTCGTCCTATGATGCATTACTTCTAAGAATGAGTCGCGGTCCTTTGACCAGGGTGTGACAAGTTTCGGCCTCCCCCCGCATGTCTGCTTCATTGCCGAGTGCTACAGATGGCAGAAATCCTCATTAAGTTTCTCTGAATTTTTTGCAGGTGCATTGACGGATCCTATCAACGATTGGAACATTTGTGGGCCTGCAGGATGCTGGCCTGAGCTTGAGTAGAGCTGTGCTAAAACGTCGGCAAACAGATGTCAGAACGCTCCTTCGGACGACTCCTGCGAAAAGGAAGGTGGTAATGTCAGGCAAACGGGGTTTCAATAAGCAGAACTTGTACTCTTGACTGTACGCCAATTTTGGCGGCCGCCGCAAGCCGGGCAAGCCTAAGAATGTTCCTAGGACGCATGGACATCTTGCGGGCGGCCACCTGTTCAGCCAACTGTCCTTAGTGTGCAGATTGTCTTGCAAAACTCAGGCGCGACCCCAACATGGGGTGCATAACTCACGGACCTTGTACAATCCTTGACCATACTGCGGGCAGACTCATAGTTGAGCTCCAGACGTATGCTGCTGAAAATACGTTCGCCGTTGCTCCAAAGGCCTAGGTAGCCCTAGATCCAATGACCATGCTGAATTGACACATGCCGCAGTGCTGGCAGGCACGCTAAACATCTAAAAGACGTAAATACGCAATAGCGGCTAAAGGGAATCCTATCCGGCATCGATCAGCAGGGTATGCACATGCGTTTTGCACGTTGGACACTCTACTGGCGGCATGCAATAAAGTAATCGCATGAATTGCAATGATATGCGCGCGTATGCATGGCCATGCCAGCATATATATGCATGTTGTGCGGCCGCTGCGCCGAATGGAGAAAGCTATGGACCGGCTGCGCATATATGGAATTGATTACTAACTTACGCGCGAAATTTGTTGATTTCGACAGTATACTGTATTCTTGGGCTTCAACTAGGTGCACTGAGATATCGAACTTTCCATCGAAAAGCTAGAGCATCTTGAGTGCGTGTGTTCAGCCCCTAGGCCGGGGCCCAAGCTTCGCCGACCAGGTATGAGTATGCAACACAGTGTACCAAGTTATATGTGTCTTAGTAGCTGTTCCTACCCGACATAACGACGCAACCAGGCAACGGCGTCTTCATGCGCACCCTTTTCTCATGACCTTGTTACCGTTAGTCGAAAGGCAGATCCACGGCGAGAACACAAACCCAAACATGATTGAACGTCTCCTTATTTTACTGCTCTCATGTCCAACACACCAATCTATTCGGAGGCTTTTTCCAGAGGATCGGCCTCGTTCGACTGCTCAGCTTCAGACCTTGCGTCCTCAAGGTCACTCGAGCCCTCGCCGCTCACTTTCCCCTCCTCGTCCAGGACGCAACGGCGACCCGAGTTCCAATAGTCGTCGCCCGGAATGTTGGCAGCCTGGCGTACAAATTCAAATTAGCTGAAGGGGAGATGTGCAGCTTAGCTAACTTGTCATCATGCATAGCAGCTGAGAAAGTGTGCCAAGGTCGACTTCTGCAAAAGCACCTCTCCGAAAGCGTTCAATATCGGGATTTACTCATTGAGTTTAGAAAGGATCCTGTCCAGCAGAACGTAAACCAAAACCGTATAGTCAAAATCTTGCCAATAATCCGGCCTCACCTACGCGTTCCTGAGTCGACATCTTGCCCAGTCTCGCCCCTCATTTACATTTTTGAAAGGCGTATTCAACTGTTCTTTTCCTCAGCTCCTTTGCTCATGGTTTAGAGGACGAAAAGAGGGGGAAAAAAGAATGCGCTTATGACGCGTTCCGAGCCAGCGAAGACTACTAGATACCGCAAACTTGCAAAACTGGTTCCTTGATGAAAAGCTAAAATCACCGAGGGGATGAAGTCGGTTCAAGCGCGGCTTTTGATAAGAACATCTCGGTGGACGGGAGAGGATGGATAGGCCAAAGCGCTTTCACAAAGACATAGCATGTACTGTGGGTTGAGCTGATTATCAGAAAGTCAGAGACTCTAGACTGCTTTAGAACGCTGCACACAGCAAAGTGAGAGGAAACACCTTTCGAATCGTTGGGGCCGTTTCCATGGGCCGTTTTCATGATTAGAATGTCGTTTCTGAAAGCGGCCAGCTCCGGACAGATTGCTGGACGCAGAAGGTAGACAAGGTCGTAGAGTGACTCGGTTTCTCGCGTACACTTGTCAGCAGAAGAAAATCAAAAGTGATATACAATGATGCTAGATAAAAGCCTGCCGGGAATTGACCAAAGGGGAAGTGATGCAAGTATCAGACTCACATGGAACTGAGTTATCACGAAAGCACCTCCTTCTAACAGTCATGGGCGTCGTCCTATGACTACCTGGCATAGGACTTCAACGAGCATGAAAGCAGATAAGAATGCAAACAAGTAGTTAAATACTTACGTAGCCCACATGCCGCCGGCGATAGATCGGGCGGCCTTGCTCGTTGATTCCAATTGGGGTAGCCTCAAGTCGGTCTTGTTCGAGGCGCTTCTCGATCCTGGCTCGTGCTACAATGTCAGGAAAAACTTCTTCACTAGCCAAAGAATGTTGTGCGGAAAAGTGGCCGTTTGACTTGACCGTGGAGATGCGCACCTTGTACGGCTCAGGCCGGAAAGAGCCAGAGGCGCAGCAACTGTGATTTAGAATCCTCAAATCTGGCAGTCAATCAAATTCTTGGTGACATGATAGAGCAACAGCATAGAGTGCAACCCACAAAACCTAACTTCAGTGTCCACATTAAAAGAAAGAGGTTGACTGGACAGCCATTGAATCAATCAGATGCCTCGACGATGGCAAGAGTCCCACCATCTTCCCGCCGCTTCTTTCCTCTGTCAACCTTGACCGGTGCGGAAGCCCCTGAAAAGCAAAATCAAGGTTAATAGTGTGTTCAGCGGACAATCACGATAATGATTACAGGCATCACAGTACGTATAGCCAACCCATCAAATGCAACAGACAATGCTGAGTGATCGCGTAGCGATGAGTCGCGAGGGAAAACTTCCAGAAGCCTGTTGTTAGCGGTAGTGGAAGGTTCTCACCACTCCCAGCTTGGTCAGAGCCGTCGTGCTGAGCAGGTGCCTGAGATTCTGGTTTTGAATCTGCGGAAAATACAATCGAGCAGTACATAGCCGGCACTTCGCGGCGCAATGAATCCAACATCACCCATACCCGAACCCTTCCTGGCGACATTCAAAGCCGGTCTCTCCCAGTGAAATGTGTCACTTGGTGCGCTCGAATCAAACGAGTGAGCGTTTGATCTGAGGTGCCTTCTCTCAGATCATCGCAGGATGGCACTTGAAACTTTTCATACGGTATCAGAAGGAAACACAGAACTACGGTCTTTTCTGGACGCAAATTACGCGCAGCATTGGCCGAAGGCCTTACTCTTGATTGGCAAGTCAGGGTCTTGTTCCGGAGGTCCGGCCTCCTTCAATGGCTCCGCTCCGGAACTTGCGTCCTCCTCATTGCTCGAGCCCTCACCGCTCGGCCCCTCCTCCACGCACCCCATGCCTAGGCGACCCGACTCCCAATAGCCCGGAGGAATGATAACCTGCTGTTCAATTCAGATTAGCTCTTTATGGATGCTATTCAGCAGGCAAAATCAGGTGATTTGTGGGTCGACGTCGGGCAAGGAGTTAGACATCACTAGCAAACCCCTTCCGCAAGGCGTTTATTCTCGGAATGTATTCACTAAGCCCAGATATAACCAGGAAACAATCCCCCAAAAATTAGCACAGCGTAAACGAGTTCGGCATATTAAGCCCGGCGTAGTCTAAGGGTCACATTCTGAAATCGAAGACTTTGCTCTTGATGCGGAGGACAAAGCATGGGGGTAGGATGCGGTCATGACGCGTCTCCATGCTGCGGAATCCGAAGGCCTTCCCCACAACAGCTCCCTTGATCAACTCTAAGGGGCCGGCTTTACGGAGGGGTTCGACCATCAAGGTGGTTTTGAGCGCGTTTTGGGTTCATGAGCTCAGTGATTGTCAAAATAAGGAGAGGTCAAAGCGGCGCCTCCACCAAGGCATAGGTGAAACCAGGAAACAGGCCACAGACGCTCCTTGGCCGGGACTGTGAACCAAGTATCGGATCACATTCAATGGAAGGGGACGGCAATAAGACTCAGCTCTGAACGACGGACACAGGAAACCAAGAAAGATGGTCAAAGCCTGCTGAAAAGATACGAAAGGAAATGTGTTTCGGAGCAGGATTGCAACACGAAACTGTCCGCTGAGGAACTTATCAGTCCGAGAAGCCACCTGGTGTAAAACACCTTGATAAGGATAAGACCAGACATGGATTGAGAATATGTGTAGGCAAACTTACGTAACCCTGTTGCCGCCGCCGATAGATCGGTTCGCCTTGCTCGTCGACTCCGATTGGGGTAGCCTCGAGTAGGTCTTGTTCGATGCGCTTCTGGATCCAGGCGTCTGCTGCAATGTCAAGGAAAGTGCATCGATAATCACAGTGTGTTGTGCAGCAAAGTCGCCGATCAGCTTGACCAGGGGAGATTGCATTCTAGAATAGAATGGCCAGAGAGGCAGGAGCTACTCTTTGTTGAACCTTCACCTACAGTTCAATTATCCTGCTGACATAATAATAATGCAAACAAGCAATTGCTTAAAGATTCCTGGTACTCAAAGCATAATTCGGACATTGTTTCTTGACGTAGCGTGTAACACTTTGGTTGGCACATGCACCTTCTCTTTACAGAGAACAAGTGAACGGAATGACCGAGTTGACTTTGAAAGCGAGAGTCCCATCATCATTCTGCCGCTTCAAGTTCTTGTGACTTGAGTCACTGTCGACATGTTCGGAAGACCCTGAAAAGCAGAAGCTGATAGATTGAACGTTTAGCAGGCACCCACAATATTCAGAGGAATAACGATAATATAAATCTCTGGGCGATTCATCCACGGCGGTAGACACTGTTAAGTCCGAGAAGGATGATTTATGCCTGAAGAAGGGAAAACGTTGAAGCCTGTCGATAGTGGCAGTACTTGATATCATTTGGTTGTCAAAGCTGACGTACAATCTACCCATGTCCGTTATGGCCCATTCTTTGAAATTCCTTGGAGGTGAGGAATGGTTGAGGAATGTCCTCACCAGTTCCCGGTTTTCCAGGGCCGCCGATCTGAACCGGTGCTTGCTCTTTGGCACCTGACTCTGTTGACCGAAAATACATATCAGTTGTATAAACCTGGCAGTTGCCCCAAAAGACTCACCCGTACCATGACCCATACTTGGACCTGCTTATTCAACGTTGAGAGCTGCTTCGGATCCGAGACCCGATTGGTTGGGGTGCTCAGTTACAATCGAGGCTTCGATCTGAGGTGGTCGATCTGAGATGATTACAGGATTGCCTTGAGCACTGTCACTAAAGTCCATTGATACGTTGACAAACCTATCAAAACAGAACAGAAGCTTCTCTTGTATGCTTCTAAAATATCAGGTGGAGGACTTACTCTTCCTTGACAAGTTCTTCTCCTCCTGACGATCCTTTGAACTGGCGACGACAACTGCAGCACCAAGCAACAGATTATGGTAAGACGCTGAATAACTTGAGAAGCAAGAGCGCACACTAAAATCCGTGAGTGGACCAGATGCCAGGGAAAGGGCACGCCAACCACATATTGATTCTCAAATCTGTCCCAATCCAAACCTCACATAGATGAGGCAAAGACAGCACACCATGCAGCTGACAACCACTGACGTGAGCAGACATCAGCAAACGGAGACCTGAGAATGACGGGGAAAGCATGCGCACAGGTTCACCGGCCAAGAAGCGTCTTACTGGCAGTCTACTTGGTTATACAATTACTCAGCTACCCTATTGAGGCTATTGGATCCATATCCATAATCATGGGCCACAAACAAAAGTATGCACTCACAGCTGCCGTGCTGCTTCGCGGCCCAGCCAGAAGACACACACTTGTGCTCGATCTGAATATTTCCTGCTCGTCCTACTCCTAGTAGTGCTGGACTTGTGGATGACAACCATGCCACCTTCACCATCTTAAGAAAGACAGAACGGGCTCTCAGCCTCGGTGACGTCTGGCAGTGGCGGCACAGCTAGTAGAGAGTTGACTTCAGACTGTCGCCACTTTGTGAGAGACCTGTGTAAGTGTGTAAGTCAGTGTAAGACTGTCTTACAAGACAAGGATTCGGCCGGGGCACGTACGTACGTTCGCGCGGCGCGGTGTACGTGCGGCGCGGCCGCGCGTTTGAATGCTTCAACTTCCGCCCTGGAGGGTTTCAAGGTTCGGGGTTCCGCCTTACGTTCCGGTCTTATCCTCCGGTTCCGCGCCGGAAATACGAAATCAACCCTCGGGCTCCTGCAGATGAAGTACGGTACTTCAACTTCAGTCTTCAGTGCAGCAGAAGACGAGCATTGGCAACGCCACCAATGCCATGATGGCGACGCTTTCCTTTCCTGCGAGCGCGCCCCCGCTTGCCCTTCTGGCTGCTGCAAAAGTTGGCCACGTGGATCTAGCCCCCAAGCCAGACCAGTCTGCAGACAAGGCAGCGGCGCCGGTCCTGACTTTCGCAAACGGGTGAGGGGTGGTGTTATGTTTCACCAATCAGCAATCTCTTTTCTTGATCCGGCTTAGCATGGGAGATCACAATTGTCAAGCTGGAAACGGTCTGCCTCCAATCTGGAGGCAAAGGCAAGTTAGCTTTGGGCTTTAATTTGCCACCGCTGACTTTCCTTGATTGTTGCTAAGAAGGGTGAGATATCACGGGTGTTGCAATTTTGACATAAAACTTCTGGTTGACAAAAGTTTTATTGCTGTTTGTCGGCTCTCTGAAATCTATTATCCCGTGCTTTTAGTGGCAAGATTTCTGTAATGCTTCACGGCATCGAAGTGGTGGTGGATTGGGCCTTTTGCGAGGATTACAATTCGAGAAAGCAGATAAATCGACAGCTTTGCTGCGACTGTCAGCACCAGATGAGTTTTGCGGCGCTGCCATTTGTCATCTTTACATTGTTCCTTCCAGCAACTTCCTTCCCGAACTTGTTCAGCGTCAATTCTTCTGCATCTTTTCTTCGCGCATACCATTTTCAAAGACCGCTGAGAATCATGCAAACTCAGACCTTACTCTTCCCAAAAACCAGGGACCAGCTACGAGGCACTGCAACTCTGCTTCGCTACATCGGGCGCGCCAGCAAGGCTGTCGGTTTCTATGGCGTCGATGCCGCCTCAGCTGGGGAGGTCGATGAGTGGGTGGACTATGCCCCGACGCTGGCGATCGGCGCCGAGTTCGAGCGGACGTGTGCTTACATTGACAGTTTCTTGGAGCTGAGAACGTTTCTGGCGGGGTATCAGTTGACGATCGCGGACATCGCGGTTTGGGCCCAGCTGCAAGGTGGGTGTTATTTCTGGCTGGCTCGCTTTTGAAGTTGGACGTTGTGATGGTTTTGAGGTGCCGACATGAGGGGAGTGTCAAAGATATGAGGATGCTCATAATAGGTCAGACGTCGAGGGCGGAATATAAGCAACGCTTGTCGCTACAGTACAATTATGTAAGTAGGCATATAGTGGAAGCACTCTGGACGAAAACTCCAGCTCTCCATTCCACTTTTGGAAGGCTATGTTAACCATTTGTATCGTTTTTTGGACATTCCATACCAGTGCCGAAGTGTGGTTTGGTTCAGAAGGAGCAGAACATTTGTCTGACGGAAATCTCACCAGCAAATGGCAGGCAATACGAAGCCTTTCGTATAGGGCTTACCGACCTCTTCTTTGTTTGGGATTTGCGTATGCAAGTTACGGTGGAGAAATGAATCAATCCAGATTAGTGAAGCAAGTATGTTACCGCCAATCAATGCCCTCACTTTGCAGCTGCCGGAAAGCGATGGGAGGCCCTACTGCGCTCCACGACCAAGTTTCCAAACCTTTCCCGCTGGTTCTCAACCGCTCTCGGGACAGTTGCGGAATTGCAACTAGTCGCGGCAGAATATGGGCCGAAGCCTCGGGGGGGCGAGGTCAAGGGGGCCCCAGCGAGCGACAAGAAGGGGGCCGAAGCAGGAAAGGGGAGCGGCAAAGCGGAAGCGGCAAAGGACGAGGGCTCGTTTGACGTCAATTTGCCGGACGCTGCCGAAGGGAAGGTGAGCGTTGGGCACAACTCCTCGATTTGATGTGGACATTTCTCCTGAAATTTTTGCCCTGGTTTTGTGTCCATTTCGGAGACCTCCACAGAATGTGATTCGTGTTTGTCCTGAGCCAAACGGCTGTCTCCACTTTCATCCGAGGTCCCTCGTTTGCAGTTTCGTGCTTTAAACTGAACCACCATCTGATACCAGACACGGAGGCCCACGATCTATGCTTGGGAAAACTCTGCTATCATGCCGCGATACCCATGCAAGCCCAGCGGTCTCTTCGTTTTCGTTTTAGTGAGCGGGATATGCCTAACTCTCATTCAACAGGAGCGTAGCTCGTTGCCGTTTCGGAATCCGATATAGTGCCTGCTTGATCGAAGCTTCTTTATACCTCCCGCAGGTTGTTGTCCATTTTGCGCTCAGGCGGCCAGGCATGAGTGGTTATGCTCGACTCCGATCTGTCAAAAAAGACCACTTACTACACATAGTTCGTTTCTGCTTTTTATCACCAAGTTCTGAGCTTCCGTACTCAGTCCACAACATTCAAAACTGAATTGATTCACCCTTCCAACCTCGACCCTAATCTAAACCTGCAGGTCGTAACCCGTTTCCCGCCCGAACCGAGCGGCTACCTCCACATCGGGCACGCTAAAGCCGCGCTCCTCAACCAGTACTTCGCAACCAAGTACAAGGGCCGACTCATCATCCGCTTCGACGACACGAACCCCAGCAAAGAGAAGGAGGACTTCGTCCAGAACATTCTGACGGATCTTCAAACGTTGGGAGTGAAGGGAGACGGGCCGGTCACGTATACGAGCAACTACTTCGAGCAGCTGCAGAAGGAGTGCGAGCGGATGATACGCGAAGGGAAGGCGTATGTGGATGACACGCCGCAGGAGAAGATGCGCGCGGGTGAGCGGCGTTTCGGCAGGAATGATAGCGTTACAGTCCTCTTTGCCCTGGTGTTAAAAGTTGTCGCGCTTCGGGTTCTGTCTCTGCTGCTTTGCAGTACGCGACTGTTGTTTGGGTCTTCAACGGAAGGGCCATCAGATTGCCAAGCCTGCTGAGTCAGCGTTCCAGGAGCGTCATTACCGGAACACAAGGCCCTCCGCTGCCTATGTTCTTCATTCCTAGACTAGGCATCGTCATGCACCCATGCAGATATCATCAACCTCGTTTACCTTAATTTGAACCCCCAAAGAATGATTCCTCCAACAAAACTCCAAACCTCATGACCGCGAGGATCGTTTGCAGAGCGCACAGTTGGCAAGAACAGCGTGAACCGCGACAACAGCGTTCAGCAGAACTTCCATTTATTCACTACGCTCCTGATCTTTTGAGCGCAAATTTCCGACACTGAACTCCTACGGGATTGGTCGATATTCCTTCCGCAGAGCGCATGGTTGGCGAGAACACCGTGAATCGCGACAACAACGCTGTTCCCTTGAACCCACTACCCTCCCCTCTTTTTTCAAGCCCAAGTTTTCGACGCTAAACTCCCAAAGTCTTTTGCAGAGCGCATGGTGGGCGACAACAGCGTGAACCGCGACAACAGCGTGGAGAAGAACCTGGCCATGTGGGCGGAGATGCTCAAGGGCACGGAGGAGGGCAAGAAGTGCTGCGTGCGCGGGAAGCTCGACATGCAGGCCGCCAACAAGGCGATGCGCGACCCGGTGTACTACCGCTGCAACCCCATGCCGCATCACAGGGTCGGAACGAAGTACATGGTGAGTTCGGGTATATTTTTGAGGTTTCGGTCTCTGGTGTTTCGGGGTATCGTTGTAACACGGTCTGGCAGGCTGGAGAGTGTGATATTCTCTATCTTTTTTGGAAGGCTTCGTACGAAGCAAGCCGGACATGCAGGCGCCAACGAGGCAATGTGGTATCCGGTGTACTACCGCTGCAACCCCATGCCGCATCACCGGGTCGGAACAAAATACAAGGTGGGTTTCCGGTTCTTTCTGGTTTCGGAATCTTGCCATTTGGGGTTTTGGCGGCGTTCAGGTTTTGGGTTTTCTGGAGAGTGGGAAAGCAAGCCGGACTCAAAAGGTTCGCATATATGTAGTCCGCTTACCGCTGTGTTGTTTCATCTGGCTGATTCCAAAGGACTAACAGTTTGCTTCACCGTAGAGATGTCTTCTTCGATCTACGATAAGATGGCTGAATCGCGCTAACGCTAGGAAAAGATCTACACTCTTTTCTGGAAAAAGATCGTCTAGCGAAAGATCGATAGGGAGATCCCTGCCACCAGGAAAATTTGACTTTTTCTGCAACTTGACAGACACACATCATGTCCCTTTCGACATCCATCCTTGCTGTTTCTGACACTAAAGTTAGTGCTGACGCTTCTGCTGACGTTATCCAGGCGTACCCGACATACGACTTCGCCTGCCCGTACGTCGACAGCATAGAGGGGGTGACACACGCGCTGCGCTCGAGCGAGTACCACGATCGGAACGAGCTGGTAAGCGAAACCGGTATCTTAACCCGAATTCTGCACACAAGAAGTTTGAAACGCCCGGAAGGGTATCCAGGCGGCTGATACCCAGAATTGATAGAAGTCTTACGAGAATCATCTGTGCAGTATCCGCGTACTCTGTTCAGCCGATTGATTCTTATCAAAGCGACCTCAAAAAACTCCGAAGCAATCACGGTTGCCAACGACGTCGCGGGTATTCAAGGTAGACTGGAGAGTTCTCTCATCGTTTGAAGGACCTTCCGTCGCAGCTCCCTGGCCATAAAGATCCCTGAGAACTTTGGAGTCTTGCATTTGCATTACGACCAGGCTTGTCCAATTTTGGTTGCCGGTTCAACTTGGTGTACACACTGCTGAGCAAATAGTGGACGTCAAAAGTCACTCTCCAACGAAAATGTTCCTCGAGCGTCCGGATCACACTGGAAATCGATCGAAAATCATTCCTGCAGTACGACCGGGTCCTGTCTGATTTGGGCGTCCGTAAGTGCGCATGTGGGACCTTCAGCCCGGCTCGACTTCGTGTATACGCTCAGAGTAGCCAAACTCTTCTGTCGACGTCTAAATCCTGTGGAAACCGTCCGAAACATTTTCAACAAAAACAAACTACCTTTGAACATTTCAAAAGGAAAACGTCCGAAACTTTGCCCCAGCAGTAGGACCGGGTCCTGTCCGATCATGGCGTCCGGAAGATGCAGGTCTGGGCCATCAGCCTGCTCAACTTCTTGTAGACTTTGCTGAGCAGCGGCTTTCTTTTATCGGCGTCCGGATCCTTTGAAAAGCCGTCCGGAACATCCTCAATATCGTCCGAGTTGTTTCTAAAGGGCGTCTCAACGAGATAACCCATCGTTTACTTGCAGTACGACCGGGTGTTGTCCGACTTGGACGTCCGCAAGGTGCACATGTGGGACTTCAGCCGGCTCAACTTCGTGTACACGCTGCTGAGCAAGCGCAAGTTGCAGTGGTTCGTGGACAACGGCAAGGTGGAGGGGTGGGACGACCCGCGCTTCCCCACCGTGCAAGGCATCTTGCGCCGGGGGCTCACCGTGCAGGCGCTCAAGGAGTTCATCCTTTCGCAGGTGGGGGGTGCAAACGAGTGAAAAAGCTGGGGGGTGGTTTTGTTCGTTTCAGAGGTGGGGGGTGCAGGTTTCAGAGAGGGTTTGAGGGGGTGGGGCAGGGTGTTTGGGTTGTTGTGGGGAGAAAGGCGCTGAAGGAGTTCGTTCTCTCCCAGGTGGGGGTGCAAACGACTGAGAAAGCCGGGGGGGGTTGTTGGTTTGATCGGTTTGTGGTATATGAAGGTGCTCGAGGACTTTGTTTTTCTGCGGGTGGGGCGGGGTAAGAAAAGGGCTTGAAAGGAGGAAGTTAGGGTTCCCCGTTTGGGCAGAATAACTGGGAACGATTCCGCTGGAGGTGCGGACGTCGGAGCTGGCGGAAGCGAGAAGAGGGGCACTTTACTATTGAAGCAGTAATTGCCTGGAACGGTTCCTCTAACACCTGTCAGAACGGGAAGATGGTTCCGCCCCTCCTGGAACCGACTTTGTGTTGTGATGAAAAAATAAACGGGCTTACTGAGTCCTTTGAAGGGTCTACAAGCTCGCCTTAAGCCAATATTGAAGGCGTTCCTTTCATATTACACATTGGTGTCACCTCGGTTACGTTGTGCACGGTTTGCTACACACTTGTTTAGAAGCCGTGTTCTTTGGACAATAAGTTCTTTACCCTTGATGGGTCTGAGGCCTGCAAACTACCGAAACGCTGCCGCTTGCTGACCGAGTAACTGTCTGGTGGGGCAGGGCGCGTCGAAGAACCAGAACCTGATGGAGTGGGATAAGCTATGGACGATCAATAAGCGGATCATCGACCCCGTCTGCCCCCGCCACACCGCCGTCATCTCGGAAGCCAAGGTCCTGCTCACGCTCTCCAACGGGCCGCAAGAGCCTATCGTCAAGGTGCGTCCGCTCATGGTAGTTCACGTCTTCTTATAGGCTTCAGTCTTTGCATGAAACGGCGATTAGTCTTAGTGCTGCTTAGCTGATGGCAAGGCCATTTCTATCTTGAGTTGCAGAGGTATTCTGCTTCGTTAATATAGATGCGTAGCGGCCGTCTCTTCTGAGTTTGCGTTGGGAGACCTATGCTGACGTCTTCTGCCGCCATCAGCAACAACGTCGACTGCTAGCGTCAACCAGAGCACGAGAGACACGTTTGCATTTTCCTTGAAGCCCCAATGCAGAGATGCTTTTGATATTGAATCGTAGTCATGCTCACCTTTGCCCCCTGCTATCCACATGACGACCAGTATTTTCTTTTTTCCAGTTCTCTGAGAGTACTTCCTACAATTATCAGCTCAGAATCCTCACCAGCGCACTGGCGGTTTAGTTCGACCACCGTTTTCTTATATCTTACGCTCGGCCTCTTTGTCAGTCATTTTTGGTTTAATCGTGAGGCTACGAAACATTCTTGGAATTTTGTCCTTCGGTTCCCACCTTTTTGCCCCGTTTCGTCAGATTATCCCCCGCCACAAGAATCTCGACGGCGCCAGCAGAAGGCGACCACCTTCAACACTCTACTTCGTTTTTGGTCTGACCTGATTATTCAAGCAAACCTTGACAAGATTATTTGTCGCTTCTCAGCTTTGCGCTCTTCCCCTCCCAGAGCCTCCCCCGCCACAGAACGTTCGCCAGCGCCGGCAAAAAGGGGACGACCTGTAATACCTTTGTTTCGTTTTTGGTCTACCGTGATCATGTAAGTCGTCAAAAAGAAATCTCTCCGCCTCCTTTGCAGATCCTCCCCCGCCACAAAAAGTTCGACGGCGCCGGCAAAAAGGCGACCACGTTCACGCGCGCGATCTGGCTCGACCAGGCCGACGCGGCCGCAGTCAAAGAGGGCGAAGAAGTGACGCTCATGGACTGGGGCAACGCGTTCATCCGGGGTATTCACACCGACGCGGACACCGGGTTAGTGACCGGGTTAACGGGCGAGCTGCACCTGGAGGGGAGCGTGAAAACGACAAAACTGAAGTTGACGTGGCTGCCGGAGATTGGCGAGCTGGTGCCGCTGAGTCTGGTGGACTTGGATCACCTCATCACGAAACCGAAGGTGAGAACAGGCCCCTCTGGAAGAGGTGTTGGTCGGAACTGGCCTCATGATTATCTGGATTGCTTGACTCCATCAATTGAAGCAAGCCACTAATCCAGAGTGGAAATGAGGGTCGTGCAAGAAAGTATGCGTCTCTGATCATTTGAGTCCGCTGTCTAGAGTGGTCCGCAGAGGCGTGACCCAATGTGTTTACTCTGGCCTTCTCAAGGTCAATTGGTGGTTCGTTCGTACAGGATTGCTCTATTCTTCTTCTTTTGCTCCGCACTAGAGGGCTTTGACAAGGCATATGCATCATGGCTTTCTATCCTCGATCCTGTTTTAGTAGCTTGGAATCCGATTCAGGCGAGGTCTTTGGTCTGCACTGATTGTGCTCCACCTTGTGACAAGATCACAGGGTGAGCAGAAACGTTCGTTGCTCGCTCTTCTTGTAGCTCCGACTTGAGCGGGCTTGCTGTCAAGAGGTTGCGAGCACTCACTCTGCTGGGCGATGGGTCAAAGACGGTGTAATTAAGTTTCTCCTGAGAACATGTGTCTACTTTATTTGTTTGACAGCTGGAGGAAGAAGACGACTTCACGAGCGTGCTGAACCCGGTGACGAGGCGCGACACGCCGGCGCTTGGGGACGCCAACATGCGGAACCTGCAGAAAGGGAACGTGTTGCAACTCGAACGGAAGGGGTACTACATCGTCGACGTTCCGTATTTACGAAAGGAGAAGCCGGTGATGTTGATCAGCATTCCAGACGGCCGGCAAAAAGACCCTAAACAGGCTGCCCCAGCAAAGAAATGAGGGGTAATCTGAGCAAAGTAGATTCGTAAGGTTGCAGTGTCGCCTGCATGCAAGTTAATGTGATACGACCGAATTGGTATTCGTACGTGGAGCGTGCTTCAACGCTAGCTGCGCCAAAAGGCGCACATCAAACCCTTGTCCATTCGTTCTCAACATTTGTGGTTGGCCGGATAATGCATGGCTGCCATGTGATGGGCCTGTGCACCACATGCGCATCTTTGATCTAGCTTAAATTCGCCCATGGAAATTTCTTGCACATGCCCCCTGCTGCGCCATGCGAGCTTATGCCGAGTCCATGGTCGCCACGAACTCAGGCGAGAGCTGGCGCAGCCATGTGCGCCTGGGTGCAAGCTCAGTTGACATTATGCAATTCAACGGGCTCAACTGGCAATCCACGACGTAGAGCGCATGGCCGGGCCGTTGCAATATCGCATGTGCCATGGCCGGTTTGTTACTGCCGTAATTGCAACATGAAGTGCAGTTCCTAGCTACGAGCTGTCTTCGGCGGGGAGTGGCCATGAAAGTGGGTATGTGCGGTTCATGTACCAATCAACGAAATTCACACCGAACTGTAGCTAGACTCTTGCATGCAAACGCCGAACATACACACTATGAGTCGTGCATACATAACACACCGGACAGTACAATTTATGAACGTTTAGCATTGCATGAGCGCCTCAGGCCAATGCTAACCGCCGGATGATCGAACGGATTTCGGGTTTGGCAACTGAGAAACACCAAGTAGGCTTCAAACCAACTACCTTGACAGAGAAGAACTACCTTACACTCCTGCCTCGCACTGGTTGCAGAGCCGTCCTTGGCTGGCTCAATCCTATCAACCCGCCTCGGTTTGACCTCGTAAACCTTCCCTCAGGTTGGTGTTTTGACTCAGTAAGTGGTTGTCACTCGTAACTCTCGTTCAGGAACTTAAGTAAATCTTTCCTCTTCTGTTCAGCAATTGCATCTTCCTTGCTCTTCTCAACGTGAAGATGGATCTGACAAGGTCAACAAACACGTCATCAGAATGAGTGGCTTGCCAGGCGCATGCAATGATGTCATTACCATCGTTTGACTCTCCCGCAATGCCCAATTCAATGCCTTCTTCGATTCGTTTGCAACACTAATCGCTCTTGGGGAGACGCACCACAATTTTAGAATTCAGCCCCGGTAAGCGCGTCGGACATTTCCAGGCCCGAGACAAACAGCCCACGGTAAAAACGCATCCAAGAAAAGGATGATTTCGAGCACACGATGGAATCAGAACCGCTTCAGCGACACAGAAGCTCAAGTTGGACCTTGGACTGACAGTTCGAGCATCGGCTGTCCCGTATAGCAAGCTTACATAGTCTCCATTCCAGGCAACCTAACACTGTCAAAAAGAAAAACCGGTGAAGAAACTGCGACAGGCTTTAATGTGGTCATGCAGGACATCTCACCTTCTTTCCGGAGATGGCACTCCGCCGCACATCATCCTCCCGGCCAAGGAACTGCAGGCACATTCGTTCAGCATCAGCTTCGAGAATGTGGTCAAAAATTGCGTTCCAGAGCAACCAATCGGAGATCCTGACATGGTGAAGGATCGGTTCGCTCCAACATGACCTTCGATTTGACAGACAAGCACCTCAAGCAATTATGTAGCAACGTTTACTCTGCTAAATTGTTCTACTATACACGAAGACAGGCTCGAATAAAGCTTCATGTCAGATCAGGGGATCACAGATCCACACCTTGGAGAGCTGCACAGGCCCCGCGTCCTTGTCTTTGTCCTTGTCCTTGTGTCTGCGCTTCTTAGCTCGCTTCTCCTCCTTGTCCTTCTTGCGCTTCTTTGAATTAGAGCTCTTTCTCTGTTCAAGGCCGCTCAGAAAGGGCCAGACAGGGTACAGAAAGGGGAGGAAGCCGCTCGAAACCGCAGCACAGAGGCAGAGAGCAGCGTCAGCCAAGCAAGGGGCTACCTCAAGTTGCTATACCTTCTTAATCTCAGCCTCTGAAACAAATGACTCATGACCTACGATCAGATAGCTTCAGTCTGAAGGACGGAGCAAGAAATGGTCACTATCTGAACGCACATTCCCCATGACAAAGTGCACAAGAAGAGAATGTTGAATCATAAAAGTCACAGCAAGAGATGAACTAAGACAGTAGTTCTGTCAGTTCAAGGAGAAAGAGAGGGTGGAAGGCGAGGGCGTGGCTCACCTTTCTCTCAGGGCTGTCCTCATCTCTGAACGATTTTACCTTCCGCTGGAGAAGGGAATGCAATGTCAGCGTACACTTCTGACTCCTGAATCGTCACAGGAGAAACATGCCAACCAATAAAGCCCTGACTGAACCAACATCTAAAAGACTAAGGCTGTGACTGGAAATAACATTTAAAAGTGCTTCCGTTCTGGGGAATGACTTTGACCGTCAAAATGTCCACTTTTAACACACATGATCCAGATTGTGAAGGGCAAGCTTCACCGAAACAGAGTGAAGAAGCAACTAACTCTTACATCGTCGTGTACCTTGCCATGGAGCCTCACCTTCTTTTCTCCTGCAGTGAATCCCATCTTTGACTTCTTGTGATGCCCTCTTCTCGTTTCAGAATCTGAGTCAGACTCAGAGTCTGAGAAGCTGCTTGAGGAGTGTGCTCGCCGCCTGCAGAAATGCATTGCCGTCTCAAAATCTTGTCTTCCATGTGCAAAAACATGAGCACATTGAGTCCTGAAAGGGCACACACTCTGCAGAAGTTTCAACTCAATTCCAAAAGCAGCTTCTGTGCAGTTCAGCTACATCGGTGCAATTCCACCTGTTAACATCTTGGGCTGTATAGACAGGAAACTTCTGATACTTGCAATCGACTTTGACGTCCAAAGTTTCTGCTCACGATATGCTCACAATCCCCTGACAACTTGCAAACAGTTTACAACAACCAGCAAAGATCTGCTGCCCACCTGCGCTTTTCAGAGCGTCGAGTACCTAAACTCTCCCTATCACTTCCGCTGGAGCTGTCACTTGTTGAGCTACTCGATTCTTCTTTTCGTGAGCGGTGCCGTTTCTTTTTCTTTCCATCCCGCTCATCTTTGCCCCTGCTCGAGCGCGAGGGCTTTGATTCTCGTGGAGACATGTCCTTTCAATTGACGTCAGGAAAGTACTCCCGGTGCTCCAGTAGCAGCTTTCAAGCTTCTCAGAGCGCAGATGAGCAAGACATCATGCGAATGCCAGCCCCAACGGCCTCCAACTTCAAGTTCTTGAGCTTTTTCGCAGCGTGTGGAGGCTGCTATGAAGCCTGAAGCCACGTACGGTACGCTGGAGCCTGAGGCGGATCCATAACCCATAGGTATTCACAACATATCCAGTATGTTGTTTACGAGGTTTAGGTAGGTCTTGAAAATGTAGTGTCATGTATTTTGGGCGCTGTAACGTACCAATCACCAAGTATTGTTCTTTTCGCGTGCGGTACTTAGGTATTGTGCTCGGCGTCTTGACACCCTTTTCTGTGGACTAAGGGATATATTGGGAACCAGTCGAATATAATGTTCAGAGGTTCTCGAACTGAGCACTATCATGTGGAGCAATCCATGTTGCAACTTGCAGAGCTATACCAACATTGCATTTGGAGCACTTCTGCATGACGCCTCAGCCATGAGCTGAAAGGAGGAGGGTGTCAACAGACACGTTGAGAGAGGACAGATGAGCTGATTCCATTTTCGCAGCAATGGCGTTGGTGCGGGCGAAGCCTGTGGGAGGCATAACAATGCGCGCTGATCCCAGCCAAAGGAGTGGATACAGTCGTGGTTCGTTCATCACTCACACGTCTCAAAGCCATTGCTCTTTCAGGCAGATCAGTGTGCGCTTAATGCTTTGTGGTCCAACTAAGAACCTTTCCTCTTCCTCTTTGAAGCAGACCTCTGCGCACCACAAGTGGCAGCATTTGAGCTTTGAGGGGCCGCCGCATAGCTTCCGATCATGCGGCACCAAAGCTGGTTTTCTCAAAGAGAGTGGTCAGCTCATTGGGAAGCTATCCACAAGGAGGGGCGTCCTTCAGAAAAGACCAAAATGCTGCCAAGCGGTTTCAAAGTTGGCCGAGGGGGGCCGGTCCACTGCAAGCTTCGTAGCTTTTCCAACTAAGAAAGCACACCAACCATCAACAGAACGGCCAACTCCCGATCACTGGCAAGACAGGAGACCAACTCAGGCGCGCTTCAAATGGGCCTCGTTCTATCTCGGCTTATCGGCAGCGGCCGCGAGCCTATTGAGGAGCAATGCCAAGCTCGTCCTCGCCGTGTCGCTTTTGCTTGCAGCATATGCTATGCGCTCAGGCGTGCTGGATATGGTCCGTGGCCCCTTTGGGGACTCAGCGCCACGGGTTGGGGGTTCTAAGGCACCATTTGACGATCCGACAGAAAAACTGGGGAACCAGAATAGTGTCAAAGCAAACGCTGGCGCAAGCGGGGGGCAGCAATTGGCAGCGCAGGAGACCCCTGTTGCAACGGAGGCGACTGCAATGGAGGTGGTCAGGCCAGTTCATTTCACGGAGGAGGGGCTGCGACCGGTGAGAGAGACCCTTGATAGTAAAATGCCCCTTTTGAGGACCCTCTCCTGGAACATGCGTTTAGGATTACATCCCATACGTCTTTCTTGGATATTATACACCGCACGTTGTCTACTTTGTGGTGCCTTCGCCTGCAACGAATTTTCTGGATTCTATTCTCACCTTTTTTGAATCATTGATCTGTTTATTGAATTTTGTCGGGGCATTGCCATGTAAAGCAATGCCCCCTGTAAAGCAATGCCCCGTGTTGCGCTCAGACTCTAACCCTCACATCAGCTCCCAGTGACAATTGGTTAGCTACGTAGCAGCAGTCACTTCAAAACCAAGTAATGTTGGACAAACAAAACTCATCAAGTCTGGCTGATGTCGCTGTATCCAATGTGGATGCCTTTTTGGTCTTCTGATCACTGCTTCGACTCGCTCTGCAAAGAAAAGAAACGTACCACGTATGCCCTTCTCTCATTCCATGCCAAGTTTCCAGGTAACACGTCATCGCCTCTGCAAACAGAAGCAGCACGATTAAAGACGCTCTAACACCTTCTTCCAACACACAGAATTCTGGCATAAATGCATGAGATCAGCACACTTGAGGTCGTCTTTTGACGTACACAAAACTTGGATGGCTGCTCGAAATGAGGCTCAATACTCTTGTTTTGAGTCTAAGTCGCGGCTCCTTCTGTGCAGGTCATTGAGGCTGCCAAGAGGGAAGTCCGTCAGGAGGTGGTGGCAGCGGGCGTCGTCGGGCGCCTCGAGCGCGTCATGCGGATGCTCCCCATCATCCAGGAAGCGGCGCTCGCAAGCCGAGACCTGGCAAAGTATGACCACAGTGCATCGGCATGCCATACTTGCTTTCTTTTACCTATCTGACATGTTTCATGGATTTCGTTTCAAGTTCCTTCGCACCTACGGGCTTTAAGTTTTATCGGGATCCAGGTTATCTGGATCTCAGGGTAATCTATGTCCGCACTCGAATCGCTTGCTCTTTGCGTCTGCCGTGAAAAGTCCATTTTAGTATGACTCTTCGAGCAATTACTTGACCCACGAACCAAGCACGGTGGTAAAATCTGACTTGCTCCCCAGTGCGCCCCGGACATCGCTTCCAGATTGTTTTGCAACACAATTGGAAAACCTTTCAAGGAGTTTGCTTGCTCCAAACCTCCACCAATGTCAAATGCAGACTCAACCCCTCAGTCTAACTCCTGAACTTCATTTGTCAACCATTGGTCAAAAGCATCGATTGTTGGAACATACTTGTGAGGGACTGACTAGCGACACACAATTGTTGACCTGTTTCAATCTGCTTCTCCTCGCAGGCAGGCGTCCGGAGACACCGCTGCTGTCCTGGGTGTGTCCACAAAAATCAATGCTGAGGTGGTCGGGCTGAAGCGCCAGGTGGCGGCCGGTTTGGACGCCCTTGGACGGAACCTGCAAACAGACCTGTCCGAAGAGGTCCGGAAAGGCGCGGCTGAAGTGGCCGGCTCAGTCAAGGAGGACCTGCAGCAGATGGAGGGGCGGCTCTCCCGAAAGGTGAATGTCAAAGGATGAAAAGAATCCACGCTGCTTATATACGAGCCATCTTTTGATTCATCGCAATGTAACTCCAAGATTCAGCGAGCCGCCAGACAATAGGTCGTCATCTTCTGACCGATTTTGTGCTCGGACGTCGTTGGTTCGATTTTACCAGCCCGCTGCCTGGGGATTAGCTGCTTGTATTTTGAAGCGACTTTGAGGCCATCGCTTACTTTGGACACATTTTTCTGGCGTTCCTAACCGGGACAGCGAAAACAATACAGGTTCGTTCAGAGGAGGACCGCAAGCTTACAAAGGTTTGCTCCTGCCAGCTTCGCTACTTGGAAAAGAAAGCTGCCGACATCAAGGAATGTGAATCTAAGTGCTCAGCGATTCCTGTGCAGGTTGCAACGTCTGCCGAGGTCCTCGCCCTGCACCAGCGCCTCGACGCCGTCGCGCGCCTGGTAGAGGACGTCGCTCGCACCAGCGTGCAGCTCCAGGCGATTCCTCTGCAGGTCGACGCGCTCCAGCAGCAGCTCTCGCAGCGAACCCTGGACCCTTCCGAACTCGACCTGCAGAGGAGTGAGCTCGGTGCCCTTGGCCACGTGTCTCAGCAGCTGCAAAGCTTGCAGAACGTGGCGGAAGATAGGACGGAGGTTTTGTTGCAAGAGGTTCAGGGTTCTGCCGCTGCGACCGTGAGAATCGCAGAGTGGGGGGCAGAGATTGCGGCAGACGTGCGAAATCTGAAGCCGACTTTGGAGGAAAGTGCGCGACAAAACGCGGAAAGCGTGCAAAGGTTAGCGGACATGAACCAGGGTTTGTTGGACGGTGTCCGGGAGGTGGCCGAGAGGAGCGTCCGGGCGTCCGAGGAAGTGAGGAACGAAGTGGGGGGGTTGGTTGACCTGCAAAAACGAGGGGGGGCAAGAGAAATGGAGCGGGTCCTGGCAGAGGGTTTGGCAGCAATTGCGGCGCAGCTACCGGGGCTGATGGAGAAGGGAACGGAAGAACTAGGCGCGGAGAGCTTTAAGGGTGCGAAATCGGACGAGGACGAAGAAGAGGTTGATGAATTGCTTTTGCAGGCGCAGAGAGCGTATTTGAGCGCGTATGCACCAGCGGGGGCGGCTAAAGAAGCAACCGCTGCTGTTTTGGACAAGGGAGAAGGTGAGACGGTGAGAGGGGAACTTTCGGAAACGGTAACGGCGCCGGAAACGGTCCGTTTGGTTGAGGGCCTCGTCGAAGACGAAACTGTGCTCGAGGGGCTGTGGAGCAACCCTCTGCTCACGGCGGTTGCTTCGCAGCAGTCTACTATGCCGGGGGGGGCCAGATTGGAAGTTCCGAAAGAGGTGGAGAAGCAAACGCAGGCGCTGTTCTCGGTTATCGAGGAGAAGCTCCGGTCGGGCGTCCCTGCTGACGTGGCGATCACGGGGGCCATTGACGAGGCGCCACCTGGCACCTTAACGGACGCATCGTGGATTTTTGAGTTGGAGGGGGCAGAGACCAGGCAAATAGGGGTTAGCACAACTGAAGATGCGGGAGGACAATTTTGGGAGTCTTCTCAAGCGGCTGGGTTAGGGCGTGACCCGATTGAACTAGGCGAGTGGGCGTCGTCAGAAGATTCGGAACACGAATGGGGTGATTTGAACGCTCAAGAAACAGTCCCGCGGATGAGCAACGACAATGACAATCGGTCTTTGAACGGAGCGGAAGTACCTGCGGCGACGAGATTGGATTCAGAAGATGCGAGTGCTCAGGAAAGGAATGGGAACGTGATGACGGGCGCTGAAAGAGAGGAAGGTGTGGAAGGGCTGTACGGGCGAAGGGGCTCGGCAGCGGAAACGGAAACGGAAACGGAAGCAGAACGACCAATGGCGCGTCAGATTGGTGACGACCTTGACGGGGCTGATGCCTGGAATGGAGGTGTGCCTTCAGAAAGGGAGGGTTCAAACGAGAGGTGGTTCCGGGAACACTTCCTGAGGGGGGAGCAGTTGGAAACAGAACGAACTGTTGACGCCAGAAGCGAACCGGCTGACGTCACGAGCGAGTGGGCCGGAGTAGCGAGCGAAAGGGGTGCCGATAATGCTGCAAGGTTTGACGAAGCGCCAGGCTTTGCAACGGAGTCGGAGTCAGAGCAGGCAGGATTGCGTCGAGAGCCCGATCTGTACTCTGTTGCAGGATCGGAACGAAGACTTGAAGAGTCCAATTGGGACAATGGGGGGGAGCCAAACGCCCCTCCTGAGGCGCCGATCCTTTTCTACTCGGGAGAGCGCGACTGGAGCCCACGTGGGGGGGGCTCGCCGGTCCCGGACCTCCGGTGGGGGGGGCAACTCGAGCTGGAGCGCGACCCCTCTGAAACCGTTCTAGGCCTCCAAAGCGAGCGGGACTCGGAGCTGCTGACGTCAGCGAAGTCGGCCGGAGACGTCACTCCTGGTGTGAGTGCGGCGATGGGCTCGGACTGGGTGGAGCAGCCGCCAGACGACAACTGGGGCGAGAGGAGGGGCCGGGGGGCGTATTCACAGCGGGGGAGAGAGGGGCGGGGGCAGGGTGGGAACGGGCGCTCGTCGGAAGAGTGGGACTATGACGGGGGGAGCGACTTTGGTGCGGCGGGGGGGAATGAGTCAGGCGCTGAGCGAGAGAACTGGGGTGATCGGTCTGGCTGGCAAGGACGGGACAATGTGAATCGGCGCCGGGCAGAGTATGAAGAGGAGTACTGGGAAGGGAGTGGTGCCAATTCACCCCAACGAAGGGGCCCGCAAGCTGACGAAGAGTGGGATAGACCATACCCCGCACCTGAAGACCCCAGCCCCTACCCCGAGAACCGAACAGAGGTTCCGCCGGGTGCAGCCAATTGGGACGAACCTCTAGAGGATCCGCCCACCAGCCCGGAATACGAGGACAGCGTGAACCGGGGGTTGCGATTGCTCGAGGAGGGCCGGAAAGGGCTGAGCGGACAGTCCGAAGTGGTCATCGCGGACCGCATGTTTTCGGACGCGGAGAAAGCGTTCGAGGAGGCGCTCGCGATGGTCCCCGACGACCGGTGGGCGCTTTTACAGCTGGCGAGCGCGCTGCTGGACCACGGGGAGCTGAAGCACCGCCTGGCGGAGCGGGTGAGGCGTTTGGTGCTAGTCTGAGGTTTGCAGTATTCTTCGAATTGTAGCTTGTCTGGGTTTCAGGGAGCAAGTCGAATGCCGTGCAGTATGAGGATCAAAGGCTTGAGTTCCAGTATTTGGAGATTTGAACAGTCTTGAGTTCTAGTGTTGGTACAGTGGCGTCGAACAAAGGAAGATTGAACGTTCTTTCGGAAGCACCGGCTGGCGGAGCGGGTGAGGCGCTTGGTGCTTCTTTGAGGTCTGCGATATTCTGCGCATGTCGGCTTGTTTTGGTACCAGAGAGACAAGCCGTTTTGCGTTCGGTATGAGGACCTAAAGACTTGAGTCTTTAGTATTTTCTAGTGTTATCTAGTGTTTTCTACTGTTCTCTTGTATCTGGACTTTGGCATTGAACAAAGGAAGCCAGAACGTTTCGTCCAAAAGCGATACTCAGATTACTGTCTTCCAGCTCTACTTCTCAAGGTTTTAGATGGTCAATACGAGTTCCTGGGCGGTGTAGATCCAGATTCCTGCAGGTTCGAGTTCTAGGAATTCCAACAAATGTTGCAAGCTTCATCTCCGGATAAAAGCAAGCGACATTGAGCTCGTCGTCTTTCGCCGGGTATCCCCTCAGTTGTCGGCTTCCTTGGGATGAGGCACGTCGTTAGTACGTTTGGTATTGCGCTTCTCGAGGATGCTTCAGCAGCTGTGTTTAGCCTATTGTCATGGACCTGCTTTGGCACGCAATAAAGAAACGAAGCCGACAACCACTTCAATAAAACCCTTCCGGAACGAACGTGCCACGAAACTGCGAACGAGAAGAAGGCTGATCAGACGTACAGTCAGAGTCAAGCCGTTTGGGAGACTTGAGGAGATACAGAAGGGCAGACGGAATCGGTAGGTACGATGCCCGGGAGCCTCCGCTTGATTATCACATGTTGCCGATGTACCCCCCTCTCATTGCTCTCATCTTCCCCCCCTGCCAGGTGTCTGCGAGCGCAGAGGGCCGCTTTGCCAGCCCCGAGGAGGAGGAGTGGCTTCAGGCGATCCTTGACCAGGGGGGAGATCCCGCTGACGTCATTGCCGAGCTGCGCGAGGGCAGCGAGGAGCTGCTCAGGGAGGCAGGGCGCGCGTGCCGCGATGGGGTCAGCCGGTAAGGGTTAGGCTTTACGATTGTTCAGGTCACATGCGAGTTTGGTGAGGGTTTTGGGGGGAGAGTTGATCTTATGATGTTAGAAAACGTTTGCAATGGTACGGGAGAAACTTGGGATTCTCAGCAAACAGGAAACGAGAAAGCCGGGGGCGAATGTGCAAGGTTGCAACTGAAAATTGACGGTCCTGGGGTGAAAGATTTTGAGGTACTTGACGAATCTCATGCTGCGTGCATTATTAGCGTAGTCCAAGCTTTGGTCGTTTTGCGTCCTTGGACCTGTGCTTTTGTAGAAGGAATGGTGTTTAGGGGGTGCGGTGCCTGCGGAGCAACGGTCCGGAAGTGGAGAACTTCCTTCAAGTCCCTAGGCGTCGAGAGTCACTGGCATGGAGCGTCCAAGCAAGCGGGCAAATCAGTGAAACCGAAGAAGGCAAAAGCCAGATCGACTTGAGATGTCGACAGAACTTACGAGCCTCTCATTCAGTGTGACGCCGGAGTTCCCCAGAATATTTAAGATCCTTCGAAATCCTGATGCCCAAGCACCCCAAAACCTCTCTGATTTTCACAACCCTAAGAGAAAGTTCCGGCAGAGAGCCCACGTTCTCAAGGTCGCACGATCGGATGCTAACCTGCTAACACTTGGATTCTTCCCGGTCGGTTGCAGGGAACCCCGGGACACGGACGCGCTCACTCTGTGGGGCCTGGCGCTGTGCCTGCGGGGCCAGCTGGCGAGTGACCGGGGCAACGAGGAGGGGTCGGGGGACCTGCGCAACGAGGCGGACGAGCTGTTCCAGGCGGGGGTGGAAAAGTTCGAGGCGGCGCTGGCCGTCAATCCAGATCTGTGGACAGGTAAGGATTCTTTCAGAGTACAGATAACAAGACTTTGGTTCTTGAGGTGTTCCCAATCAGTGGGACTGCGATCGAAAGGACCGCTTGTCGTAGACCGGCCAGCGAGACCAGAAGTGACAAGTATGTAACGTTCTGAGATCTGTGGTTCTCGATGAGGCTGCAATTGGGAGTCGCTTTCTTAAAGCGTTAACACAGGTTCCCTGGCAAAGACGGTGTGTTTATCTGTCTTCACTACTGGAAACGGCACAGTATGAGATATGCAGAGTTGAAGACCAGAATTCACACGGAGGAGAAAAGCAACACAGTCGGTCATTTGCATGGGGCACATCGGTAAGGCATTTTTCTCGCTGGCTGATGGCCGTTTCCACTCGTGGTTTTTCCTGCAGCGCTTTTAAACTGGGGCTTTGCGCTTCGCGACCGGTCCCGGCTGCGCCCCATCACGAGCGTGCAGCGGCAAAAGCTCCTTACGGAGGCGCTCGACCTAGTTGCTGAAGTGGCGGACAGGGGAAAGAAAGGCGCCGCCGAGACGCTCATGGCCCGGCAAGAGCTTCCCGTGCTAGAGAGCGAACTAGACATGGTACAAGAGGCGGTTGAGGCTTCGCAGAACAGACGGGTTTCGGGGAGGCGAACGGCGGAGATTGATCAAAGGCCGCGCCGAGCTGGCGCGGACAGGTGGAGTGAATTGTAGCCGCACATTGTCTGGAGTTTGATTGCTTTGTTGTGCTTGCACATTCGCAACACAAAGACGAGCTTGATTTGTTCTCGCACTGAGGATAATCTGTTTGAAATTGCTCACCAAGGAATTTATGTCCCTGAAGGGGACGCCACGCTGACGTGTATGCATGCTCTCATCTAGGTGTCCCTAGCATGGCTTACCAACCAAACATTTGAATAACTTGAGTTCTGGCAAGTCATGTTTGCTCGAGCCTGGGGGCGGACGGGAATGGAAGCTGCAACATGCTATCTGCGGGCCATTGTCCCTGCAACATGCTATTTGCGGGCCATTGTCCAAATGATCGGTCAACCTGCCATACACTTCGTTCGTATAGCCGACTTGAGCCCGGCCACGCCAGCAAGTGTGCACTGCATGTATGGGTGCCCATTATCGGCCATGCTTAAAGCATTAAGCCGGATTATCCACATCACATGCCGGACTTGGCGGCTGCGAGCTTGCCACCACCGATCATAGCTGGTGGTGAGTGACACACATGTACATTGAGCGCGCACGCGCAGTTATCATAGTATCATGTAACATGTTTCAATCATTGCGTGCATGAATGTTAAAGAATTATAGGCCGTTGCACGAACATTCAGCTAGTAATCGTCAACCTCTCGATCATTCGGTTCATGCATTGAGTGCATATGTGATATATGACCGGCCGGCCATTAACTCGCGATGCAAGATGGATATCCGTTGAAACGCAGTACGTTTACTTCGCATGATCCATGACCCCGATCGATACTGCAGCTGTCACACTTGCATCGAGCTAGGCTGAATCCTTTAGTGCAATTAAGGGATATCTGACCGTTGGACGTGGCAAATGTAAATTTCGGGGACGGTATAGCCTAGCTTTTAAATGTACAGTGGTGATCGATCAATTCAAGGAAGTCCTAATTGCATATTCGCATCATTCTCAAACAACTTAAGCAGAGCTTTGATGTCAATGAATGATCTCCTTAGGCTGGCCGAGTCAGGCAAACGTCTATGAAGTTCAGTACTCTACGTTGCGTTGTTCGTCAAAGTTGCGATGGAGCTGTGCTGATCGCAATGACAGCTCGACGGCGAGTGTGTAACAGTCCGTACGGGATTCTCTACGACAGAGAGCTATCTTCCAGCTAGCCGTACACTTGTCTGTGGGTGCATCATTCAGGACTTTAATGTCGGGCTTGACTATCATGACAACTGATGCGCCCTAGCTTCTGGGAGTCCGCGCTTTTCTGCGCCCGCTTTCTGCACAAGTGCTGCCTGATCGACAGCCTGCAGGCTCCCACTACAGAGAGTCCGGATTCTAACGTTATTACTGATTACCGGCGACGGTGCAATTGATGCAGTCAATCTATCATTACCTGTACTCAGACTTGATAATATGGCACGGAGTATTTTGGAGCAGCTTCTCTTCGGATCGGTTCCTACTCCAACACAGAGAGGAGAACTTCTCGCAACCGAACCTGCGAGAATGGTTTCGACATATACGCCGTCATACCCACCTCAAGGCACCGCTCTTTCACCCCCTTCTTTACATCCGCGCTGACCGCAACAATGCTCATCCTCCTATGCCTTCTCGAGTCCAACGACTTTGATCTCTGTACAACGCCCGACTGAGCGACATCAGCCTGTGGTGACGTCAGCGAACTGGACCTTTTAACAATTTGCAGTGATCTGTCACCAGGGGACGACGCTTTTTGTGGACCGTCGGCTACTTGTTCGTTATCTGCGATACTGTTCTCTTTGTCGGAGTCGGGGCTCTCGGCGGGCGTTCCCTCGAGCCAGGCGGCCTCCATGGCTCGTATCTTCTGCACCGCTTCGTAGCCGTCCATTTCCGGCATCTGCACGAGGAACGTCTGACGTCACGATTGCGCCTCCCGTCGTCAGCACTGTCAAGCAACGATGACTTGCGGGAGCGAGCCCTTCCGGGCATTAGGAAGCTGCACTGCCGCGCCGGCTGGGAACCTGCTGCGTAAAAGATGGTCGATAGCAGAGGATGACGTCTCGACGATGTCATTGGACTACAACGTCGGACTGCTACCGAGCAATTGATGCGGACGTCTGCGACTTGCAACAGTTGTCCGAGCCGTGTTGACGTCCTAAGCACGCCCCTAAAGATACCTCACCAGATTTTCCCAGGAGGAATTCCACCCATAAACAATGCCCTGATGGAAAGAAGTCCAACCTTGGAGATACGAAGACAAGCAGAAGACAGCAAGTATGACTCCCACCTGCAAATCCATCAGCACAATGTCGAACCCCTCGCCCGCAACGTGCGCCTCCCGCACTCGCTCCAGCGCCTCCGCGCCGCTCGCCGCAAACACCACTTTGCACCCCTGCCCTTCCAAGATCCGCCCCGCCAGCTTTCTGTTGATCTGGTTATCGTCCACAACCAGCGCTTTCCTCCCTTCCAAATACTTCGCCGCCACCGATTGCCGCCGTTTCCCGACCACTTCCATGCCGAGCGCTTTCTGGACGGCCGTTACCACCGGGAGCTCGCGCAACGGCCACCCTAGAACTTCCACGCACCCGGCTTGGAGGGCGGCTTCCCGCGCACCGTCTTTTAGATGGGCCGTTACTGCGAGCACGGGAGCCGTCGATTGCATAGCGCGGATCAGATGAACGGTTCCCTCTTTTCCGATGGCGTCCCAGTTCACCACGACTAATTCCCCTGGAGTTTTATTTCTTGAGACGGATTTCCGACGCGGGCTGGTGACGCCCCGGGGCGAAAGGACGGGCGGTGCGTCGGCTGGATTTCCGTTCTGGTTCCGGTGGGGTTCCGCTGGGATTCCGTTGGCTTCGACTTGTAACCTCCGGGGCGACAGGACTGGCGGTGCTTCGACCGGAGTTCCGTTGAGGTTCCGGTGGGGTTCCGGTGAGAATCCGTTAGCTTCGTTTTGCAATCTTGGAGAGAGGACTGGGCTCAAGCCCGGTTGGCCCTCTGTCGAGAGCGTCGGCGGATTCGCGGTCGACTGTTTTGACCGGGGCTCGACGAAAGGTTTCGAAGTCGAAGTGCGAGGCGTTTTGGCACGCGCCTCTCTGACCGTTCCATTCGGAGTCGTTTCCTCACGAGAAGGCTCCGGCCTGAACGCATCGCCGGAACTCTCAGTCAAAGCTCCGGGAATCTCCAAAGGCGACCTGTGCGCCGTGCCGCTGAGCGTTTCCTGTGCCGTCCGTTCACCAACCGGTTCCGGGTTCCGCTTCTCCCGGCCGTTCCGTGGGGAAAGCGAGGACGGACACACGTGGTTTCGGAGCCCGGAAGGGGCTTCTTTGCCTGGATTTGGGAGGATGCGGCTGACAGCCTCGGAAACGGTTTCGACTACAAAGGACTCTGCTCCCAAACGAGTCAGCATGCAACCGATTGCCGAGCCACGGATTCCGTTGGTGTCAACTATCACTGCGCGTATCCTGCAGACAGCAGCAATCGGGCATCCTTTAGTCGGGGTAGTACTTGACTGTTCTCGTGTAGCAACAACGAGTGCTAAGGGCACTTGCTACTGAAGAGTGTGGACAGAATGCTTTGGCCAAACGCTTGTACGACCATTTCCAGGTTGCAGCTTTTCTGGGCGACGTATCGGTGTCCACGCCACAGTTTACAGAGGTTCCGGGGTGTCGCTATAAGGGTCTTTTCCGGAATTTTGTCTGATTTAGGGTCGTTGGTGACGGTCAAAACTGAAACGTAACAGTGAGAGTCAACTTCGGCTACTTTTGACCGGCCTCCGGTCCAATATTCCGGCGGAAGGCCTAAGGCCTAAGAACTTGGTTCGATTGGCTGACCCAAGCACCACCTAGACTCCCACCATGATAGAGTCGGTTTCGCTGCCAAGATTCACGCTATAAAAGCGATATTTATTTGGATACTCGGTGACTTTCCGCACCAGATAGCAGCACCTAAGACTGTCTTTTGAGCCGCAAACGTCACAAAATTGAAACGAATTGCCACTAGTCGAAACCTCATCTTCCACTCACCTCGACGCAATCCCCAATGCAGCGGGCGCAAACGGAGGCGGGTCAAGGACAACCTTGTTGTGAACCTCATTATGTACAGAGAAAGAGAACCGGCTCCCCCGATCCTCCACGCTCGCGACCGTCATCAGGCCCCCCATGGCCTTAACCAGCTTGGCGGTTATGCATAACCCGATTCCGCTTCCGCCCCACTTGCGGGTGTGGCTCGAGTCCGCCTGCACGAACGGCTGGAACAACCGGTGCTGGACGGACCGCGGAATGCCTGCAGAGATGGGTTACGAAAACAGATTTAGCTGTCGACCAGATGGGAAAATGAGGAGCAGCATCAAAGGAAATACTTGCTCTACTGAATCTTGGAACTTGGGCTTGTTAGTGTGACGACATTTGATGCAAACGACTGCCATTTTAGGTTGCGATGGAGTGCCGATCATACGACTTTGTATGAACGCTCTGATAACCGGAGGTTACACGAGGCTGAGCTTCAATCCTGGTATAGTCCGGCTCCTTCCCTTTCCGTTTACCTCTCGCTTTTCCATGATTATGGGGGGGAAAAGAGCGAGGGTACAATGACTGCTGCATGTCCATCGCTATACGCTGGAAACGAGCAACCACAGGGGGGCAGTCCAGATTGCCTGCAGACACTGACCCTACTAGAGGCAACAGGGTGGTTTCTCGTCTCTGTTTGAGAGCAATTCAATCTGCCCCGGACAAAAATATAAGTAAGCGTACACATTTCTCCTAACCCTCACTCAAATACAATGACCAGCCAATAACTCTATCCGCTCACCCATGCCGGTGTCTTCCACCGTGAACACCAGATTCACCGTCCCACTCTCCCGGACCTTGGCCGCGGCCGCCTGGGCCCTTTCCCGGGCTAGCTCGACCGCCTCCAGCGTGTTATTATTCAACCGGGGGTCGAAGCTCAGAATTCCCGGGTGCGATTCTAGGAGTGCGTCTAGATTGAACCAAGACACGTCGGTTGGGCCGCCGAAGCCGGGGGTTTCGGGGCTGGGGGTTTTGGCGGCGGCGGGGGGGGGCTCGTCGATGCGGACCCACACGAAGATGCTCCCTTTGGCCGTAAACTGCACGAAAGCAATATGGTTTGCGGGTTTGGCCTACTGGAATTTTAGAAGTCGGACTATAGAATGTTCTGTTTTGAAAATAGAGAGAGAAGCAGATGAGAAAGAAGAAAGCGACGTGAGCCGTACCATGAACAGGGAAAGCGAGAAGGATGCAAGACACCGAAGACTCGCGAATGGTAAAGGAGAACAGGAGGTGAGGAAGAGGGGGTCGTCATCTGATGACCGAGGAAAGCAGGATATTGACCTTGAAACTAAGTGGACGAAAAGCTGCATGCAAGCGGATCGGGGGAGCAGAAACATAAGATTTGGGCTGCAAGCTCCTGAGGAATTTTGCTGCCTTGCGTGTCTGGACGAGACAATAGATCGTCGGATGACCTTTGCTGGCGGGTGCGCCAAATGAGGCTCAAAAAGTCCGACACAAAAAGGCTGGTTCACCCTACCAAATCCGGTAGTCACGGGCCCGTCGAGAGGGAAGGAATCGGCCGTCCGCTAGATCTGGCTAGATCCACGCGACTCGACCAGCGAGCTGATGATTCAGGTCTGAGACGGGGCCAAGGGAGCGGAAAAATGCGGCGCACCTTGATTGCGTTCCCGACAAGGTTCACCAGCGCCTGACGTACGCGGTTTGGATCGCCCACCAGCATCTCCGGCACCTCGTCCTGCACGAATAACGAGGCTCTTACGTCAGATTAGCCTGTTTTAGAGGCTGCTTACGTCGGCGCAAACAAAAGATCGACGGAGCCGTTTGAAACAAAAGGGCCGTCCGGACGTAAGGAGGGCGTCCGGAAGCGTGACCGTCCGGAAGCGTGACTGGCGCGTCTGGGAGCGGATTCGGGCCGTCCAGAAGGGTAATAAGGACGTCCTAAGCGGGGACGGGGCGTCCGAAGTGTCACTCGGGCGTCCGGAAGCGCCCGCGGAGCGTCCAAAAGTGCGCTCAAGCCGCCCGAGCAAGCGCCTGGGACAACCCTAGCCAATGCCGGGACAACTCGCGTGTTCTAAAGCTGAATTGAGAGCTCTGTATCGAGCACCGGTACTAGACACTGTCCTTGTAAGTTCAGCCTGCAGTACAGGACCTCGCTTCCCGTCACGCGTGACCCTCAAACTACAACGACAACAAACCTGGATGAGGAAGACGAAGTCCAGCCGCTTCTGCCGGGCCTTGTCCGCAAAAAGGGCCGCCACCACCTCCATCTCCTTTCGGACGTTGTACGGGATGTTCTCGATGTCCATGTGCCCAGCTTCGATCTACGGACAAAAAGGATTTGGGATGTGAATCCCTCATCTAATCAGACATTCATCGGAAGTGCAGACCTGGCGCTAAACGGAGTTTGTAGTGCCCAACAGTGACGTTGACTCGGCGCTCACTAAGATTTGTATCGTGCACCAAAGCTGCGCTTACTTCTATAATGAAAAAGTCCAGAATAACAATCTATTCGAAGCATCCGTAAGTAAGCGTTGCACAGAAGTGCCCAGAGTACAGACCTGTCCATTGGAACCTTGAGCAATCGACCCTCAAGCGTCCTAGGACTGGCGACTAAGGCCGAGCAGTTCACTTACGACGCGTAATAAGCTGACGTAAGACGCTCGCTCACCTTGCAAAAGTCAAGGACGTCGTTGATGATACCAGAGAGCCCCTGGCCGGACGCCTGCGCGGACTGCACATAGTCCTGCTGGACCGGGTCCTGTAAACGGAGACAAAGGGGATCGAGGTTGGGTAAAAGCAGACAATATAGATGAAGGACCCATGGGGGGCTTGGAAATAGTGTTGGTCTTGAAAGGCAGGGCAGAGGCTCTCCGCAACTGACAAGAGGCTTTCTGACCGACACCCAAGATGGGGACCAGAATACACAACCGCTGCAAGCTCCTAGGCCATTGACCATTCTTCTGAGGGTTATGCCCGATGACGAGCCGCTGTCTTCTGCTGTTCTGCGGTTTTGGCCCGAAACAGACGCGTGCCCTTGCAACGACCCGGCTACGGTGGATTCCAAGATCAGCTTTGCCCAAAGTCAACTCCCGGAAGAGGTAAGCACAGGCGATTCTATCGGTTAAAGACTCACCAGCTGTGTCTCATTGAGCAAGGCGATCATGCCGAGTACGCCGCTCAGGGGCGTCCGAATCTCGTGACTCCTGCAGTGACGAACACGTCGAGTGCGTTAGAATGGGACGATAGGGTGCGGCACTGCAATAATTTGGCCATTTGCAGCCGAGGGCCTGCAAAGCACGGGCAACAGAGGCTCCTTGAACAATCAGACAGCGGCCAAACCAGGGCAACGGGCGTCTTCTGAGCTATACGATACTTTAGTCCGAGCTTTTGTGTGCCGTTACCGGTTTGCGTCTGAAACGGTTTGCGTCTGATATGATTCTGACTGATACAGTAACACAATGTTTTTAGCAGATTGGTCGTAATATGCTAGAATGGAACGAGAAGTAGCTTAAATCTTGAGACCCTAATCGAAGCACGCATTGAAGAACGTGCGGTTCAATAACCCCCTGAATATACACCATCCAATAAACCAACTGAAAGATCACAGCCTTACATGGTCGCCAGGAAGTTGGACTTGGCCATGTCGGCAGCTTCCGCCTCCGCACGCGCGCTCTCCGCCTGCGCTTTGGCATTCCGCAGCTCCTCGTTGAGCTCTTTCACCTGTGGCCAGGATGGCATACGGTCTTTGGTTTTTCGGGTCGCTTATGTGGAAGACTCTCCTCACCGCAAGCGGGTGAAGAGCAATCGAAGCCCAGGTCAAAATTCAGCTTGAGTCTTCGATGAAATCATGGGAATGGACGGCGAAAAGGGCGGAGACAAAGGACGGAAAAACCAATAGGACGGGTAGAATAATTGCCAGACAAACGCAGCGACAAGAAATACTTGGACTGCAGAGCGACAAGGATACAAGCAGGAGTCAGTAGTTCGAAGCGGAAGTAACCGAGAACGAAAGACGAAAAGGGTGAGCAAAGGTGAAAGCTCACCTGTTCCACATTCTTCTGCATCGCCTCCAGCCTGCGGAGCCCCATGGCCATAGCCCCCATCGTCAGCAACACGCCCGCAGCAATCACCGCGGCAAAGCCGCCGTCTTGCGAGTACGCTAGCAGACTTGCCGAACGATCACGACAGCGAACCTCGTAACGACGACCGCCCAAATCGAAGGGGACCACCTGAGAACGTTGCCGAATTGATTAGTCAAAAATCGTGAAAATTCATGGGTCTTCCGACGCGGAGCTAGGAGTTAGGATATGAAACGGGCTCTTGCTTATGTCTGTCGCAGAACCAAAAAATGTCACGTTTTGCTGACGGAAAATTCGTAGTGTAGCTCAAAGCTGTACTTACGGAGGCTTGATTGCACTGCTACGGGTGAGGAGAGCACGTACTGGCAGTCACAACGCGCCCTGAGTGGCCACTGAGAACACTAGCTTCAGCAGGCGTGTGCCGACACACGTACGAATCTATTGTGTATGTCATGCAGAACCTGACAAGAGCTGCATCTTTGTGCCGGTCTTCGCTTCTGACTGGATTGACCAATGGATCGTGCCACTTTAGATACTAGATCTTGTAACCCCCCACAAAGCGATCCCAAGCCTTGGGATGCAGGATGCCCTTCTCCATACTCCGCAATGCCCGCAGTCAAGCCAAGCACAGGTCAAGCACCCGAGGGCAGCAATTCTCCGACCAGGAAACCGTTGGCTTGTGCCCCGAAACAACAGATCCCTGCCTCATCATTACGACGTCTCCGCTCCGATTGTATTCCTCATGTAAGTAGGCCCTGAGAAAAGCACTCCCCCACCAAATCGATCCGGACCAGGATTATTTACTTCGTTCTTGATTACAGGACTCGGATGAAGGTCGAGCGCTTTCTCTGGTGCGACAACTTTTCCAAGGGGCAGAATGTCTCACCTCTTCCTTGGAGTAGGAACCGCTCCCAAAACCGCTCTGTGCATACATCTGGCCCCCACTCGCAGGAGCTCCCCACACCAGAAACGGGGCCGAATCAACTGGAATGCCAGTATCTAAGGTAACGTCCTGTCCAGACACCACGATCCCTTCGCTCCCTTTGTACGGCTCCAAAGCCGCTGTAAACAGCGCTGTCAGGTTCAAGATAGTCGCCACAACTCCGACGCACTCTGGCAACGCTGCGGAGCTGGAGCTTGGGTAGACCTGGAAGGAAAAAGAAAAGAGAGTAATTCATTTAGAACGTCGCATAGAAAGGACTCAGAAGAGGAACAATTTCGAAGATCATATCGAAATGGATGCAGGCTTGCGACGTGGCAGGAGCCGCAACGCAAGCAGCAGCTGTTTGATGACGTGGATATCTTGACGTGGGAAGAATCGGTGCCAACCACGAAAGTTGCAGATACAAGAACGGGCAGAAGTTCGATTGCAAAGTGCCTGAACTTTCTGCAGCGTTTGTCTGTTCTCCCACAGACGTTTTCGTAAGTGAATCCTATATACGAAAGATGGAAACTTGACGGAGACAATTCACGAAGTAAGGCGTGTCTTCAACGCACACAGCGACTCGTGGCGTCCGATTCCTCCTCACCGGCGAAAAGATAGGCAACACTACTGTGTCTCCGAGTTTCCTCGGATGTCCTGCAACAGGGTTTGTGCTCTCGCAAGCTCTCTTCACGCTGTTCATTGGCATGTTGAAGCCCGTCCAGTTGGATATATGAAAGCCATCCCTGCAGTGACGTCAATTCGAATTAGATCGCTTCGGTTCTTTTTCTGGCATTCTAAATCCTATGTTCCACTTCGTGGACTGTCAGGGCAAGTTCTGGCGATGGTAGTGGACGTGAATACTTTACGGAAGTGTTGAGAGACATGCCAAAGTGGGGCTCAAGGTTTGTATGCTGCCCAGCTCAGATGTCCACAAACAGACATTGCAGAAAGCCTAAGGTCCTTGAGTGTCCTAAGGTCCTTGAATGTCTTAACGAACTTTGATTCACGAAAATGGTCAATATGGTGATATCGACCTCTCTAGCCGATGCCAGTGCAATGGCGGCTGACTCTAGCGTTTCATTGCACTTTTATCAGCTTCCTGACAGGGCACTCAAAGCACGTGTGGTGTTGCTTAAGTGGAAGCCGCAGCTTGCAACGTCCAGATCTGGTTTGCAGAAGCCTCTTGATACAATGAACTTCCTGAGCTTCTGAGGCTGGCAATCAGGCAGTCCTTCGTCCACTTATCATGTAGAAAGTGGCCACTCTATCTGCACTATGAGATGGAACAAGTACTCACCAGCCAAAGAATGTCCCAGGCACGTTTGCGTACAGAACAACAGGAGCATACTGCTCTTCTTGAGGCACAGGAATAACCCCAGGTCTAGTTCCTGCTGTGTCCCAAGTCCAGAAACCACTTCCCAGCTCCGTTTCAATCCTACTTCGATCTGTCTTCAACACGACTGTCGAATATAGTGTAAGGAGCGCCGGACTGGCTCCGTATATCGAGGCTGTAACTAGCTGGAACATAGTGGCATTGACTGTTGGCATGCCGCTCATTAGCCTGGCCAATGCGTGGGAAGCCTGGAGGTCTGCCGCAAAGGCAGCTGCCACAGCCTGCAGTGAGAACATGTCAATTAATCAGCGGGTAAGATCACTATCGGCAAAAGCTGGCTTGTTTCCATACCCCTGTTACATGTGCATACTCACCACTCAGAGTTCAAGTGGCCTCAAGCGGTCATAACTGAAAAGGTGGTGAGACATGGTGGAAAGTATCAGCATGCTGGCGCACTCTTTCATGTCAGAAGGAATCAGACTTACGGTAGCCCGAGATTGCCACTCAAAGAGCAAATGGACACTTTCAGTGGCCTTCTTTGTGAAAAGCACCAGCAGAGACCTCGACATGGCTGGCTCTCTTTAGAAACTCAGGCTTCAAAGGCTCTTGTCTTCAGCAGTTCAGGACGAAGCTTGCCCTTTTGCTACCATCTCATTTAGTAACATCTTTGGATAGCCATGATCCTGACCACAAGGATGCGACCACCTTGCTTCTGCAAGGAGCTTGCCATGGATTTGTTGCCTGCCACAGACCGATTCAGATGCAGCAATTCGTCAACCTTGACTGGTCATTTATTTTTGCCCATACAATTGCGCTCTTCTTTTGTCCCACTGGCCAGCTTTGGCCTGCTTTGCGCTTAATCTGCAAAACCTTGACTGGTCATCCATTTTTACAATTGCGCTCTCCTTTTGTACCTCTGGCCTGCTTTGGCCTGCTATGCCCTTCATCCCCGAACTGACCAGAGCATGTCAGCTCAATAAGGTCAGGGGAAGCTTCCAATCGATGAAGTTGGTGGGAACCCTTGGAGCTATCCAGCAATCAGTTTCACATTCACTTGGCTGTGCAAGTAGGTGCAAGTTTCTCTAAGGTTTGGGGACAACATAAAGTGATCAAACCAGAGTGTACGCCCTTGGTTTTGTTCATGGACAAGGGACTTGACAGCTTGCATTTGCTTAGCTCATTGCGACTACCGCCTAGCCACAGCTCATGGTTGGACGGCCCAAATGACCTCAACAATTTCTTTCTGAACAAGTTCTTCCCCAAGCTCTGGCCCCTGAGGCACTGAAAGGTACCTGGCCCTTTTTAGAGGAGCTGTATTGGATGTCAAGCGATCACACCGCAGTAGACATGAGCCCAAAGTTTAGGACAATTCCTGCTGACATTGTCCTGCACTTCTTCATTTCTGCTAGCTAACTTCAGGAGATAACAAGTAAGTATATAAGCACTGGCTCAGCTACCACCGCTCCTTACCTGAGCACGCAGATTGCACTCCAAACCAAAGGACTCCATCTGCAAGCTGCTGGCCTTCTGACGGAGGACCCCAGCGGCGAAAAAGGTGGCCATGAACCCTATGGTTGCCCATGCTACAATCGGGAGTTTGAATTGCTTGATTGCTTGGCACAGTAAGCATCCAGGTGATAGCTGGAGAGGCTGGAGGCTGAGCCGCCAACCATTCTGCGCTGGTTTCCCCATCTTCTAGAAACCTTGTGCCTCAAGGCCTGGACCTGATTCAGCTGGTTCACCAGCTACATCCTTCATTGGCGCTGGACAGCTCCACGGTTCTGAACACCGCCAGACTGCCTTTCAAAACGTACAGACAACAGTGACAACTCTCCGCAATCAACTTAATGCCCTTCTTAACTTAGTGGCGGCAAGTGTCACGTAACGCTACTATTACAAGCTCCGGTTTTGTCACTCTGCTAAGATCAGGGGCTATGTGGCACCGCCAAACATATTTTACAAAAGCTCCAGACTACCTATCCCAACCTGCACACGCTTTTCGCGCAAGGAGAAGCCATGATCTATGATGCAGAACTTTCTAAGCATTGCCAGCAGTGGCTCACTCAGAGTCGCTCAGAGTCAGGGACCAGCAGAGCGGCCGATGCGTCACCATGCCAATGCGCAATTGGCGGACTCACTCCGCCAATGTTCATTGGGCATTGCTGGGCTGTTTCGATTCCCGTGCCCACCTCGGACCCAGGACGTCATGCCTTATGTCATCAAAACCGCTCCGTTGTGTACCGCTTGATGCCGTTCCCTGACTTCACGTCATACCAACTACCTGCACAAAGCAAAGCAATGTCTCTGCCGTCGCTCCGCACGAATCCCGTTTCTGTCTTCCTTGTTGGCACGATTCTGATCGGTGGAGTTTGAATTTTAACCGTCTGCCCGCAACTCATTATTATTGATAAAATGGTTGTGACCGGTACAATGTCACTGGTCAGGGACGTCGGGTTATAATACCTACTTCAAAGGTTAGGTATCGTTGACCTTTGTAGTTCAAAGCCTGGCTGCTTTTTGAAGTTCAAGACAAGGGTTAATTGTTGGTTGGTCTAACATGGATCGGTTCCGAAGTTCGAACTTCCAAGTTCCGACCCGCAACTTCCCGGCCTCATTGATTGTTTCGGAGGTCACGCACATGATTACACGCGTAGGATAAAGCTGAGCCGACGTTTACCCGGGCCGGTATACCGAAAGCTGACATCAGTCATGACAAATCGAGACCGTACGCTCCGTTCGATGAAGCCGGCGACGGACAAAGTATGGAAGGAACCGGATTGGCGGAAATTGAGCGGGATCTCTCTGGTGCCAAACATATACCCGGAGGGCCGGTATTATTAAATACCGAGTTCTATTACTTCTGCGTCCGTAGGACCTAACCCACCACTTTTGGTCCCGCAATTGGCGGTGAATGGCGTTTCTGGCTTTCAAGCGACGCCACTCGTTTTTGCTCTCCAGTGATCGGTCGCCAGAAAGGAAGGAGGGAGAGAGCTAGAAAGCGCCACCGTTTCCGGAACCATGGCGGACGCTATGACCAAACCCATTGAATACAGTAGCGCACACACGACATTTCTTCTCGGACCGTCGATTCCAAATTTCGACGGTTTCGATCCTTTTTTCCGAAAGAGGACACGGTTTATTTATTATTAGCACGCATAGTCGCATGACTCTTGGAAATGCTGCAGTGCTGCTGCATATTGCTGTCATCCGTGAATCACTTTACCGGTGGACTTAGTTTCAAAGTACTATGATGGTGTAGCAGCCCATAGAAACTCTGTTACTCTTTAACAATTGAGCGCCAGTGGCAGCATACACAACCTTCCTGGAAATGGATCTAAATGCTTGGTTTGCAGGAAATCCAAATCTCCCTCCCGCCCTTCTCGGCAGCTGCTTACTTGCATTGTTGGCTGCGTTGTTGTTTGCTGTCAGCTTGCGCTCCTCGAGAGCTGAAAAGGGGGAGATAAGAACGCTGCAATGGTACAAAACTGGTTTTCCACTTTTGGGGCCCCCTGCGGAATTTCAAAAAGCTCCTGAAGAGCTCCTTCTAAAAGCGCGGAAGCAGCTGGGGAATGTGTTTGGGTTGAACCTGCTGGCAAAGCGCTTCGTCTTTGTCCTTGGGCCAGATGCGCACAGGTGAGACTGCGAATGTTTCCAAGGGGCATTCCATCCTCATGCGTGCTCTGACATGTTGAACCATCACCGTTGATAGCATTGTTCAAATAGTTGCACAGATTGAAAGCAGCTGAAACCAGCCACTTTTATTTGAGAACCACCATGTGCAATGCTGACAAATCAACTCAGTCCAGATAAAGTACTCACAACAGTATTCGCTTCTTCGCCTGATGGAACCTGTTGGTCCCACTGACTGATCTCCCCTGGAATCGTATTTTCACCTGTTCTTGAAGGTCAACCTTGCTTCTCTTCATGGCCGTTTCCTCTTAAAGTTTTCCAGGCCCAAGCTAGATGCTCAATGAGTGAGTGCTTTGCACCACCCATTCCTAAGCCTAGAGGGGTTACCTCAGGCTAATCAGGGACAATGCTATACGCTCAAGCGGCGCTCGACCAGGCGCTCATCTGCCTTGGTATTGTAGGAACTGCTGCTTAACAAAGTACTCACTCAGCCCTTGAAGGGCCTCCGCCAACTCCTAAAAGGCCCTCTGTCCCAGGTGGTTCTTCAACGCCGACGACGGCACATCAGCCAGCGAGCTCAGCTTTGAAAAAGCAATTGAGGCCCTGACGCGCCACCTCTTCGGGGCCGGCTTGTACAGATTCACCGCCTGGAACGAAAAAGCAAGGAAGCTGATCATCACCGGACTGGCGTCGGCACCCAGGCAAGTGACCCTTCTTTGAAATCAAACTCACAATCATCGTATCCTTCATAGTATGCATCTTTCCTGACACTGCCAAGACCTGAGAACCGCTTGGAGACTTTTCAGCAGAGTGAGAAGTACCTGTTGCGCAACATTGTTTTCGTAGGCTGCCGGTCTACCGGAGCGGCTGGTATGCAAAGCCAGAACCACTTTCTGAACCCTGACAGCGATGCTTTCTCCAAGTGACCTTGGCAACACGGCTACCTCTGTTCAATCGGGGTTAAGTCACTCATAACCCGCAGATTAGCGTACTACACGACCGTTATCCAAAGCCACGTGGAGCGCTCGCTAGCTGGGTGGGCGCAAAAGGGCACTCTGGACCTATTCCGAGAGTGCTCCCGCGTCACGATGGGCATGATGATTGCATGCTTACTTGGGGATGACGTCAACGAGCGCTTCCCCGAGTTAGCGGACTTGTACTATGAGTACGAGCGCATGGCGGCACTGCCGGCGGTCGCGCAGTTCCTGTGGTTTCCGAGCGCTGTGGCGAGGCGGTTCAAGAGGATCAAGTGAGTCCGTCTTTGTGGGCATCTTTTATGGGATTTACAATCCCCAGCTTTTTCGTTTGGTTTGGCCGTTGACAACGAACTTTTGGAGTATTGACACGCAGGACACTCCTTGAATGCAGGTATTTTGAGACGGTCATGCGAAAGGCAAAACGCAGTTTTGAAATTCCGAAAATGGTCAAGAAACCCATCAAATAGGGCCTTGTGAGGCGCGAACAACGTTGACTCAGAAGCACGAGAGTTGGTTCTTCTCCGCTCTTACTCACTTTGATAAGCCAAGAACTCTCTACTTGGGCTCTGATTGCTTTTTTAGGATTTGCTGACGTTGCTGAGTCCGTTCGTCAGACAACTTCCTTGAAATTGCCTTGGCGCAGAGAGTGGACCCAAGTAGACTCGAAAGACGAAGGAATATACATAGGTGCACAAATATTACGGATCGCCAGAAGACTTAAGACACCAGGCTCCGACGATTCAAAGCCCTTGAATTGTACAGGGGGCGTATCGTCGAAATCTTGGAGACTGTGATCCGGGAACGGTACGCCGACCTAGAAGGCCACAGCGGGCGGCAAGACTACTTGCAGTTCGTGCTCAACGATACCCCGGGTTTCCCCGAAGCGATGAGCCTGCACTTCCTGACCATCTTGTTTGCGGCACACATCAACACAGTGAGTTTCGTCCATCAGCGCGTGTTCTCCGACGCTTCGAAATGAGCTTCAGAGATCTATTAGAGACAGCAATTTGCGCTTTCGAGGACTTTCCGGCTCTTCCGCCTGAGCTTCAATATAAAGTGAGTCTTATTGAAAGTTGTCAATTCGGCGTCCTTGCCGCCCTTCTGATCGCTGTCCCAGTCTGTTTCGGGACAGCGTTCGCGTCTGGCAGAAAGTTGTCGACAATATGCGAGATGGTCGCAGTTTGAAGTTTATGCTTTAGACGTTGAGCCGCTTTCTTTGTGCATCCAACTTCCGTCTAAGCTTCTCCCTCGGAGCGACGAGGCCCTGTTTTTCCATCGCAGGTCTCCACAATGGCGTGGACCATCGCACACATCGCCTCCGACGAGGCCCTCCAGCGAGCCGTCCGCTCGGAGGTGCGCTCGGAGGGGGATCCCTTCCGGGCGGCCGCGAGAGCGCCTGAGCTGGCAGCTGCCGGGATCGCAATTGCCGCCAATAAGGGCGAACTGCCTTTGTTGGACAAGTGCATGCGGGAAACGCACCGGCTGTATGGGGCCCTCTTTTTCGTAAGAGAGGCGAGTGGTTCAAACTCCCTTTGCATGTCTTTATACTCGTGCGTGGTCAGTTCGAGAGCGTCTTTCTACGTCTGCTGGACGAGACGCAGCCGATAATGAACTGAGTGTGCGCTCTACTCCTTCCGGGAAAGGCGACTAAAGCAGAGTTTGTCTGCGCGTCGTTTTGAACTTGCCTTCTCGAAGATCAGAATGCCAGGCACGTGACAGCAAACCTCTTTTATCATTGCTTTCCCATTCCAGTCGAAATAGGGCTGAGGCACTTGCTATCGTTTGTCAGGTCCAAAGGCCCACGTCCTTCGACGGCATCCCCCTCCCCAAAGGGACCACCGTCGCTTTCAGCCCCTTCGTTATGCACCGGGACGAGAGCGTCTACGAAAAGGCGTCCACTTTTAACCCGCACCGGTTTAGTAAACCCGCTCTCGAGGAGCTAACCACCAAACGGCAGTACGTTCCGTTTGGGTCGGGCCGGCACGCGTGTCAGGGGCAGCGGTTGGTTACGATAGTGCTTCGCTTAGTCTGGACGACTTTGTTCAGGGAGTACGACGTGAGTGTTGAAATTAATGAGTTGCCGGCGCCGGAATATGCCGGTGCGCTCGGGATTCCGCAACCCAAGTCCCCGGTGTTTGCGCGCGTGAGGAGGAGAGAAGGGGCATAATGGTTAATTTAATGCAGCGAGGGCCATGCCGACTGTTGACCAAAATGTACAGAGACTGGACAGTGGGATTCACTCATACGACAGTAGCTAAGATATGGTGTGATTGTATGGATCACCGCCCGTCGGCTAAGTTGACTGCAGCCTAGCAGGATTGTACGTATAGAGATTGGACACATAAGATTCTTCAATGATTTCAATACGAATGCTAGGACCGGAGAGAAGCGCCGAAACCGTTCTACTTCACTTCATAGGCCCGAGCGGTGAACATGCTCGGGAAGATGTGCAGTCTGCAAGGAGTCCCGGGCGGCCTGGGGATCTCGAACTAACAACCCAATTGTTAAAGGCTCGCGGTCGATCTTCGATACACTGAAAGTACTGTCTTGCTTTACAGCTTGAAGTATCTGAATGAAGACGTTCCTAAAAGACGGATGAAGAATGCGAACGAGAACGAGACAGAAGTAGAAGCAGAAAGGGAATTGAAACCGAAGCAGAAAATTGAACATATATCGACCCGAGCTGTTCGAAATTTAATCGAATTATACTGCTGTGCGAAACGGCGCCGCCGCAACGTTTGTAGTTGGATACTGACTAGATCTCAGGTTGGCCGCGGACGTGACTCTTAACAAAAACGGTAATTAATTTAAAATCGACTCAACCTCCCGCGCCCGCTGCGCCCAGTTATCAGGTCCGATATCGAGCACACTGAAATTTGCGGTACGTCAGGAAATGATTGTATCCATGGGCAAACTCCTGCATTAATCAAAAGCAGGAGTCCGTTGATGACTGTCGGAAGGCGCGAAGGCTCTGGAATTAGAATAACTGAACCACCTTAAATCGCGACTGATCAGTAATTATCGCTGCACGGTCAAAGAATCATAGGTCTTGATTTCATGTCGACTAAGGGCCATGTTGACTAAGGAAAGTGCCCGGGAGACGGGTAGGGGTTAGGGTGGGTACGGGTGCGGAGCGTGTCAATTAAGTTGTCGGTTTAGGTTTTTAGTTTTGTTCGTTCAATGCCCCGAGCACCATCCTTAGTCAACATGCTCGTAGGCACCATGAAATCGAGAAGTATATCAAAGCATCCGCCCAGCCGCCGCTAATTTGATTGTAAACGCGTGTAAGGTTTGAATGCTTATTTAATGGGTTTTAGGATTTTGAATGTTCGCTTTGAGCGGATCTGGGAGCTCGACGGCCGTCCTGATGGGCTGCTATTCGTTGACTCGCTTACGCATCTGACAACACCGTAAATCAACGTACATGTGGCACCAGCTTTCGTCAAGACGTATCAATCAGCAACCGTGGTCTGCAGTGTCACTGGCATGCACATAAGTCACGTTGCAGGCTTTGACGTTCGATAAGCCTTCGTGGTTTTGCGCCTCGCCGCAACAAACAAAACTTGGAAGCGTTGACAGTTGTCTCGAGCTATGTCGAAACGCGCGCGGGCTAGCTGTCGCATATCATGTATGTCAAGGACTTGAGCTGGAAGCACTCACCGTGCCGGTAGGAAACGCTTCCAGCTTGACGAAGTCGATCATGTGTTGGCATATGTCAGCCATTCTTCGTATCGATGATCTGGCGTTCACTCGATCAAGTAGGTACCTGCTCCTCTGGAAAAGAAGGTGTCGTTATAATTCCGGGAGAGGAGCTCATTCCTTTTCGTCAATTAGTAAACGCTAAAGAGGGGCGCTACCAGCTTCGAATTCCTTGCCAAGACGATCAAGTCGGATTGAACAGAAGCTGCAGCAAGCGGTTTCCGCCACGACCAACAGCAGCCACATTGCAGCAGGGGGTTTTCTTTCAAAAATTGGCGGCAGTCCCGTTCAAACAATAAGGATCCAAAAACAAGAAGCAAAGATGGAGAGAGTTCATGTCTTTCTTCGTCAGCACGCCCTGACTGCTGTGCATTGACGCTCTGAGTTCCGAAGGGAGACGATTCAGCGCTGGTCCACGATCCGAAAAGAGGAGAAAAGTGCGGCCCTGAAAGCATAGTACACTCTGGTTCCAAAAGCGGGAAAAGGACTGAAGATAGCTCAGAAGTTGGATTGCAAGACTCGGCTGTGAAAAGAGATTTGCCATTCCAGCCTGAGGGGATGGGGGCAGGGAGGAGAGACCGGGGCTCATGGTCGCTGAGCGCTGCAATGACGTCAGCGCTCGTCCTCGTCCTAGTAGGGGCCACGTCAGCGGTCGCTCACGGTTCAGCGGGATCAAAGCAGAGTGTAGCAACGGGTGCAGAGGAAGGCGCGGTTTATCCTGGAAGTAGAAACGCAGAACCTGACTTTGCAGAGGTTGAGGGGAAGCTGGCAAGAGCCTCTTTGTTAGGGGTTGCGCAAGGAGAGCGGAAAGAAGTGGCGCATGCCGGCGAGGGTTTTGCGCGGCATCCCTTTTCATCAAGATCTCTCGGATCTGGATCGGAGGGTCTCGGAAGGACAGTGGAAGAAAGTGCGCAGAACGCAGAAGACGTTGCGCGCGAGCAGGGCCCCGGCGGAAAGCTCCGAGGAGTCCATGGCGACTTTGCGAATGCCAGGAAGGACATAGTTCATGTCGAGTGCGAAAAAAGCAGTGAGTGCAGCAACGCTACAGTTGGCCACGAAAGAAAATACGAAAAGGATGAAAAGGCCGGGGTTTTGAGAGAGAACCTGGAACTGCCTTCTGTGATTGTGGAAAAAGAAGAGGCGGTGCTGGCCAAGGAAACAAGAGCGAAGGGGTGTGGAAGGGGAGATTTTGTGGGGGCTTCTAAGCCGGCCGCGAGAGGAGAGAGCGGCGCCGAGGTGACAAGCAGCGCCTGGCAGATGCTCCCATTATTTGGATGGATGTACCGTTTCTCTTCTCAGCGCCAGGAGCGAGAAAGTGCAGATGTCCGCAATGAGAAACAGGTCTCTGAGTCCCATCTCAAGAAGGCAGACTCAAGAGCTACCTCAGTTCTCGAACAGCATGGAAGAGACAAGCGAGTACTTGGAAATGCTCTGAAAGGTGGACAGCAGACAAGGAGATGCGTCGGGGGCGGGAATCGAACGGCGGAGGTCGCCTTTTCGACAATTCTGTACGTGGACACCAGCCGGGACTACGAGTACTTCGTGGCGACCAGAGTCATGATTCAGTCGCTCCTTTGGACGGGCACGGACGCCGACGTCGTGGTTTTGGCATCGGAGGGGGTGCCCCAAGACTGGATAGACACTCTGTAAGCTTGCCCCCCAAAGAGTATAGTTAAGACAGCGAGACTTTGGTACTTTGGTAAGAATGGCTGAGAGAACAAGCGGCACAGAGGAAGCCTGCTTGAAAATGAAAGTGGCGCTGACGTCTGATCTGGTTGCGATTTGGACTCGTCGTTCTGCCTGTATATTCAAAAGGACTTGGTCACCAATTGGTTTTACCCTTGCTCTGATCTGATGCGGCTGTAGTGAATGACATTCTTGCACCAATCAAGCAGTAGTTCGTCTTCGCTTCACTACGCCTGATCCTGATCCTGACATAGCAACCGTCCCACCTTCTTCGACTCTCAGCGCCTGAACATTGATATGGATGATCAGCCGGGCCTTACGACCAGCGCTTGGTTCTGCATTTGTTAGGTCATTGCCAGAGAAGGTCAACCCTCCTTGCGTTCGGCTCAGATCTTTCGATCAAATCTTCTATCACAATTCTTACTACCTCTCACCTCTTCAGTGTCTGGTCCCCAGGGAATCCGAGGGCGCGCGCGTGCTCTCGGTGGCCGACGTCCCGAACCCCTACCGCGGCCGCGCCGGCGTGCAGCCGCGCTTCGCGCGCGCGCTCAACAAGCTGCTCGCGTGGCGCCTGACGGAGTACGCGCGCGTGGTGCAACTAGACGCGGACAATCTGTTCCTGCGCAACGTGGACGAGCTGTTTGCGTGCGGGGACTTTTGCGCGGTGTTCATCAACCCGTGCATCTTCCACACTGGTCTCATGGTACTCAAGGTACCTCCAACCATCTTTTTTGACTCTATGAATACAGTCCCTTTCTTTCCCGAAGAAAATAGCGTTGGGATTCATGGAGGGGAAAGCATTGCCTTTACTTCTGTATATTGATTCTGCTGGACTTCAACCTCTCGTTCTTTCTTCTATCCGCTTTCACGAAAACGTCTTGAAGCTGCTTCATTGAGCGCTTTCTTCTTTCCGATGATTTTCCAGCGGATATCGGATCCAAGCGTTGGATCGAGCCGATATAATCTCCCCAACATCCCGTGCAAAAGATTGTATCCAGATAATTAGCCGCTTTCTATCTCTTCGCCACATTGTTGTGATCAGTTGTTGAACCAAAACTTCGTAACCTTGCTTCGAAGCGATGCGCCAGTCGTTTGTCCTAGCCTTGCTATGCAAGCCCATCACCTGAGTACCCATTTCAAGCGTCACTATGTCAAAACCCAAGACTAAGAGCTAGGAAAGCCCTCACTCCTGATAGATCCTTCCTGAATTCTCAGCCCTGAACTCGCACAATAGCGCTCCTGAACGAAAACAGGAAAAGCTCAGAAGTTATAAGTCAAAAGCAATCCCCCTCTCCTACAGCCTTCTCTGGAGACTTACGCCGACATGCTGAAGCAACTAGAGACGGCGCCATCCTTTGACGGCGCGGATCAGGGCTTCCTCGCGTCCTACTTCCCGGACCTTCTGGACTGTCCGATGTTCCGTCCGCTACCACCTGGTTCCGCCCGGCTGAACGGAACATACCGGCTGCCGTTGGGATACCAGATGGATCACGTGTACTACTGTGAGTGTGCATCTCTTCCTAGACTTCTCTCGTTTGTCTCGCATGGTCTGCGTTTAGGAATGCCTGTTGCTATCTGATTTGTTGCGCCCGAAGCCAGGAGCAAGCCCTCAAGAAGGCGTAGGTCTGCATGTCTCTGAAGAAGCGTCGTTCGGCCGGAAGGATACTAAGAGCGTGTGAGATGACTGGAATGACGGAACTATCGTAGCAGGAACAGTTTTGAGAGAGCCTAGAATCTCGACTACGAGTGGACTCTCGGAAAAGCCCGCAGCACCGCAAGCCCTTCCAGCGTTCGTCAAAGAATTGGATCATCTCGGTCAGCCAAAATCTTGCAGCACCTCCGTAACGTCTTCCTACCTTGAGCCGCTTAGATTTACAGAGCAAGTGCTGCGAATTTCCCGTGCAGACCTCAACTTCAGGTGGACCTTGACACCAGCCTGCGCCCCACAGGGCGTCCTCACCTTCCCGGGAGCGCCAGTGTTAAAGCCCTGGTATTGGTGGAGTTGGCCGCTTCTTCCCCTCACCCTCGAGTGGCATAAGCGCCGCGCCGAGACCATAGGCTATGAGCCGGAGCTGTACCGCGCGCTTTTGCTGGCGACCGCTTGGTTCGTGCTCGGGATCAGCGTGGTTTCGATCTCGCAAAGAACGTCGGTGAGTCGTTGAAAGCTGTGGCATTTTTCCCCACTTTGTCTCGCCAACAAGAAAGGTTTTCGAGAAAGTTGTTTGCGGGTCTACACGAAGAATCTGGTAGTACAAGAGAAACGAAGTTCGGGTGGGGTGATGACTCAGAACTGGACAAGGCGCAAGGAGGTTGTTTGCTTGGAAACAGGCATGATGACCATCAAGAAATCGCATCAGTCGTTCTTTGCCTGCTGCTTAACGAAGCTTCTCGTTTCAAGGCAAGAAATGATCCAGAAAGGGAGTTGGTCCGGTCAGAAAGTCGTTCACAATCCTGTAAGAAACTTACTTGAGGTCCAGCGCTATTGGTGGGCCTTTCATAACGTCCAACCCTCTGAAGATCTCCCTTTCGAAGAGCATTGTTCCAATCTCTATACCGGAAGCAAAGCAAATCAAAGCCTCTCCGCTATAAGGTCCAAGCTAAAGATCGAGAAGAAGCCCTCAAATTATCATTCCTGACGTCACTGCTTGCGTCACACACAGGCTCGTGGTTCCCACCGCCCCCGCTCTCCCCCGGGGTCGAACCTGGGGTTGCCCCTCTCCCTCCCGCGCAGCTCTTCCCCTCCCCCGAAAAGCACCTCAACCTTGTCTCGCCTCTTTCTGGGGGTAAAAACTCGCCTGCGTTTCAGCCCCCCGTTGCGAGCAACTGCAATCTACCTTTCACTCGGGGGCAGTGCGGTTCTCGCCTTTTGGGCGGTGCCCACAACGGTGCACCCGTTTCTAGGTTGGGCCCTTTTCTATCTGGGTTCCATGAGTCTGGTTACCATCATCCTGTCCGTTAACCCTGGGTTACCGGTAACCGCCCTGGCGGCCCCCTGGCTCTTGTGGGCGGGCGTTTTGGGGGTTTTGGCGGCGCCGATTTACTCCGCGGGCGCGCAGAAGATCGTCGCGCTGTGCCTCCTGAGCGCGGCCGCGGCCGCGGTGCTCTTGGAGTCGGGCCGTCGGATACTCGCCACGTGTAAGACGGAGGAGGCGGAGTGGAAGGCGCAGCACGAGGCGGGGGTGGTGCGATGGGGCCAGCCGGAAAAGGAGAACTAGAGTGGACTCTCGACGCGGCAAAGCAGAACGAAGTTTCTTTCTTTCTTAGCAAGCGGAAGTCGATAAGCAGGTTGATACGTTAGAATGTTAGCATCATTGCCATATAGGTTCCGTCGAATAGAAGAGTCAGGTGAAGAACTCTTCAGACTATAACGCTCCTCTGCCAACAGTGTTTCGCATTGGGATCCATCGTTCCGAGCTATACGGAGCACAATATCGGAGGGCGCGTACTTGTTAGTCGGTGAGCGTGCCGAATGCAGCGTCCCGTACTGAAAGAGTCGAAGCCGAACAGAGTGCACTCTTTGATTCCGCTCGCATATTGCGCAAAGCGGCTTTAAACTACTGCAAGGAGCAACGGTAACCTTGCAACACGCTGAGGTGGGGGCATAAGCTTGTAAAAGCGATAAGGAGTACTTGTATAAGACCAAACGACATCGATATAAGTCTTCTATGATCCCGCTTGCAACTTCTCTGCGGAGATCGAATGTTGGCGCACGCAATGTACTCGGGCCCGTGCTTGACTTTGGATTAGTGAGCTTCATGAATCAGCTACCGAGACTTGTGGTTTTGACGCTTACAATGTCGAACTCACAGCATAGCGCCTTTCAAAGAGGGCGCCGTCGAATCATAAGAATCTTTGCGATCAAATGCGACGTCAATCTAACCGTTTACCTCCACAATAGGAATAAGTTCGAAATCAAGAGGCTCGAGGATACTGCATTAGGTAATGCGTAGCTCAAATGGCTGGACATTGTTCGACGTCTCCAACCACGACTCCTGAAAGAAGAAGCGAGAGGTTTGCTCATCACGGACTCTCGTCCCTCTTCTGTGAAATGGAAGGCTGGACCAAAGGCGTTCTGTATGAGTGGTTCAGATTACACGAAACCTGGCACGGGTTTGGAAGTCTGTAAGATTGCGAGCCAAAACCACTGCTGCTGAAAGACCTGAGATCACTCTGCGTCTCAGCAGCTGCTCGTGTAGTTTTGGTATGAGAGGAGGGTGGAAGCATATTGAAAGCTCAGATACAGACCTCTGAGCGGGTGAGATGAAGAAGTAGATTCAAAACTTGCAAGAGGCATCGGAACCTCCGTACTTGCGCCCTGTCCCTTGCACGAGCGATGGCGCCTTCTCGCTGTGCTCTTCTTCTTCTTGCGACTCTGGTCGTTCTTCAGGTGAGCCTTGCTTGCTTCGGTGACCAGTTTAGCGTGTTGCTTGTCACCCGATTGCTTTTTCAAATGGATTGCTTTCCAGGTTTTCTCTCCGGAACGTTTTAGGTTGCTTATATTCTAACTTTTTACGCTTCTCTTCTCACAATGGAAGAGAGGCGTCTTGATTGCGCCAGTCCTTTCTTCTGGCTCTGAGATAGTGGATTGTAGAGCTCTACTTGCTCGTATCATCTCCACGATCGTTTTTAAGAACTACAATCATGGTGCTAGGTAACCTGTTCTAAGCATAGATTCCAGAGAAATAGTCCCTTTTCCGACGCATATACTTTGCCTGCGGCACGATCAAAAGTATCAAGTGAATTGCGTGACCTTCTCACTCCCTTCTCACTCGGCAGCGAGCCAAACTCTAATCTTTTCGTGCATCTACAGGGCCAGAAAACGCTCGCCGGGCGCGATCTCCTCACCAAGAACCGATCCCCGGTCACGGATGACGTCACCGAGTGGAACGGGGGATCCCCCATCGAGCGCCGGCTCCTCGCACAGGTACATCTTGATAGTACTCTTCCAATTCATCCAGTGGATAATTGCTCTTTCATCAAACTTAATGGATGTAACCTGCATAATTTTAAACCAAAGATATGCGCGCTTCGCACTTGCACCCAACCTTTCTCCCTGACCGTCCAAAACTGTCTTATCGTTCACTGAGCTTGTTTTTCACTGCGTCTTCTGATCTGTTGTCTTGTGCAGGGGAGCTCAGTCGTCAGCAATGGCGTCACGGAGTGGTCTCAGGATGGCCAGTCGCAGTTCGGCTTCAACACCCGCGACGGCCACGTGTGTCAGACGGGCGGGGGACTCCGCTGGGGGTGCAAACTCAACGGAGCTGTGGTTGCAAAGATCCCGGTGAACGTTCTACCGGTCGGTAAGTGGATTGAGCAACAAATCTCATGCAGTGAAAGATTGGCTGAGAACAGAAAGTTTAGTTCGATCTTCTGGGGATCAATGGAGTGCCTTTCAAGTAGACTGGGCATTTAGCATGGAGTTTCGAAACACTGGCTGAGATTAAGAAGGGCTATGATTGACGCTGTTTGCACCGTTGGGGTATCATTCAACTCTTGAAATTGAGATTCCGTTTTCCGGCTGTTTTCTGGGGCCACGTTCGTGCAACGTTTCTGCAGCGCATACGTCTTGAAGCCAATCTGAAGTGTTTATTTTGAGCGTCGCTTGGAACTCTGCACGCAAGCAAGCGTCCGCCGCAGCTTCTTGAGTGCCCGCTCTTGGGAGGGACTTTCTGTGGGGCTCTCGTCGTCCAGCAATCTCTACACTGGGAGCCATGTGGCCGGGTATATTCCTAGCGAGCGAATAAAGGGCTCCATTTACGTGCAGCGCCTTTGGTGTGCAACTCTCAAATCAAGTCCGCCCATGACTGCATCCATCTTTTGATCGTAAGGTGTCGAGGATTAATCGCTTCATCCGAACACTCTCTCTGACATCGAGTAGGACCTTTGTAACAGCCTCAGAGATCCGCTCTGCTTTGATGCGTAACTTGGCCATCTCCTCGCAGGTCTGCTCATCTGCTTCCCCTTCGTCATACCGGTCGTCACCCCCCCGGTTCTACCGGCCCCGGTGCCCATGCTGACGTCAGCCTCGATACCCACGGTGCTGACTCCCACAACCGGTTCGGTACCGGCGGTCTCTACCGGGGCCTTGCCCGGTATCCAAATCAGCAGCCCCGGTGGAATTTCCATCACACCGAACGGAGTGACGGTTGGTACCGGCCCGAGCGGGCCCGGGGTGGCTCTCAATACAAGTCCCTAGGGTTTGGTCAGGCCTTGCATGACGGGCAGGTTTAGCATTGGTTAATAGAGGTTGTATGGATTTTAAAACATGGTCGACGGCAAGGATTTGGCGGACCGGAGATGTTCATTGAAGCCAGTAAAGTGGATGGTAGGCGGGCTCCAACGTAATCTTCTGATTAACTCACGTACCTACATAAGCCGCGAGAACTTTACTGTATGATTATAAAGACCGTGGGCGTATTAGACTTCAACGACGTTTTGAGGAAACATGCTTCAGAAAAGATTGGGCCGGCAATCATTAAAGCAGAGCCGCTTATAACGCCTTCAATTCAATGGTTTCTTCACGTCGGACGCCGACTTGGATCGATTGAACTCCACATGGTGACGGACGTACGTCTCAGCATTCGATAAAGCTAGGGCACCACTCGCCTGCAGAGAACCAGATTGTGCTCCTATACGATCTAATTTGCCGCCGTTTGAGATTCCTCAAACCTTTGAATATATCTCCTTTCATGCTACTTTACTAATAAAGTCGGTACGAGTTACGAGAGCACTCGCGCGGGGCTGCAGGCCCGCTCTGCCCGCACCGCGACGTTGAACGAGTTCCAACTATAAGTTTGCCACTGCCGCTGCGCAGTGACGGCTGGTAGCTCAATGAAAACAGTAGAAAGATCCTGCCTTCTTACTCATGAACTTAGGGTTCTCTATGTAAATAGAGAAAGGCGGACCAGATTTTAGCTGACCTGTGCATGCAGCCGGTGCGGTACATGATCGGCTAAAAGGAATCTATAGATATCTACCGAGTACGCATATCGGTGCCGGCCAAACGCTTGGTAACTTATTGTCTCCGATGTGGCCGCGCTGCGGGATGGACAGGTTAGCAGGAGATCAAAGTCAAATAATATTTGGACCATCAGGAAGGATGTCGGTTTAGCTGCATGATCGGAGACTGCGCCTTGAGATCTGCACGTTATCATTGTTGGACGTTGATTCGGTACATAATGCATCATGCACTTGATCTCTTTCTCATGGGTTAATCCATTAGTAGGACGCGCGGTACACGAACTCCCAGAAAAATCTCGACTGACTCAACACGCATGAATCGTTAGAATAACAAGGGTGCAGATCTCAATCAAGGGATTTAAGCATAAGACATCAAATTCAGCCGGCATAGCTTTACCCGTCGAACCGTACGTCGTGAATGATATGCACCGAAAATTGCCTGGATGAGGTGGATGGATTCTGCACGATCAAACTGCGGTAATCCTCAAGTATGCAGCCAGGCCTGCCCCAAGCTTGCCCGGAAAACAATATTGCCAGACTCGTTCGAGCGTGCACAACGACTTCATAAGTTACGACGAGCAGCTAACGCAACGACCTTTTTTATTATTTACACCCGCGCCAACGCAACTAGGACCGCTTTGCGCCCCGTTTGACTTCTGATGCTACTTGGTGTTAAGAAGGCGCGGGTCAATACTTTAACCAAAAAGTGCCGACAATATAAGTAGACTGCTGCAGCAGATGTGGACCATGATAAGCTCTAACCCTGCCCCCGACTGCGCCTAACCCAGCTTGACCTTCCAGCCCGTTTCCCGACCGTACCTCTAAATCAACGGGAGAATAACCAAACTCGACAGCAGTCACGTCGTACTTTCCATACGTATGAATCTACAACACCGACAATTATAAGGCTTCACCTCGCGACCGCCAACGTAAGGAGAGCCCATCTTGACCGTCCGATCAACCACCTTCCATTGGGACCGTCAATCGTTAAGCTGTCTCCACCACGACCGTCCGAGTCTCCCTCAGCTACCCCTGAGCCCTCCAACACTTACCAGCTCGACCATCAATTACGAAGTCCCTCTATCTCGACCGTCAATTCGCCTCAGACGAAGCGATGCCGCCAGGCGCCCCATACGCCGCCAGCGAGAAGCTGCACAGGGTCGTATTGCCGGCGCCCACTCCCGTGAGGCACCGGTTCTGGAGCCACGTCATGATAAGCGACGAGAAGCTCGCGATCGCGAAGCCGTACCCGTTCGTGAAGTCGCTGGGTACCACGGTACCCGGTACCCACACCCCCGGTGCGGACTGCCTCACCGTTCCGTGCAGGCCGTTGGACATTCCGCGGATGACCGTGTACGGAATCTTGCGGACCGTGGAATTGAACCCGTTGTAGCGCTCGATGGGCATAGCGAGCCCGATGCTCTCCATAGCGTTTGCGATCTGGACGTCCTTTTTGGTGAGCGTCGTGTTGAGCGCCTGGTTGATCGTGCGCGCCACGTAGTCGCGCGCGACCATCTCGAAGGGGGCGCCTGCACACGTGGCCGGACGTGAGTGGGCGGTCTGGGATAAGCATGGATTTTCGGGATGCGCCACGTATTTGCGCGCTACCATCTCAGAGGGAGCCTCCTGCGCACGTAGCGCGAACATTGGTGCTTACGTCAGAAGTAGAGGACCATTTCCTGATGGGGACTGCAGCGATTCGAGTGGAAAGCGCCCCACGTCGCGAGCCTTCGTAAAGGCGCTTACGTAACCATATGGAGTGCTTTTGCAAAATTGATTTTTCAGCCAGCTGTCTGCTCCTGTCGCCCTTTGTTGTGTCTCCGTTGCCACAGGTCCAATCTTCGTTTCAGTCTCGAAAGCTTTGCGTTTCTGCAGAATTCGGCCTTGGCGATTCCTCTATGACTAACAAAAGGGGGTTGAAAGACTTGGGTGTTTTGCAGGACCGGCGTTGGGACTTTTTGAACGGTTGAGCTGGCGTGACAGCATTGTAAAAGGGTTGGTAGAATCCGTCGCCTTACTTTGGGAGGGAGTGACTAGGGATAGGGGGGACAAGGATGAGCAGGGTTGTTTGAAACCTTTTCTTGTGAGATATGCAATCTCCTGAATCGGCTTTGGTGGTCACATGAATCAACAATCATCGAAGAACAATGGAACGGGTAGAGAAAAAGCAATGCACCGAACAAGGAGAACAAGAAACCGACTGACCCGAGAAGAAGAACTGCGAGTCGACCTCCGCGCACTGCGTGTAGTCGTAAACCGCCGGCGGCGCGCTCCCGTTGTACGCGTACGGCACCCCGGTCTGGTTCTGCATCGTCGCCCAAAAACGAGTTTCGACCGCGGACACGTTCGAGATGCGCACCGGCGTGTTGAGCGCGAAACTGGGCGCCCGGGACGCATTCACAATCTCCGCGGCCAGGGCCAGCGAGGCCGGGATGGCCTGGGTGAAAATACACTCGCCGTACAAAAAGGTCGCGTTGATGGAGAAGATCTCGGTGGGCTGGTAGCACAGGTTCGGGAAGCTGGCGCATTGTTGGTTCCAGTCGGTTTGCTTGCAGTCCCAGTTGACGCTGAAGGGCGACACGCACAGGTCGCCGATGCGGTTCACCTGGACACGTGGCATCGAGAGGAGAGCGTTAGAGGACGCCACGTGGCTGGTTCCGATTTTTGCTGCACTGCTGGTCCCAGTCTGCAATCCCAGTTGACGCTAAAAGGCGACATCCACAAGTCAGCGAGACGGTTGACCTGGTCACGTGGTAGGGGGTAAAGGGTGAAAAAGTGCCACGTGGCAGGCTCCAGGGTTGGAAGGGGGGCCACGTGGCAAGACTTTGAAAAGCTGTAAGCATGAGTCTTGACTCTTGACTTTTTTAAATAAATGCGTGACGATTGGAAGCCCTGAGGTCGAACGGGACCGCCTGACTTGGGGTCCTCTCAACGGCGATCTGGGAAGCGGGGCCGTTTCACTCGTGCGACGGCAAATCACCGGACGCAGTGCGTCGAATTATCGACTGGGATGGGTGCAAAGCTTTCAAACAAGGTTCGAAAGATGGTTTATTGCCGAACAGTCGAAAAGGGAGGGGCGTTCTTCCAATGAATCCACGTGGACTGATAGAGGTAGCAGAAAACAATCAGCGGGCACCCGGGATCCACTTGCGGACGCAATTCAACCCAGGCTGCCGCCGCTCGTGTGCGTCGGTTTTCAACATTGCGTTAAGATGAGCCGCGCGAGAGACACAGTACACACACGCTTGTGCGGCTGCAGATTGTATTGATTGGGGGCAACAGTCAGAATGGTTTTCGTCCATATTCGGGCCCACGCGTCCTACAGTAGAGGTCGTTTAGAAGATGTTTTGTGCGGGGACATGAACGGACGCTCACTGCGGTCCTTTCAAAACCTTCGGAAAAAAAGTTTCTAAAAGCCTAATACCACGAAAAGGTGTCCTCACGGCGGTTGAGTTGTTGACGGTGTTGCAGTTATCGTCGTTGAGCACGCCGCCCTTCTGAAGGGACCACCCCGAGGTGCCCGAATAGACAATCTCCCGAACGTGGCTCGCGCACTGCAGAATCTCCTGCGTGCAGATGCTCGCCTGACCGGGGCCGATGCCTGGGGAGAAAAAGGATTCGTTGTCAGGAACGTTGCAATTCCTGCTTCTTTTCACATCAGACCCTAGGTTTGACAAGATTGCGGGGTTCCCGAACTTGTCACGTGGCTCGCGCACTGCGAAATTCCTGTGTGCAGATGCTCGCCTGACCTGGGCCGATACCTGGGAGAAAGCAAAACGTTGTCAGGTATATTGCGAGTGCTGCTCATTTCACATCAGACCCTACGTTGTTTGAAATGTAGGGCTTTTCCAATCCTTTGAAAGTTCACATGGCTTGCGCACTGCAGATTCATCTGACTGCGGATGCTCGACTGCCCCGGCCCAATGCCGGGGGAGAAGACGTTCATCGGCAAGGTTGTTTTGAGTGCTGCTTCGCTGCTTACTTTTCACCCTTAAAGGTATACGACTCTCCTATTGATTCTTTCTGGGTCCAGGGTTTCCAGCAGGATGTGAAGTCTCCTCTAGGGCGCGCACTGCAAATCTTCGAGGTGGGAACGATCGCCTAAGCCGCCCCCTTTCCGCACCGTTCTGACTTTCCAAGAACCACCATCACCAAGCGCAGAGCCTCACGACATTGGATTCAGGACTCTGGGCTCTGTTGACTGCAAATGTCTGCAAAGCTGGACGATTCCAGAAGCAGGCTGCCATTGTGAGGCGCGTCTCGGGTACCCATGAGTCGACTTCTATCGCAGGAAGCTTTTTTCCTCAAGCAGAGTTGGTTGAAGGGCATCGAGCTGATCATGAAGGCCATCTAACCAACCACAAACCAAGCTTGATAAAGGCTAATCTAGATCTCTTCCCATGTATTGCAGGTGCCGTGGGATCTCTTGCTCCATGAAAGCTGCTAAATGTTGCTCTCGGGGTCGGTTTGCGCGCTCAAAGGGTAGCGCTCTGGAAAAACTTCACGCCACGGCAAGGTGTGAAAACGCTCAGTTGATCGAGTTTGAGTCAACTTACCGGTTGTCACGAGCAGGATTTGCTGGCCCATGATGGTTCCGGTGAATTTGGTGGGGCAGTAGCTGTTGCCTTGCGCCAGCTCCACCTTGTTGACCATGTTGAGCTGCAGCAACCAAGAGGAGGTGTGCTGATCAGATTGGTTTTCTGCTCAAGGAGAACTGCTGCTAGAACACTACTTTCCCTTTAACACTTTCAAATGGTTTCTTTCTTCTCATACCGGATTGAGGTCGATGTTTCTCTACTGCAAGTATATTGGTGATGTATCTCCTTGTAATTTGCTACCATCAAAAGAGTTAAGTCCGGAGTAGGTGCCAGCGGACGGCAGATCACAGACTTGCCAAAGCATGCGGACAAACTAGGTTACAAAAGCTGCAATGCCTGTGCTCCCGTGCCCGTAACAAACCCCTTCACTCCAATTCTAGCTTCACCTGCCTCCCCTGTCTGACCTGATCAGTCACGAGCCCTAAATTTCACAGATCAAGTTCTGCAGAACTACCCTAAGCTGCGGAACAGCCACTCGTTAGCATTGCCTCACCAAATCAGTACCACCCCAAGGGTAACAACAGTGGCTTCACAGAGTTGCCCTCACCTCTAGATATTTGGCCTCTGCAGAGCCGGAAAACGAGCCCGGGTCAGCAACCATCAACACCGTCACATTGTTCCCCCCCAGACTCGCAAAACAGGGGTCAACTGGTGCAATCGGAGTGAGCGGCGCAGGGGCGGGGGCGCCAGGAGCGGGTGCGGGTGCGGGAGCCTCTACCGGGGGGGTAGCTGGGGCTGAGGCAAGGGGGGGGATGACAGGAGCGGGTGCAGAAACAAAAGGGGCGGGCGCTGACATTTCGGGTGCGGAGGCTGGAGATTGCGCCAGGTGGCGGCCGACGGCGGCGGCGCCATTGATGGAGAGGAGGGAAACTAGGAGCGAGAGGAGCGGGGCGGCGGCCATTGTGAGGGGGATCAGAGAGGAGTCTGCAGAAGAGAGAAAGGTGATGAGAGGGGAGATCATGATGAGATTGACAGTTTTAGAGGTAACACAAACTCGGGTACTTTGGCTCTGTATCAGTATGCTTTGCACAAGCAGAAAGTGAAAATGGGCTTTGGAAGAGGTTCTAAGAAATCACTTTGGACAGAAATTGGAAGGTGAAGAGGAGTAAATGCTTGTTTAGACCTAGGCAAGGCTGATATCTACAAATTCTGAAGATGAGGTCTTTGCGGATAACAACAGTGCCCCGAGGGAGGGATGTTCTTGAACTGCTCCGAATAAAGGAATTGGAACTGCCAGCACACAAACCAAAGGCAGAGTCCTCCAGTGACACATGTCACTCCAGGAGTGGTCCACTGGAGCTAAGGAAGAGCTTGCAGCTCTATAAAGTGCATGAGAGCAAAGGAATAGCTGCGACGTGGGACTCCCTTGGCCGTGGTAAACAAAGGAGTTACATGCAGCTTGATTGTACGAGAAACGTTTACCGGTCAGAAACAGACTCAATGGCTTCAGTTAATGTTTGCTCTGTTCTTCAGCCTGCTGTGTTCATAGTCAAGGGTGGTTATTCTAGCAAGTTAAGTTCACAGCTGACCATCAAAGTAGTCAGGAGAAATCAGCTGGGCGGATGAATAAGGGCTTTGACCAGCCACCCGTCGCGGCCCTCTCCATTGGATCCAAAGCTCACAACCGATGTGAGTCAGACAGCATCACAAAGAAGAGAAAGCAGTAGGATCTTGGAAGATATCCAGAAAGACTTCAGCATTAGATAGAAGGGCCCCTTGCAACTGAGGTAAGAACCCCTGGGTCGAGATTTTGAGAAAGGCCGAAGAAGAAACCCCAACAAGCGAGCCGGACGTGCTACCACAAAAGCAGCAACCCAACCTCCTCAAACTTTGAGGTCTTCATGATGAATCAGGGCCTTACACATCAACAACGTCCTGATCCTTTTCGTCTACCTATCAGCAATTGACCAACATCCTTATTTAGCAGCTCGCAGTCCAGCGACTCTAGCAATTGCGATCAAGCTAGCTCAACAACTCATGGACAGTAGTCAAAGAAGGTCAAAAATTACGCCCCATGTCAGCAATTCCCAAGCTCCCCAGTTTGAAGGGAAGCTTTGACCTGTCAGGATCCGCTGTAGCTGGAAGCTCATTCTTGCTGGTGGAAAACCTAGAGCAGAAAACGTCTGATCGCTGACATTTCGGAGCGAGCTGGATGGAAGTAAGAAACTCACCTTTGAGCCCTTGGTGTGAAGCGCAATACAACCGATGAAGAAAGACAAGCAATCAAGCTGATTTACATGATCTCTGTGGGAACTACGTACCGTAACGTGCCGCCTTCTCAAGTTTCCGCCGCTTCCCTACACCAAGCTAGCTAACAGCCGGATCTTGCACCTTTTAATCCGATCACGGGAAGATGCTTCGCGAAGTAGTAGTGACGCCGACAACGCCGCAGTTGATGGGATTTTGGTGGCCTAGCTCCTGAAACTGAAAGTGATGATCGAGCCGGAGCGGCGGAGGCAATGCCGTGCTGCAAGTGAGTTTTGCCGACAGCGCAGTGCGCTGAAGCCTAAGGGAGGAAGGGAGTGATTCGGATCAAGGAAGCTGCATGCATACCTAGTCTGGCATACCTAGGTAGGTACCGTAGTTCTTATCCACCCCGGTACCTACGGTATACCTAGATAAGGCTATGTACAGCCTGCCTTCAGGCTTCACAAAAGTGGGTACTGTACCTAGGTACTGCCAACTGGCCGATCACTTTGTACGGTACGGTATACGGTATACGGTTACCCCTCACACCTCACATTACCTACCTACTACCCGGTCGGGTCGCGCACAAGTATTGCGTGTACCGGCCGGTAGTGGGCCCCGGTAGTGGATAAATGAGGAACCCTTTCAGGAATATCGTGACGGGTGTACAAGATCACCTGCCCGGGGCCGACTGCCGGGGACTCTATATTATTGATGGATTACTATTACTATTACTATTACTATTAGGACCGGGAAAATGAGGTCATCATTATTGTCGGCCCCTACCCATGTGACCTCATCCAGTGCCGAGAAGGGATCCGAGTCTTGACTATGATGGACAATGGCAAGTTAGTGCTCGGGGCCAGGAACAAATTTATGTGAAACCTAACCCAAAAAGTACAGGCTCCGCAATGCACACCCATCACCAAAATCGTCTCGATGGAGGCCGCCCGGGGGACGGGTAGTTGGTTTGGCGGTTAGGTGGGTTACGGGTGCGGAGCATGTCGATTTATGGGGTTAGTTTTTAGTTTGCTTCGGTCCCCGAGCAGGATTTTTAGTCAAACAACACGATCGAAATCCCGTACCCACCCTTATCCCCCAAACCAACCCCACCCGGTTACCCGGTTCCCCGGCTCCCCGGCTCCCCGGGCAAGTCAACACAGCCCTTGGTCAACATGAAACTGAGAACTACTGTGGTTAAGTGCCGTATCGCGCGCGTGTGTTGCACTGCACGTGACGGTGCAGTGACGCACACATTTTGAATTCGAGTTTGGCGTCGCGGCGGACTGATGAAAACGTGACATCCTGGAGCCTTCCTGTGCCGTCCATTTCGAATATTTTTGAACAGGTGTCATCCATCCAGAAGGCGGATCCCGCCGCGAAGACTCTAGGTAGCTGAAGCATGGCAGTCCGACACGTCAGCAGGCTGACCTGTGAGTCGCGTCTCGGCCGCCGGGCAGCCTGAGATCGCCAGAGGTGTAGCAGAGCATGCGCGAAGGACGCTTCCGACGCATTCAAGATTGAAATCTCACTCATGCAAGGGCGCAGTTTTGACTTTTTTAGAAGGCAAGATGGGACCAGAAAAAACTCGGCAATTAACACTTGTGTCAGAAACTCAAGGGGCCTGCATGAAGGCCTGCGTGGAGATCATTGCCTCGATAGGGCAGTCACTGCCGACCGGCCTAGCAATTAAATCGCGCAATTCCGAAGCACGCAGGGTTGGGCCTTATTGACCCGGCACCTGTATTGACTGCGAGAGGCCGGCGTCGGGACGACGGCGCCGCGGCCGCTAGGTACTTGTCCGACATAATGATGTTGACTTGCATGTTTGCAACACGGGATTGCTAATCAAATGGATGAAAAGCATGTGGTTTTTTCAGTATGCAACACTTCACTGAGGCCATGCATATGGGGTTGTTACCAAATAGATCAAGCTACATTATTCAAACACATCATCTTTGTGCTTTACGCCTCTTAAAATTTAAAAAGCTCCGCGGGACGGTTACCAAATCAGTCAATACTGAGAGCATCTCGGACCATGTGCCATGGCCCATGCACCGCCTACTGGCACAATATCCTAGAGACCAGGTAGAACTGAACAGTCGGGAGCAGCAGTGTCAAGAGTGTCAATAGTCTCAGCGAATCAGAGCTGCAATGTCCTAAGGCGCGTTCAGTTGAGGCCACTTGCCGGCTTCCTGCGGCAGCGCATACCTATACAGCCTTACTCTATCTTTCAGTGAGAACGTTGACACGGAGTCTTTTCCGTCGTCATCCCCTTCATCTCCGCACGTCGAAACGTCTCCTACCAACTCTACGACGATTATGCGCGCGGCTACAGGTCCCGGGAAGTCGAAGTAGAGGGCCGTACCCTGTCGGGCGGTTGGAAGAAGGAACTCGCCTACTGGAACAGGGCCCCCAACCCCACCTTCGCTCTGTAAGGCCAAAATGCCAAGTGAGAATGCTTCACCCGCAGGCGCTATGTCCCCCGCATCATAATCCCCGCAATAACAGACTTCGGGACAACAAATCTAGCGAGAGAACATTACTTTCCCGGCTTCGTAGAAGTTTGCCGATAGAACTTTTCACCTTTTCCCCCGTCGTTTTCAGAGATCATGGAGCAATGAAGTAGCGCTCCTTCTTAGCCCTGGCTTAGAGCTCGACAAACCCTATGCGTTCAAGGAGCGCAGGCTTGTAGCCTTGCAAAGCAATACAGCAGCGATAAAAGCTTGCAACCGCACCCGGACTCCGTTTTGAACTTTCGTCAGAAACATGAAACACTCCACAGTTCGAAGTACTCGGACTTCGAAGCCAAAGCCGAAGCTGAAGCGCAGGCCGACGCCATTGTTTCGCAGTCCTAAGTCCGTGTATCTTTCCATTCCGTGCCCAGAGGAAACGAAAAGACTCCCGTTTCGTGCCCGAAGAAAACAAGATGAAACAATTTTCTAAACCCACCTGAATTGCATGCACTCGCACCGTTAGCCCGACGGCCGCTGCTGCCATCTCGTCGCCCGAGGCAACGGCCAAACCCCCAAACCCTTCCTCGGGGCCGAGCGCCGGGACGCGCCGCGCGAGCCCGAGGGCGTCCAGCCGGAATCCGCCGACCGACGGGACGCGGGAAAGGTCCACACCTAGTTCGACGACGGCGCCGGACGGTTTGACGTCCTGGAACTCGGACGGAACACGGATGCGGACGACGCGGGGGGGGGCGTCGAGCACGGTCTTGAGCGCGAGGCGCTCCGAGGCTTGCGGGGCCAGCGAGGCGGGGTCGGAAGGGTCGCTGAGGACACGTTCGCCTGTGAAGGAGTGATGAAGATATGAGCGCTCGCGATTTACCTATGGGTGCCGGCAGTTCACGGGCGTTTTTGCCAACGGCATCCCGACATTGACGGTCGCGATTTTGGCTGGGAACTTGATGAGAGTTTCGCTATTACGAGATCTGAAAAGGACTTGCACGTTTCATGCCCACCTTAAGGAGAGGCGGACTACATGCGGATCGTGAGAGTACGAGTCTAATGCAGTCGACTTGACATGGAGCAATGAAAGTGTATGGTCGTAGGGACGCTTTTCGCCTGCCCCGGAAAATAGAGGGGATAGGCAGAGTTGAGGAGGCGTCGCACACCGCGAAGCAACATCTGAGCGCTCCGACATTAAGGGGCGAAATCAGCATGGTAAAAGCAGCCTGGTAAAGGGGTATTGAGGGGAACAAAACGGACCCCCGCTAAAGCTCTGCGCAGAGTAGGCGTGAGGTGTCCTTGACCACGCAGACGGATGCCTTGTTATATTCCGTCGCCAAACCGAAGCGGAAGTGCGACATGTCCACTGATTTACTCCTTACAATATAAGTGAACCTCTGGAGATCCGAGATGTGCCTACCAGGAAAGACGGCCTTCCAACAACGCACTGTTACTCCCTCATTCTTAGGACACCAGTTCGAAGAGCCGCGCCCAAAACGGTGGAAAGTAGGTACCGAGTCTCACCCAGCACTAGGATCCGGCTGGCATGCACGAACGCCGGCGCACGTGGGGCCGCGCTTCCCGTCGGCGGGGGCGTCGGGTCCAAGCTCAGCAAATCAAACAGTCCTGCGGCCGACGGCTGCGCCGCAAACGGGTTTGCTGACGTGTCCGACCTGAGCGAGAATCTGAGCCACACGATCCGGCACGTGCGGACCCCCCTGGGGAAGTTGTAGACGAGCGTCCGGGAGAGGGGTTTGGAGGTTTGGGCTTGGGTTTCGGGGCCGAAGACGTGCGGCGAGGCAGCCGCGGCGGCGGCAATGTCCCAGCGGCCGACGTAGTCCTTCTCGGCGATTGTTGAGCCTACTGCAATGTCGATCTGCAGTCACGGGACACACAGTCAGCGGGTTTTCTAAAGAGCGTCAGGATTCTCGATTTGAAGGTGCAGATAGAAAGTCTCTCGTCTGCAAGGAAGAGGAAACTGCTACAGTATCTGGAGGAGTATGAACCTTTCTGCTGCTTTCTGCTGCTACAGCGTTGCTTCCACCTCCGGTTATTGATGCTGAAGACACCTGACCTGAGGAGCAGCAAGCTTGGGTAGCCGCCTCAAGAGCTGCGCGAGCGACTGAGCGCATTGCGACGATTTAAAACTCCAGCCCAGCTATCCAGCCCAGCTATACCTCCAGAACAGGCAGAATGAAAGTATCTTCAACGGCGAGAAAGCCTCTTTTACCAGACGGATATTGTTGGAAGATATTCTTCGGGTCAAAAAACTTGGCAGTATCTTACTTAAAAAACCAACCCTTGCGAGTACAGCTTCTGTGTGAAAGCGTCTTACCAGCGGGGTGTCGTGCCCCTGTGTGTATCCGCACGGGCTAACCTCGAGCGCGAGTCGGTGGACGTTCCCCGGGGTCGCTAACACGATCGCGATGTCGACGGCCGTGGTTCCAATGGACGGCGCGCGCCAGTACTGGCCCGGAGACTGCACGCTGGGACTGGCGAGGAAGGACTCCGCCGGGGCTGAGCCTTCGGCAGTCGGAACCTGGTCAAACAAACGCGTCACAAAAAAAGTTAAAGGATGGTAACGAGAGAATTTGGGGGAGAATTATTGTCGAAGAAGCAAGTGAGATAGGCGTGAACTTTTGGTCTAAGGCGGGGCCAAAGCTGCGGCAGCCGGACTCAGAATAAGCAAAAGGTAAAGCAGAGGGTCAGCTTTATCTTGGAGCTTTTAGGGATTCGGCTTGCACGACTCGGCCTTCCCTCTACAGCATTGAATCGAAAGGCATGCTTGTCAAACGAAGCCCTCTGTTCATTGCTCACAAAGCGTTGATCTCTAGATCTCAAACCCAGATAGGCACCCGGTGTCAAAAGCACAGTGGACGGCTGCTAGACTAAATTGAAAGACTTCAAAACTCCAAGCAGAGGATCTTTCTCACCGCAAAGAGCAGCCCGGCATATGGATACTCCGCCAGTAAATCTCCCGCAAGGTTCGGCACCCCCGCAATTGCCACCCCCCTCCCGTCCCGCAAGTTCCCCTGGCCCGCTTCACACTCCACGGCACTGCCCGCGCTGAGGGAGTGTAAATGCGCCGCGGCCTGGGCCGCTTCTGTCTCTAGGCGGACCCTCCGCCTAGCCGCCGAGAGCTTCCGCACCCGGTCGATGAGGACCGCATCTCTCACGAGCGCCGGGCAGCATTTCTTGCACAGCGTTTGGTCCTGGAGGGGGGGTCCTTTCGGCTCGGCTTTTGTCCCCCCCTCGCGGGCTTCCGGCACCTCGACCCGCACTTTGTTTTCCCTGTGCTTTTTCAGTAGCCCTGCTCCCGGCCCGACCAAACATGCAGCGCAGACTCTCTTCTCACACTCCTCGCACCGTTTCAGGGGGCTATTTCCGCCCTGTACCGCACCCCCCGCCGCCAAGCCCCCCCGTCCGACCTCGCACTCCCTACTCAAGCACCCCTGAAGCTTGATCAGGTCGATCTCAACGCTCGGGTTAGCCAAACCTTCTGGAACGGTTATCCCCAAACCCTGGTCGGCGAAGGCGGCAACCTCCCTGTCTTCCTGTGCCACGCGGACAAGTGTCGCTAGCTGGTTGGCCGCCACTCGGAGCGGGACCAATTCCGTCACCGTCAGTGTTCGGTTCGGGTCGAGCAAAGCCGGATCGCGACCAACAGAGAGCAACGCTCGGTCCCGCTGTGCCGCCGACAAGCCCAGTCTCAACCTCGCAATGTCTAGTTCCATACAGACGCTAAATCGCACGGTTTGTTCGTTCCCCCCGACTTTCGCGACCAGCTGTAAGTACGATTCAACCGCCGCTCTTCCGCCATTCACGGGGGTCACCGGTGCGTTGCCTCGTTCCGGGGGGGTGGAGGACGGCAGGCCAGGCTGCCCCCCAGGCGAGCTGACACTGCTTTCGAGGACCCCGGACTTCGTAAGCTGCGTCGCGGGGTTGCCGTTGGATGTTGAAGCGGAAGTATGGATGGTTTCGGCGGGTACTGACTGCAGTGACACGCTTTCGAAAGGATCCGAGATAGGAGAGCTAGACGCCGGCAGAGGGGCGGCGAAAGGATCCCAAGTTGAGAACGGGTTTGCGTTGCTCAGCGGAAGAGGGGACCCGTTTGCAGTGGTTTCCGTTTTGGGCGCTGCAACCAACGGAACGACTCCGAACGGATCCCAGGCGTCGGTTACCGCAGGGCTGACAGCTGGCGGCGCGGCCGCAGGGGGGCCGTTTGGAGTGCCAGTCGGCTCCCCCACTGAGAGCAGATCCGTGAAGGAGTCTCCGGCAGGCAAGAGCCTCTGGCTCGTCTGCTGAGTGCTCGGAGGGGATCCCCCGAGCGCTTTCCCGACCAGCGAAGTCCCCAAGACTTCGACCGGCCCGAGCGTCATGCTGATCCCCGGGGCAGAGGGGTAGAAGGTGACGGTTACGAATCGGGTTAGGTAGTCAACCGCCCCTTCCGCTTCCTCGAAGTCGTAGAGGGAGGAGAACTGCTCCCCCGGGCGCTTCCCCCGGGCGCTTCCGGTTAGGGTTTTGTCCTCGGGGTTAACTAACCCGGGCAGGTTGTAGAGCAGCTGCGTGCCGTGGGCGCACTTGGGGATGCCAGCGCCCTGCCAAAATAAGCGGTGTAAGATAAGCGGTGTAAATCTGGTTGTATAAACGTCTTCGAAAGGTCTACTGTTTCCTACACCTCGCGGGAGCTTCTCTAAACCTCCCTCATTGACATTTCTGTTACGCCTCTTTTGTCTCGTGTCTGCAGAAGTATCACGTGTTCACCTCGCTGCGCCGTCTGTGCGCGGGTTCGAAGCACAGCAATCCAAAGCAAAGAAGCGAAGGACCTTAAGTCCCACTGCTCAATAACTGTCACCTCGACCCAAAAAGGCTCCGACCGAGGCCTCAAAAGACTTTTCCAGGGACCAAATCAATGGTCCTTGTGGGCTGATTTCCCCCTGTTGCCACGCTTCTCAAAAGAAGAAACTGCTACAAGCGTCGCGCCGAAACGAATTGAATGCTTTCGGACGCACCTCGAGCAGGACCTTCATAGCGTCCAGCGTCCGGCCCGCGCGCACGTCGAAGCTGCGGGGCACGGTTGAGTCGTCGGTGCCGTGCGCGACGCTGATGACGAGCTGGGACACGTGGCACGGCTCCGAGAGGAACACGTACACCTCCAGCACCTCCGCAGCCGAGGGGCAGACCTGCACGAGATAGAGACAGTCTCTGTGAGATGCTATTAGAATGAACGAGGATTGCGTGGAAAACTTTCGATGACAAAGGAGGAAGGAGTTGAGAAAGTACGAAGCAGTGACGCTGGTTCTCAATCGAGTGACAGGAGGTAGCCGAGGACTCGTTCTGACAGCGAGCACGTTAAATGACGAATTCGGGAACCAAAGACTCCAAACATTCCTGAATATCCTGGCAACAACCACGTCATCTGGCCAGGAATGTACGTGCACAGGAAGCGTGCCCTCTCTGCTCGGTCTACCAGCAGTCTTTTTACAGACGTTTTCTCACAGACGTTTCTTTCTCCTTCCTGCCCAAAAAGCAGACGTGATATGCGTCATCAAAGTCACGGTGTTTACAGGTTTCGAACAAACTCCCAAAACACAAAACCAAAAAACACGCACCCAGGACGCCCCCTTCGGCAGCCCCGTCAACAAGGCCTGCGCCGGGAACAGCGACGGGTACACCGCCGGGACTGGCTTCAGTATGCAGGCGTGAGGCCTTGTCAGGGCCTCGAGCGGCGAGTCGGGCTGAGAGGGCAAGTGCTTATGGCGGCGCAAGCCCAGAAACATCTCAAACTGCTTTTGGCGGGAGCTGTCGACGACCATGTTCATGTAGCGCCGCTGGAGCGTGATGGCGACGTTGGCGGCAGTGGATGACTTCTTCACCTTGGCGGCGTCCTGGAAGAGAAAGGGTTAAGAGGTTGGTTAGACTACAGGTTTTTGGGGTTTATACTTTCTACTTAGATGCACGACGGGCGTTGTCAAGAACCGTGTTCAAGGAGCGCCGCTGTAGCGCGATTGGCAACATTGGCAACGGTGGAAGACTTCTTGACGTTGGCGGTGTCCTGGAGGCGATTGTTTAAGAGCTTGGTTAGACCAGAGGTGACAAGTTCTTGGGTTGCATCGAACTTCCGACGACCATGTTCATGTAGCGCTGCAGGAGCATGATGGCCACGTTTTGTGCTGTTGAGGACGCAATAGCCTTGGCGGAATCCTGAGAGTTAAGAAAAGTGAGGAATTCGTAAGGTTACAGGGGCTTCGAGTTTCTAGGTAGGTGCAATCATGGAACTGCCAATCACCAAGTTCATGAAGCGCCGCTGCAGATGGCCATGTTTGGCAGTCAAGACTTTTAAACTTTGCGGCGTCCTGGGTTGAGATTCGGCTGCTTTTCAATAAGACCACAGGTCATTGAGGTTCAAGGTTTCTAATTCGAAGATTCGAAGCACAGTGCTTATTGTGACCACCGTCGCCAAGCGCCGCCGGCGTTTTACACACAGAACATCGATGAAACACGGATGTTGTCAAACCATGTCAAGAAAAAGCAGAGCCGTTTGAAGAAAAGCCCTGAGTGTTGAATGGACCAAGAGAGGGCACGCTCTGCATCCAAAAGAGGTGCCTAGGAACTCAACGGAGGAGCTCGCAACCCTTACCTCGGAGAAGATGTGCAGTATGTGGCTGTGCATCGCCTTGCTCCCCGAGTAGAGCGACGCGTGGATGTCCCCCGCAATCATGAACATGTCGCTCATCGCCTCCAGCGGCGCAGACAGCGTCGCGCCCTTCACCTCCTCGAAGCCCAGGCCGAAGCGGCTCCAGCTGCGGTTCCCTGGATCCAGAAAAGCTTTGACTTAAGTCTTCTAGAGTTTTAGGGCTTCAGGGTCTTAGGGCAAACTTGCGGACTTCATTTGTGACCTCCTCGAAGCCCAGGCCGAAGCGGCTCCAAGTGCAATTCCCGGGATCGAAAAGCCACGGTTGTTCAAAATCTAAAAACTATAGGCGTAACCCGAAGATGAGATAAGATTGCGGAACTTAGTGGCACTGCCTCCCAGCTCAGGTCAAAGTCGCTCCAGCTGCAATTCTCTGGATTCAGAAAAGCACGGCTCAGACAAAAGAACGATACTTGTAGGAAGAGAGTGGTAGCTGGCGGAAATGTGGTAAGATCAGACGGACATCCAAATAGAAAGCCCAGATGACGGCAAATTACTTGATTCGGCATAACGGACAGGAACTGCGGCTGTGGATTCGCAATGAAAGGTAACAGACGACGTTATATGCTTGCTCCTAATCCTTGGTCCTCACCTGCATACAGAAACCGAGCCGAATCAAGAAGCAAAAACATTTTTTCAAAGCTGAAAGTCTCCCGGCAACAATGACTAGCCAGATTGCTGACCATCCGCTGAACCCACTGATCGGAGAGAATCCAAGCTAAGAGAAGAACGAACCGTCACTCACTTGCCGGGCTGTCCGACCTGTCTCCCTCGGCCACTCCCCTCGGCTTCACATGCGCTTCCGGCAGCGGCGACGCTGGGATCAAGTTCGGGTGGTCCCAGGTCGTCTTCCGCGTATTGTGGTCGATGTAAAAGGCCTTGTTTGTGGTGGGGTCTTTGCGCTTCTCCCACCCCGGTGGAAGCGGCCCCTCGATAAGCCGTGGGCGGTTTTGGGTGCTCAGCGGTTGGGCGTCGAGGTCGTATGAGCTCCCGGTGGACGTGGTGAGGCTGGCGCTGACGTCGATGCTGAGGCCCAGCAGCCGGCACTGCTCCGAGAGGGCCTGAATGCGGATGTCGAGATACTTTAGGAACAGTAGGCTCAAACCAAAAACGAGAATTCTAACCTTCAAGAGTTACCTGCTCCGCACCCGTACACACCCTAAACCCCCCACTTAACCCTACCCGTCCTAGGCTGGTGAGCTTACTATTCCTAAGGCTTGCGATTCCTAAAGTATCATTGCTTTGAATGAGGGGAGGAAGGCGTTTGGCAAAGCTTTTGTGAAGATCTTGACGGTCGAGCAGAGGTGACGTGAAGATGCAAAGCAGAGCCTTTTGTCAGATTTTGACAGTTCTGAAGTTGATCGAAACGTAGTCCCACGTATGCCGATTCACCGTAAACCGACGTATGATCGTGACAAAGTTTAGACAAGAGGGTTCTTGTCAAAGGAAGTAGCAATCTTCCCATCAGCAATCAGGGGTTCACATAGCGAGCCACTTGTAATACTTTTGATATAGCCGCCCCTAAAGGAAGTCACCATGACGTCTGTGTAGAATTCCGCCTTGACACATGGGGAAAACTTCTCTCACGATCAGATCGACTGCCAACCCGCCAAAACCTTTTCTACAATAGAAAGTCGCCTGACCCCTCTCACCTGTACTGCTCCAAAGAAGGACGCTGCGTTCGTCCGGTCCAGCGAGTCCGCACAATTGTACCGCACCACTCCGCTCTGCCTCACGTTCGTTTTGTACACCCCAGCTCCCAGCCCGGCGTTTCTCACCACTCCGGGGGGCAGGTTTCCCACGCCGTTCTCGCCCCCCGGAGGGCGCCACTCCCCGAGGCCGACCCCGATGTCGGTCATCGGGTTACGGAGCAGGTTCCACAAACCCTCGATGGTTTTGGGCTCGCCGATCGCTTTCGTGGTGGCGTGCCAGTCGTAGTTGACGACGGTGACGATCGAATCGGACGACTGGCGTGCGTCGCGGAGTTCCGCGGCCATGGATTGGAAGGCCTCGGCTAAAGGCTGGAGCAGAAAACGACACGCCATCAGCGGTTGGAACATAAATTTGAGCTTTACGATTGAGGTATGTGAGGAAACAACGACAGAGAGGGAATGCCAAAAGCATTTTAGAACCAGACAATTGCCGTCACAAGTCTGATCACCAAGTACAACTGTTTCCCGTTTCCAACGCTTGGGCTCTTTTGTCTGTAGGAAGTCAAAGTAAGGGTTTTGGAATTTGCGGAAATGTCTCAAGCAGGACTGTCAACCTGATACGACGAGTAGCGAAGGACATTAGAGCAGAAACATCAGGAGCGTCCCAGCGAATCTGGACAGTGTTCTGGAGTTCATCCGCAGCCTACAGTGGCACAACAACGAGGAGCTCGACTCTGAGATCCTTGTTCCCACCTCTTCAAAGTCTTCAAGTGACAATCGACGAATTAGGAACGAGCTCAAAACGACACCAACACCCTTCGAGCCCACGAAAGCTCCACACCGAAACCTCGGACCCAAGTCGAACCCCTCACCAGCTCTGGCTTCCCCGGCTGCGTTCTCAACAGGTTCACACACACGATCGGTGTGGCCCGCGCCTTCCCGTCCGCCGCGCTCCTCCCGTCCCCCTTATACCTCCTCTCCAGCCGCTTATAGTACCTGCCGGACCCCTCAAACGCCCGTTCCTCGCACACATAGAGCTCCGCCTCGGCCATGGTCGACTTGATCTCCGCCCCCCACCAGATCGGAACGGTGCCCCGCCGCCATAGGTATACCGAAAACGGAACGGGCTTTCCCGGCGACTGGCCGGCCGGAAAGACGAGCTGCTCGCACTCTATTTCGTTGCCCGTGCTCGCGGCCGGGTTGAGCCCCCGGGCGAGGTAACGGGTGCCCGGGTGGAGGCGGCTGCGGCGCGCGATGAGGGAGACAATGGCCTGCCGGCCGGAGGAGTCGGGGAAGGTGCGACTCTCGGCAACGCCCTGCAAGCCAGGAGAGGCATGTGCCCTGGTGAATGGACTGCAAACGCCGGGGGGAGGTGCAACACCGAAACTTTCCTGGCTTTGGAGAGGCTACTGAACAGAGATCGCTTGAGAGAAACGCAGGATTCCTACTTAGTACGCTACGTGGTGCAGAAACGCAAGATTTCAAAGTTAGGTATTGCACGGCAAAGAGACGTCTCCTTTCAGCTTTACGCAACATCTGCTCCCTCTCTGCTTATCCTTTGATGATAAGAAATACGTTGCTGCCAGCCTTCGCATCAACAAGCAAACAATCATCAATTCCTCCGCATACCTTTTAATACTCTTGACCAAGTCGCTCTTGGCCGTGCTGATCAGCACCCAAACAAACCGAGCGAAGATCACAAACGCAATCACCCACCTGCATCAGAACCACACAGTGCGAAGGCAGCCCGATCCGCTTGAACGGAGCCGCCAGCCACTCATTCCATACATACTCCCGGTCCGGCTCCCCCACCGGCGCCCCGCTCGGGAACGGCCGCGTCAGATCACGCGTTTCGCAGAAGTAATGACACCCGTCAATCGCCGTCTCAGTCAATTCTGTGATGTTCTTCAGCTCAGAGGCCGGCTGCGGCTGGGGGCTTCTCAGGGGAATCTTCTTCCATTGGCTGTCGGTCACGAGCTGCACCGAGTCCCCCCCTGGGAGTGACGCGATTGAGACGCGGGTCTTGGTGGCAACTAGGATGAGGGCGAACTGGCCGACAGCGGCGTAGCCAAGAATGGCCCTCCCCTCGATGCGAGATTTGACAAGGGTGCGGCCTCCGGATGTGACGGCGTGAATGGCGTCTGGTTCGGAGGGGAATTGGTCGACGCCCCAGCGGCCAGTGAAACGAAGGGACCCACTGGTGGGGTCAATGGCGATGACCTGGCATGGATGGATCTTACGTCAGAAGAACATAGATGAGAGTGACGGCAAAGGGCCCAAGAGCAGGGCCAGATGACAATCTGGCGGAAGGACCTTTTGAGCATACAAGTATGGTGGGGTCATTACATTGACGTTGTGCAGCGGGTTTCAACCAGTGTGCTGTTCTGCAGGGATTGACGGACAATTGAGACCCTGTTGTCTACTTGATTAAGCAGAGGAACAAGTCCAGCAATGCTGAGCTGTAGCATCCCGCAATCTCTTGATAGTGAGTGACCAAAAGGACACTGGCCAAGTACCTTTAGCTTGATTCTCAATCAGCTCGATCCTGAATCAGCTCATTCTCGATTCATCAAAGTCTAGGTGCTATGCAAACACGATCATCATTTGCACTTCGTCGTGACGACCTTGTGAACATGCAGGCTTGGATTGATCCCACTAGGCGTTGGCGGTAAAACTAAGGAGTGTCCGAGAATGCTGATGCGCGCTTGATCGGAAGGACTGACCTGCGTGTCCTGTCTTGTAGACAAGCTGGTGACGATGTAATTGTCCCCACTCTCGAGCTCAAGCACAAGGATATGTGTGCCCCGTGAGAGATACCCTGAAGGAGTAGAGTGCAATTTAGAGAGATATCATATCTAAGATCTCGGATCCTTCATGCTCTGCGGCAGCTTGTAGTGGGAAGAGGTGTGCTGTATGGCAGTGATAAAGGACCTCCATTGAGCACTCAGCAGTCATACATCAGAAGATCCAGTATAGACCTCCTATGATTCTGCACCTGTCAGCAATCTGACACCTTCGTCCTCCCATCTTTCTGAGGCTGGGCGCACCACCTGCATCACTTATCCAAGCCCCGGAAACCAATTGGAGACTGTTGTTCATCTTCTCGATCCATTTCAATCATGATGGAACGTGTCAACGCAACCATGCAGCACCAATTGAACCAAAAGCCTTCCATCGACCAAAATCGTTCTTATCGAGATTTTCCAGTTTAACCCATGCAATGCGTACCACAGGCGCCAACACAGGAGACTTCTAAATCAATAAGCAATCAATGACACCTGCAACAAAATCCAATTGGCTGATGTATTCCAGTTTAGGCTGTAATTTGAGATGCCGCTGGCAAATTTCACATAATAGGAAGTTTCGCAACCATGCACTAGATTCCTAGGGCTGGAAATCGATACAATCCAAGAATATAAACTTTTGCGACATGTGAGCATAAGCCTATTCCGGAGGAAACAGAGCTATTGAAAGATCGCTCACTTGCACGCTCCGCCATTTTTGAGACCCCACAAAGCGCTTGCTCTCTTGACGGTCAGCAGATTGTCTCAATAGACTCTTTTTCCAGACGAAGGGTTGCCCTTATCAACCCAGCCCTGGAGGCTGCTAATGCAGCCCTGCTTTGGCCATTCTAAGGCAACCTTGGCTCAACTGCGGCTCCGCCGCGACGGTCTTTGCCTAGTGATTGATCAGAAGTTTCAAGCCTCCAGGCTCCAGGTGAAGACAAGCTTTCAGCAGCCAAAGTGGCGAGCACCGTCCAGATGAGGCGCCATGGAAAGCAAGAACGTGAAAAAACACACAATTCTCAATTGAAGCGATCCCTCCATGCAGCGCCCTGGGCCTGAGCTGGGACGGAGTTGACTCGCAAGATTGGTACCTGGACTCACAAGGTACGCACCTCCGGCCAGATCTGACCCTAGACTAGATGAACATACGACGACAGCACATTTGGCCGTCGAAGATCTGCGCCTCGAACTCTCGAGTCTAGACCCATTACTACCTCATACATGCCTAGTCCCCATATTAGCTCTTTCAGTGAAACAAAATAGCCTCTTATATGTATCACTACACGGTATAGTGTTGATAGCATACCGGGCTCCTGACAAACCCTAACTTTTCTTGAAGTCATGTTTGCAGCAAGCAAAGAAGCAACTTGGAAGTTCAAGTTGAAGGCAGCTCGGCCTAGCCAGCTTCTCAGTTCTCTGCGAGCCGCATGGCTACATGCCAGCACCGAGCTCCATGTCAGCTTACGAGCACAGCGGCCTTGTGCCGGTTTGGATGCCGTCGCTAGGGGTCTGCGGGGCAGTTCCGGCGCCTGCAAGCGCAAGGAACGATGTGGAGCGGCCTGAAGGTAAGCGGCGGAAAACATATCAATCGCAACGTTCTCCATCGCTGTGGTCGCTCGATCCTTCTGACTTATAGATGCCACGAGCAGTAAGATCGTGCTGATGTCAGAAGGTGTGCTATTGTAGAAGAGGTCTGATTTGTCAGCATTTCTTTTTGCCAAGCTCGATGTGTGGCAAATCCAATAGGGTTGTTGGGGTGCTTCATGTGTGATGGGGGTGGTGCTGATTTTGGCAGTAAGGCTTGGCATGCCTTATGCCTCCCGTGATTAAAAAAGGCTCACGCGTTCAGGGCTGTCTTTTGCCAGAGACTTGACCACATTTCTATATCGAGCTCCCACTTTTTTAGAGCTTGAACAATTGTCGTTGGCAGATGTGATAAAAATATTGCAGGACAATGCTTGTTCCTATGTTCGGTGTGTCAGCAGATTGTGTTCATGCTCAGAGTATAAGCTGCTTGGGTATCTGACACCTTAACACTTCGGTCGGTGGCATCGCGTACCACATAGAAACAGGCATGCCTTGTCTTTCCTGGAATTTTCACCACCTCAAACCTGCAGGTGCTCCTCGCATATCCCCTCACCCTAGTTCCTCCAGAAGGACTGCCCCCAGGCGCAGCGCTTCCTCAAGTCCGCACGTAATCCAGCTAGACTCCGACTCTGAGCAGTCGGCTCCTGGGGATTCACCTTACCGTCTACCAGGGGAGGGTCTCATCCATTTTGAGTCCCGAGAAGGGGATGCGCTCTCAGGGGAGACAAGTCCTGGTATGCAACAAGCAAGTTTCTCAACGAGGGAGGTAAGAGAAGCCGATCATGGATCTCCGGAAGGGGAGGGGGGTTTTGCACAACGAGCCAACAAGAAAAGAAAGTCGCGCTGGGACTTGCCGTCGGAGGGAGAAGAACAAACCGAACAGCCGAGGGCAAGGCGACGGCAAACAGAGGATTTGGAGGTCCTGGGGATGCAGTCAACTTGCCCCATCTGTCTAAATGACATCCCCCCGGAAGAGAAAGCCGTGCTAAAGAGCTGCATGCACGTGTTTTGTGTGGAATGCATACGCGCCTGGAGCGAGATCCGGCGGGTGTGTCCGCTCTGCAAGGGGGGTTTCACCGGCTGGTGGTACGACATCCAGGGGGAAGGGGCATCCAGAGAAGTGAGTCTGCCGCCGCCCCCTCAGAATGAGACGTCTGGCCGGTTGGAGAGAACCAGGGATCACTCCAACCGAGGGGCTTATCTTAATCAGGAAACGGAAGAGCGCTTCAACGCCCGGCCGTACTACCACCGGTTGCAACGGGGCTTGCAATCGGACAGGCGGAGGCCCCCCGGGGGTCCGAACCAGGCGCATGAGCGAGAGGATCAGGGGGGACGGAGGACACAACCGGCCCCACGCCAGAGGGTTTTCACACCAGAGCAAGACGGGACAGAGGAGCGTGCGCTGAGGTGGCGCAGGAGCATCTATGATCGGGGTTTGGAGGCGGTGGAGATTGGTGGACCGGTGGGTCGAGTTGGCAGGTCGCAGGTACGAAAGGGGCGGTGCAATCCCCTTCTTCGCAGGTTACGTTTTTTTTGACAGACGGTTGAGTGACAAGATGTATGCTCATGCCGGGAACACGTCTGGACCGTGGTACTGGTTCTAAGGCGGTTGAGCTGTTATTGTCGAAGGATTGCCGCCCAAACAACGCGCCCCGTATCTCTCGTGCATGTTGGGCATTGATGAACTTCATTTTTGTCATATCGGTTGTATGCCAGGAGTATTTCGGAGTGATCCGTTCGGATCCGTCTCACCGTCCTGAAAGTAGACAACGTGCTCTCATAGTTTCCGTTTCTCAAGTGTACACCGTGATCCAGGAGCTTTCTGCTGAACATATCTTACAAATGTTGAATCGCAAAAGTTCCTTGAAAATTGACATCCTGGCCGGTATGCCCAGGATCCGTTCCATAAGTTCAGGTTGGAGGACGTAAAAGCATGTTTGAGGAAACTTTTCAACTTTTCCAAGCTTTGCAGATATCTCCGGAGAGGTTATTGCTCATTGCCCTTGAAACCTTGCGAACCGGGTCTCAAATCTCAAGGAGCAGCCAATACATCCCAATCTTCAATCACAACGGATATTCTGAATCTTGGTTCCCGAGTTGGGTCTTCGTCACTGGCGTTGTCAAGGACAAAAACCAGCAAGGTTCGTTGGGCTCTCTTCAAGCCACTCACGAGATGGCTGTGGGAAAGAGTGCTTTTCTGTGCACGTTTAGGTGCTCAACAGGCGGCCGTATGGAAGAGACAATCAAAGCAATAGAGAATCCAGTCATCGACTAAAGCCTGTTAAGACGCCAACGTGAACACCCACAATCGCATTGACGATCTTCGGACTTCTCTCTGCAGGACGTCGCCCGAAGTCAGCGGCGCCTTGCCCCCTGGATCGAGCGCGAGCTGCGGGCGCTCCTGGGGGAGGCGGACCCCCTCGTTACGCAGCTCGTGACGTCACTCTGGAGGTCAGCAAGCGAGTTCGAGCTTGGGGGGAATGCCGGTGGAGAACCGGTGGCGCAGTTGGAACCGTTTCTCGGCGATCGTGCTGCGGCGTTCTGGCATGAGCTGAGGTACGATTTTCTTCTCGTCCGAGTGCTTTTGCTTCTTTCTGGAGTTGATTGAAATTAGTGCACGCCAAGTCGGACAGAGTGCGTTGCTCACGCAAGTTGGGGTCAGAAAGTCTCGGCAGTGCAGCTCGAGTTGGGATTTGTCGGTTTTCTTTGGCCGCCTTCGTTACAGTGTCCGAATCCACGGCTTGAAACGTTTTGGAGCTTTGCCCTCGCATCGAAGGACAACATTGCTCACCTCTTCTGTCGGCTCCTACAGCCCCCTGTCGTGTTAACGGCAAAACCTTGCTGCAATCCCTGCCAGTATGCCCACTGTGTCAAAGGCATGACCTTGTACTGACCTTGTACTCTCTGTGCCACGCTCTGAAATGTCTTTTCATTTTCCCTTTCTCAGGTGCTTCGCTTCGAGCCCCTTCACCATGCATACATACGACTGCGTTGCTCAGTACCGAAGGAGGCGTTCTCCCGAATCGGGGACTCCTCAATACTTCAGAGCAACCGCCTCGAGAGCCGGTTCCCACCATGAGCCACGTCCAGCTTCCACAAGCGGTGCGAATGGGCGGGGACGGGGAGCGCAACTAGAAAGGGTACGAAACGGCGCAGGTAGCGAAGCAGCACGCAGTCTAGAAAGCAGAAGCAGGAGCCTAGTTACCAACGACGGCACGCAGAGTTGTTTGACGGGGGAAGGTGAAAGCGGGGGGGCGCGAGAAAGGGCAGATACGTGTCAAGAACGGATGCCTTCATCTCGATCGCAGACGGCCCAAGATGCCAGGCGCTTTGACGATGCACGCTCTTTTACTTTCAGAGCGGAGCTGGCGAGCGGAGTGTCTCGAGCCGAGTCCCGAGGCGAACAGAAACTTGTTGGGGGTCTTTCTGACGCGTCAAAGCAAGCAGGAGGCAATATGGGGGATGGCGTAAAAAAGATTGCAGTCGTAGGTAGAGTCATAGCCACAGGGCACAGACCATCTCGTTCCAAGTTGATTTGACGACGTCTGATCCAAAGTCGGTGTAACCCTCTATGGGTAGGTCTGCAAAGCAGATTAGGTCAGGATGAAAGTTTCGTCTGGCGAGTGTGAGTTGAGAGTCATTCGATCTGCCTTTCTTTCATGCATCTGATCAAACTTCGAACAGAAGCAGGTGCAGTGCTGATCCTAGTGGGTACCATGCAGTGAGTGCAATACAACGGGCACAATAGCGGAAGCTGACCATGTCGTGTGATTCAAGCGTGGGAGCCACGGTCACTGTGTCCGACCATGCAGTATGCATGGACAGTCCGTCCCAAACTTCATGCCTACGCCCGCCGCAGGCCACCGAATTCATGTGATGCAAGCTCGATTAAACTCGTCCTCGACAGCAACTTAAAATCCACATAATATTCAGACCCGAGGCGGCTTCAATATTCGTCTCCGGCCCGGCCTGCGAGCGCGCGTGCGCAGGCGCGAGTCACTTCAAGTATACGCACTAACAAGGTGACAATGTTGAAATTTAACTAGTTAGAAAGCCATTCGAATGCATCCGATCAGTGGCCATGGCGTCGCGAATCGGTACTAACACTAATTGGATTACAGCGCAACATGATCTGTCCCAGAATTGGTACGTCAAGGCTCGCCGCGCCATCAAACTAGACATGAATTAGGGCACGGCAATTAATAAGTTAGCAACTGCATAGACCAACTTTTAGCTTGGTCAACGAAGACGTCCTCATGCTAAGCTAGAAACTGAGTGCATAAGCAGTTCGGACAATCGCAGAGGGCGCCGCGCCCACATACACAGGCCCCTAACTTTTGACTTGCGGATGAATGACGTGATGAGATCACAATCCAATATTGCATGATTCACAAGTAGTCGAATGTCAAGAGTGGTACATTTTACGGGTGAATGCAAGCAATTGAAGCATCTTTTTAAGTATCTGTAAGGGACCCTCAACACTCAATTGTAGTGAGGAACACTCAAAATGTACTGAGGAACTCAATCTTTGCGTTTTGCACTTTGTTTAAGCTGTCCATGACGACGCAGCTCTTTGAGGCGTTTGTGTCAAGCGGTTACCAATAATCAATGCGCAGTATCGCGTTAGCCTTTCTATATTTGACCCCACAGCTCGTGAGGAAACGGTCGATAAAATGGAGCGGCGGGCTGCTGCGGCTGTGCTCTTGTGCACGACATAATTAACCTGCTCTTTGACAAAAGCACCCAACAGAATGCGTTGGTATGCCCTAGACTGTCGCAACCAATCTGCCAATTGGTATGTTCAGTCCCATTATCATTCAAGCAACGAGCTCTGCCACAGTGAGTAGCAGTTTGGCCTCATATTGCTGCACCAAGTAGGCGCTCCGAAGGGCCATCCAAGAAAGCCCCGCTGCAGATACAATGTGCCAGCAAGTGTGCCTCAAGACGAAGTCACTTTGTGACTTTGACGACCGGCTCCATGCCAAGCATGACAACGCGACTGTGGACAGAATAGCGATTTTGATTTTCATGTCAAAGGTGGCCGCCGCGTGCAGGAAGGTGCGAACTGGGCCAGTAATCACTGCAAGGGCAAGCGAGAAGACCCTGTCAATCACATTCATGATACCATGGGGATAGCCCAACTCCCGGCAACACTGGTACTTCAAACATAAAAAATGGCACCTCCAGTTCAAAAGGTAGAGTCCTTTTCAAAACGTGGAAACCTTCAAGTAGAGAACGCGTTGGAAAGAGTCAAAAGCAACAGTCTGTTGACGAAAAAAACAGACAAGCTAGGTACTAAAGTTATCACTTTTACCGACACCTGGCCCAAGAGAAACCCAAAGCTCTCTGCTTGTATGCCCATGCCAGTGCCATACCAGTACATCAAATCACCTTCGCATGCACTGATGCACTCGTCGAGTGTACTTCCTTGGACATTCAACCGCACGCCAACCACCGTTGTCATCTCACCTTGCAACTTGCAAAAGTTTGTCCTCAACTCACCTGCCACAGTTGCGATGGTCCGGTCTGTCATGCACCACAGCTTGTTGTTCGGCTGCAGACTGTCCGCTTGGAGGCTGGTGAACGTGATCATCGAGAAGAGAGCCGTCATCGCCAGCTTCTTGGTGGCCCAGAAACACATGGCGGGGCCGAGGTATGCGAGCGAAGACGCGGCCACGATCGGCGAGAACACAATGACAAGCTCTGTGGCGCTCTCCCCCGTTCTGAGGAGGTGCCAGTGGTGACACAAGAAAGCTCGCGTCCGGTCAACCCTTTGCCCAACCCAATCAGAGGCCCGTTTGGCTGCGGCGAAGGGGAGTCGCCAGGGGCGGAACCGCCTGCGGGGTAAGAGAGCAATACGCTGGTCAGCCAAGCACGGGTCGTCCAACTTCTTTTTGAGGGGCTTCCCAAGCACAGGTCGTCCAACCTCTATTTGAGGGTGTGTTCAAGCCCGGGTCGTCCACCCTCTCTTTGAGAAATGATTTTATCTGCAGTCACAGGTTAAGCCGTATAGGGGGTGGCCTCGTCTGATGGATACCACTCTGATGGAGCCTGCCCCAACACGTTCTCCTCCCTCTATTGTGGCCTTAAGCCCATGCCTGTCCACCAAAAGAAGAGGAGTGAGCTAACAATAATCCATGAGATCTAACTGTTGTTGTTGTTGTTGTTGTCCGACGTTGTAGAAAGCAGTGAGCGTTGCGCATGTGAGAGCACTCCTCCTTAGTTTACAAAGGCGCTATTCCTAACACCAAGGACGAAAGAGTGAGCAAATTGGACTCCTTCGGCCAGGTGCGTTGGATGAGCAGTAGATGACTGCGGTGTCAACTCGTCTGCATTGCTTATGTCCTCTATGCATATTACCAAACAAGCTACTGCTGGCGCCTTGGCAGGAAGCAAGATGCTTTCACAGATCATCAGACAAAGACATGGATTCATCAGAAGCACAGGGACAAGTGCTAATTGCGATGACAGGCACAGGGTGCTTGAGTGCGCAAAGGACATTGTGCCTGACCAGGCTTTAGGCTTTAGGCTTTAGGCTTTAGGCTTTAGGCTTTAGGCTTTAGGCTTTAGGCTGATCTTCTTATCCTTTAAAAAAGCAGATCAGCATACCCTCTCGGTTCTTCTAACTCTCTCAAGAGGTGGAAGGTGTGTGTGTAGAAGCAGTTTTGAGAAGGCCGTCAAACAAGATGCCAATGTATGTATCACCAGGCTAACAACACCGTCAATAGCTCGTCTGATTGTCAAGGTCACTGACCTCCGTCGTATCAACCGCGTCGACGTTCTATTCACCTCCTCACTGCCAGCCCCTTCCTGAGCACCACTAGTTCCCGCCGCACTGATCTCCTCAATAGGAACTGCAAGACTATCCCGCTCACAAGTGGCAACATCTCCCAACAACACCAAGTTGCTTCCTGCTGATGAGGTGGCAACCTCTGACACATGGGATCTGGAAAGCTGGCTCAGGGGGACCGCCAGATCTTGCTCGAGGAACTCGGATCGGTCCGTACGGACTATCGTTATTGAGGGCGTCATGCTACCCTCAACTTGATCCCACCCGTCCACCCGGTCCGGCGCAACCTACCTGGTGCTCCCGCTTTGCAAGCAATGAATCGAGACAAGCCAGTGTTCTTCGCAACGAGGAGCAGCTGACTTTAGCTCGATTGTGATCTGCTCTCTTCTTCGCCAAAAAAGCCGTTGTGCTGCTTAATTGAAAGCCTTCGTAGAGCAGCACAGCCATATAAGGTGGTAAAGAAGCAAGCAAGGCGCTCCCCTCCCTCCTGATCCTCACACCCTTGAAAGCTTCTCGATCTGAACCAACGTTGAATGCAGCTGCAGCCTCAGGCTGCTACCACTGCAACTTGCAAGAAGGAACCGTCTTCCTAATTCGCATTGTTTGCAGGCTCATGACGGTAGACCCTACGGGTGCACGACCCCGCGGTCGCGCGAGTTTTCACTCTATGAAAATTTGTCGCACCGTAGACTGTAGACACTTAGCAGAATTCGATCAGACTTGGACAGATTCCAGTCTACGTTTCAGACCTGTAAGAAATGCGCCATTCCCCGGGTGAGCTAGTCAGACCATAGCATGAATGTTTTCGGCGGCAAGTCTGCCCGGTTGGACTCGCAGGCTTCAGAGTCAACCGAGCACTCTTTCAGGCCTAACAATCGCCCGGTGGATGGCTAGGTCTGGAAGGCCAACCGGGCAGGCCTAGCGCCGAAAACAGTCCTGCTATGGTCTGACAAGCTCACCCGGGGAAGGGCGCATTTCTTACAGGTCTGAAACGCAGACTGGAATCTGTCCAAGTCTGATCGAATTCTGCTAAGTGTCTACAGTCTACGGTGCGACAAATTTTCATAGAGTGAAAACTCGCGCGACCGCGGGGACCGCGTCCGGGTCCAATTTGAAGGTCGTGCACCCGTAGGGTCTACCGCTCATGACAATTAACGTCAGTTGAAATTTGTGGCAGTGGGCGGGGACAGACGTCCGGGGCATATTCAACCAACTTTGGCCCTAGGGACCCAATACTTTGGGTCGGGGCAGGGCCCCGAGCATTTCTGTAGCCACGTATCCAAGAATCTTGGAATCATATTGTTCTTCCTTGAATATTCCCGCGCGACCAGATATGTTTTACCCGGCTGCTCCACCCTGCATTGACACTAGGTATTGAAACTTGTCATCCGCAGACCTTATGGTTTTTGGTCTGGCCAAACTGTGTCAGCCATACAAGCCCGGTTGGTTTGGGAGTTTAAGTAGAGGTCCAGATTATATCACATGTCACATGGGTCACGTGGATCAGGTGGAGAATCTTGCCAATATTTATGGCTGCCGATCAATCGGACGGTTGATGATCTTTAAAACACAGAATAGACCGTCGATGGAAGTAACCATCATAAGCGTCCCGATCATGTGGAAGTTGGCCTGGTCGAGTACTTCGGCCTGCTGTACACTACTTCACGGCACCTGAAGCGGGCCACGGCTGCTACCTACGGTATTCTAGGTACCTAGAGTATGTATCTACCTACGTCAGATTGGCTCTACATATATGTTATACATGCCTATTCTCCCGTTGTGATGACCGTGATCCCTACTGCTGGCACCAGTACTGGCACAGCGCCGCACAGGTTCAGTGACGTCTGCGCGGCCGTACCTAGGTTATTACTGTAGGTAGAAGGGGTGCATTCTCAGCGCAGATATATATTCCCGCAGCCCTACATGGTAAATACACTGAACAGGAGGCCGTATGATAGGGACAAACTTTCATGGTAAGCAACAAGGAACTCAAGGTACAGGAGTCCGGGTACTGGGGTTAGTTTGGTGGTTAGGGTGGATTTGGTCATTTTGTCCTTAGGGTTTTAGTAGTGGTTAAACGAAGGAATTGAGTGCATTCAGTGGCTTAATATCCTTATTACCATGTTTATGGTTAGGTATGCCGTTTGAAGCAAAAGCTTTGCTTCTGAGTCGGGTCTGCACATTCACCGTAATGCCTGAACTTGACGTTAATTTACTTAGTCAAAGCTCTGCATCGTTGAGGGGCGCCTATTACAATGTTCAAAGCTCAAGCAGAACCATGGCCATTGAATCTAGTATCTGATTGAACATCAGGCTCACGCTACCTGCTGGAAAACCAGGATAGCTTCTCCTCTGGTACCTGAGATCTGTTGATTACGGCATGCCTCTCATGCAGATTCAGGTGCTCTTGAAAGTAGTTGACATGCTTCTCGAGCTCCTCACCTAGGTAGTTCTCGCAGGTCATTATAAGCGATGACGGGGCAGCTCCGATCAGCCTCCCGTTGGGTCTGCCCTCTCCTCCCCCTTCAACCTCTCCTCCTACTACTACTCGCCGCTTCTCTCCCGCCCGCCACCAGCATTTGCGAAGACGGCGTCACAACAGGTCTGGGCGGTCGTGGCTCCAGCACCTACAACACCATAACCTATTGCCCCCTCAACATCTCGTCCGGGGCCGACGCCAACATATTCCCCGTCAACAAAACCTGCACCAATGGCGCAATCCCCGACTGGTCGTTCCAGCTGATTGACGTCACCCCGGGGACGCCCTCCAAGTACACGTGGGGCTACATTTACCATGACAAATACCTCATGATTGGGGAGGACGTGTTGGGCGTATCGCCCGCTTACGCCTGGGTCGACGCTGACGTCAGCATCCAGCTGGCGCACATTGCGATCCACTGCTCCACATGGTTGAGTGGGCAGCCGCCCTGCTTGGCCAATGTCGCTCTCGTATTGGCGTGTCCGCTCGTGTCGGCTCCGGGTTCCACATACGGTCCGACTGCGCCGTCCGACGAGCCCGAATGGACGTGCGCAAAGTACCCCGAGCAATGCAAGGCTCTCGGAATCCCGAACGCCCCCCCTCCTCCGGCCCCTACCCCCCCAGCTTCTTTGTCCCCCCCTTCGAATACCGATACCCCTTCAGACTCGGGCTCAGACGACGGCAGCACCGACTCAACGGTTTTCCCTCCTCCTCCTCCGGGGGGTGGCGTCAGCACTTACTTCAACTACACGAAGCAGTTGGGGGGCCAGAGCGCCACCACCTCAGGGGGGTCCAGCTCAAAAAGCAAGAAGATCAGCGTCTGGATCATCGTCGGCGCGGTGATCGGGGGCTTGCTCGTGTTGATTATCATTGAGGAAGTTGTGCGGAACGCAAGGAACAAGCGGCTAGAGAAGAAGCGGATCGCTGCGGAGGAGGTGGTCGCAGCGCAGGCGGTTGTGGCGCCCCCGGTGCCGCCGTCAGGGGGACAAGCGGCGGCCGGGGCGAAACCGTCGGGGCTGCGGTCTCGGTCGGTGTCGCAGGTCGAGAAGGGGACGTACAAAGCAGGGGCTAGCTGAAACCTGCCAGGTGGGTTTGAAATAGCTTCGACTTTCGTCAGCTTTTCACTTTCGGAATTTTCTGATCCAAAGTTAGCTGGTTGCGAGCTCAACCATCTCTCGCAGGTTGAGAAGGAAACGTATGAAACGGCAGCTATTTGAGTTGCCAGGTGGGTCTCCTTGGAACGAATGTATTCCGTCATATTCCTCTTCGAGCTTTTCCGCTTCTAATGGGGTGCAGCATCAACATTCTCTCGCAGGCCGAATAAGGGACGCACAAACTGACGGCTTGTGGGTTTCGGAACGGAACGGAATAGAGTCCGTCAGCTTCTCAACTCGAAGGTTTCCGTCTCAGTCGCCAGTCACTTGCGAGCTTGAACCTTTTCTGTTCTTGAACATTTTCTGCAAATGGATAAATGCTGCTGGTGGGACAGAACAGGTGGCAACAGCTTACTCGCAGAACTTCACGGTAAGCTCTAAGCAGCTGCACGACTGAGTATATGGAGTTCGTCCTGAGAAAAGGCCGGTAATCATTCCTGAAGAGCGAACTAATTTTATTTGGGATTTCGATCTTACAATCAGCTCATTCTGATTACGCGCTTTGTGCTTCTGCCAAGTTAATGCATCGAGCCCCGCGTTCACAGCACAGCAAGGAGCGTTAGTGGCAGTCGGAGTGTGCAGATTAGATATTGGTAGCCCGCTTTTTGGGTTGCAAAACAACTTCGGGTTCAGGAGATGCGAAATTGGGCCATCAAGAATTGCCAACTTCAGCCGGTCAATCAATGATCTGAATTTTCAGCCCGTTCCAAAGACAACCGGCAACCTCACGAGATGAGATCCGTCGGCTCTGAAAGCAGAAGAAAAGGACGACTCATACTTGAGCATTAAAGAAACCAAAGTATATATGGCGCACACATAGAGCTCTTGCAACGGAGACAGTCTAGGGCTAGCAAGTTGACCTTTTCGCTTCATTTTGGTATCTTTGCAGGATTCCGGTCTTGAAGGAATCTAAGACAGGAACTCTGGCGGTCTGATTAGACCACTATGCGTTTAACACAACGCAGACACAGTACAAATTCTAAAATTGCGAACAGATCCTCTGCGACATTGAATATGCTGCGCAAGTGCAGAAAGCTCACAAAGCTTGTCGATATCATGCGCATAAAGTTCTGCGGGGCATTTTGATCAGTTTGTCGTCAGATACCTGGCGACAATTAAGTTTCTTCTTTAAACCACGTGTTTTTTAAGGAATCGCCACAGTAACATTTCTCGCCGAAACGTCATCGTCACCGAGTCTGCTCAATAAACGGAACACCGCATACGCCTTCGAGCATATGTCGACACTGCATGCTCAGTTCCTGAAATCGATTATGCTGGCCGGATCAATAAATGTAATTTACTACGGTACGGGCGCAAATCCACCGGCGCGTTTCAATCACTGGCATGACTACGTGTGTAACGTTTCCATTCCTCAGTACGTCATCACAAAACAGTGAGTCAAAATGCTCGGAAAAGTCATATATAACAGTCAGACAGATAGGTCTTACATAACAGCCCATGCATGCAAAGTCATATGGACCATGATGCTGCTGGACGTTGCTAGCTTCTTTGGCCGGGCGCGTCCGCTGACATTCAGCGAAGCATACACCTACAAACTACGGCTACTCATTGATGTCGATGTCCCGTCCATTCTGGATATCGAAAACAGAGATGGGTCTGAGTCTCATGAATCTTCTGGGCTCCAGGGAAGTCCAGCTCTATGCCAAACGCGGCCGCGTGTGATGCCTGCCAGTTGCGGTCTCGTTACAGAACCAACTGCTCCCGGTTGGAACAAGAGCGCTTTTCGTCACAAACCAAAGCTCGAACGGCATACAGATATCTCGGCCGCCGTTCGGAGGCGCTCAATTATGAAGATTGACTCGGATATACGTATTTTTAGGACCACGTCAAAATGCTTGACGTTCTCACAACACATTTTCGGACGCAATCTGCTTGACAGTTCTGCGCCCACTTAACGAGCGGACATTTCCCCAATTCCGATTTCGCTTTCGCCTTGAGCGATCTCAAGCGTGCGTTCCCATTGGAGGAATTCGTTCGCATCGACTCCGGCTTCAAAGCTGACGAGGCAATTCTGAACTCGCTCGGTAATATACCGTTTCTGAGCTTGCTTCCGTCGGGGCTTCCTGCTGGCGTCCGCTTCCGATATTCCGTCATAAATTCCACTGAGTAGCCGCAGCTTTACCCGCTAGGTTCCGCTGGGACTTTCCGCCGGGAGCCGCTTCCGCTGTATCTTCACAAAGGACGGATCCATCCGCTGAAGCCGCCGCTCCATCATCCTCAGCCCCTCTAAGTCCGTCTGGTGCACCCGCCGAAGCGCCCGGTGAATCTCCAACCGACGGGACGGCAGCCTGAGCGCCACCTCTTTCCAGATCCGGTTGACCGCCCCAGCCGGACTGGCCGGGTTGTCGTACTCAAAGAATGGTGCGACCTGCGGAAATAGCATGACACGCATCTATGAAACAGCTCAAAGGAGAAGTTTCCTGACACTGCCCACTTCTTGCCGCTGGAGTGTTTGCAATTCTATTGGTAGTAGATGATTCTCTGGCATCACACCGTCCGAAAAGCGGTCTACGTCCAGTGCGGGTAACGTAATCTCCTTCCGTGGATGAGAGGTTGAGCCATGGATAAAGGTTGTGACTTGTGGTCTGAGGAGGCAAAGTGAGGACCGCGGATGCAGAAAACTTGCGGAACCCGTGGAAGAGCAACTCAGGAATCATACTAACTAAGGATCCCGGCTGATCTTCTTGCTCTTCAGAGTACGGTTTGACTTATAAGCGGCGGCTTCGGAACTTTCGTGCCGTGTTGTTGACAAGAAAAGGACGCCAACTACGTGGGTAAGGAAGGAGTAACGATTTAGGCGATGCTTTTCAAGAAAGAACAAAGCGCCGTGAACCTCTTAGCAAGAGTGAAGTGCGTATCCCGTACAATCTGTGGCGCTCACACGAGAAGGTCCCAGGATCCTTCACCAGGAGCCTTAAAGTGTGCGTATGCACTTGCGAGTGCATCTCCAATCGGACGGCAAAAAAGCACGAGTTGGACCTATCGGACAATTCTCGCTTGCCCAACTTGTGCCGTCGTCACGCTTCGGCCACGCCGCCGGCGTGACGTCTACGCCCACTTTGACAAGTCCGCAGAATGGTCGATTTCTAGAGTCTCACCTCGTGCAGCCGCGCCCACATGCGCGCCCACATGCGCCGCGGGATACTCCGCAGGAACTCCGTCAGAACCCCGGGCGTCACCGCGTTCCGCGAGGCGACGAAGATGGCGAAGCCGCGGTAGTCGAGGTCGCCTTCAAATGGCAGCTCGATGGCGTCACTAACGATCACCGGGACGCAGTGGCTGAAGATCGCGTCGAAGAGCCGGTTGGAAGAAGGGGTGTCGCCGGCTGTGATTTGCGGGAAAGAAAGTTTTTGAAGATTCGACGACAGAAATCGATGCCTTACGACCGATCACCGGAACGCAGTGGATGAGGATTGCGTCGAAGAGCCGCTTGGAAGAGGGGGTGTCGCCCGCTGTGTTTTGCAGGGAGGAAAGGTGTTACAAGATGAAGCTTTAACGATGGAAACTCGAAGACCGTGATCATCGCAAATGGCACGCCGTGCCTCAAGATTCGGGAAGAGGCGGTTGGAAGAGCGGGGTCCAAAGTTGAGCTCTAGAGTCCAGGACTCGACCACACTGATTGATGCCAGGACTTGAGGATCTATGATAAGGGAATGCGTCGATGACAGCTGTGCGGTTTTCTTCAATTGTAAGCTCAAGTCATCGTACTGGAGAGTCGTCTCGTATCACAATCTCGAGAAGTAACTAAAAGCCCTCATCGGACTATTGACTGTTGCAACCCTTGGCCAGAGAGCCAGCGAGGGACAACAAAGCTCTGTGGATGCGTTCAGAATCTTGGCGTAGGTTCTGCCAAAGTTTCGGAGCCTTTACAAGAAAGCCTTAGGAAATCCGGTGCCCCGGAGCAACCGCTCCGCGCTGACGGTTCGCCAGGAAATCACGTGGGCGCAGTTTCGCGGCGGCATCTAGTCACGTCTCGGGAAATGTGTCTCGCCGGAGAGCCACGTGGGGGGGCGCCCTTTGTAACCGAGGACCCGAGCGCAGTTAGTAGATTCTGCGGAGACGCCATCTCTTCCCGAAAAACACAAGTGGCCCCACCGGTTCCAAAGCCCAGCACTGGTTCGCACGGCGCAAGAGAGACGCGGTACGTACCGGGGTGCAGGCAGAACCGCGCGCTGCGCATGCCCTCGGACGCCTCCCGGACGCCGTCCGCGTCCGTGCTGCCCTCCCGGACGATGACGTCAGGCTCATTCTTGAGCACGTTCAGGAGCAGCTCGCGCACCAGGCCGTCCTGCGCGCGCGGATCCGGGGCTTCTCAACGACTGAGCTTGGACGGTTGCAAACCTCCTCAGCACAAGCCATGACTAGAAAGCTGAACGTTTTCTCTCCAAGAAAGGCGTCTATCGTCGAACACATCAGGTCCGCGTCCCAAAGGCAACTGAACATCCACAGGAGCTTTTGGTTCTTAACCATCGATGGATATGACTGGTTGTGGGCTGCTTAAATAGTGATTCTTGTCTAGTCGGCCTTTGGGCCGTAACCAGCCTTGGGAAAAGGTGCAATCGCGGCTACATAAGAATCAACCTAGTGTGGCTCAGGTTCGTTGATCAGAGTGGTTAGCAGTCAAAGCTTCCTGTGATCACGCGCGGAAGCAGCACGAGGGCGTTCTGCACCCCGAGGAGTCTCACCGGGTTTGTCATCAACCTACGTCGGGTGTGGTATTTACCCAAAAAGTAAGAAACGCAAACTCGGCGGCCTCGAACGGGGCCCCCTAGCATCATACAGAATCAAAGGTTCCTAACCTGGATGTTTCCCGGTTTCTGACCAGGCTCGCAGCTCCCTCAGCTTCCAGATTGCCAGACGTCAGTTTAACGCGAAAAAGCCGAAGTGCCAGGCAGGATTTACTAGGTTCAAGAACCATTCGACCTGCTACAGGGTCGCCAGTAAAAGCAAAGACTTGGATGCGAAGCTTCGCTTTACGAAAATCAAAAACGAGACACGACGGTTGCTCAGCTGACATGCTACACTCTTTTCTACAGTAGTCACAACAGGCTCAAACTAATAACGAATGTAATACCAAAAGCTATACACAAACAGTTACTGCTTCGCACCTGAACCCCCTCATTAACCCAACCCGTCCTAGTATAAAGCTTCAAGTAATTTTGAACTCGTGTAGACACAAACATACTCACTCGCTTCCTGTAAAGGCTGCCTTGGAAGAAGAGCAGCGTCGTGCGCGCGCCCCACGCGCGCTCCTCGTCCACGTCATCCTCGTAGCGCGGCGCCATGTGCGCGTACGGCGCGATGACGTCCTTCGCCAGGTTCGCCTCCTCGGGGGGGTACCGTGCAAAGTCCGCGAGCACCCACATCGCCGCCGACAGCTGTACAGGAATGAGTGACGTCAGCATAATCAGGAGGTTGACGTCATGTAAACAGAGCTGCTCCATCTTGGATTCGCCTCCTCGTGGGGGTATCTCGCAAAGTCCGCGAGCACCCACATCGCCGCAGACAGCTGTACGGGGAGTCAAGACGTCAGCAGAACTCGCTGTGGACGCTTGCTAAAGTGTTTTTTGTCTAATGATCGTGAAGTAGGAGAACTGAAAGTACCGTCGTCTCCTCGGGGGTACCGCGCAAAGTCCGCGAGCACCCACATCGCGGCCGACAGCTGCAAAGCAGTCGCTGACATCCGCGCATTCATCAGCCCTTTCTGCGTACTGACGTCAGACGTTGGATTCCGTCAAGGATCTACCATTTGAATCGAAGTGCGCGACTCTGAGCGAAAACCCTTATGACCGACGAGCCTAACGGGATTAATCGACGTCAGCAACTTTTGCAGACGAACGAAGAAAACAAAAGTTGGGAATGAGATTGTTCAAGTCCCCTTCTGATCTTCGAGCTTGACTGGCAACAACCCATAACGCGAGCCGAAGATTAGTAGGGTTGGCGAACACGACGAAAGTCGCATCATCCTCCTCGAAAAGGAGGCGTGTCTCCATTCCAGTGGCTCCTTCTGGGGAAACGGCACAAGATGAACGCGAGCGTTTGTATGAAGGATGGCAACTTTCAACGGGAATGACAACAGTTCGTAATTGCAGACTGGGCGAAAAAAAGAATCCCTCCTCCTCAACCGCGCACACCTCCCCACCGAAGATCTCTATACAACGGGCTTCTCATATGCGCAGAGTTTTGGGCAATTCGTTTGGTTGACTAGCTGGGAAGAAGCTGAGTCACACAGTGTGCTGATCTGAAATGGAATCTTTTCGCACCGTGCATCCTCACCCTGCTTCGGAGAGCCGCCATGGGTTAGGCCGAGTGGGTTAGGCCGAGCAGCTGATCTCAAAAGGAACACTGAAGTGGGTTAGGCCGGGCAGCTGATCTCAAAAGGAACATGCGATCCCGGGGGACGTATTCCCACCCCGGTCCGAGGGCCGGGTGGCGTGGCTGAGGAGAAGAAGGTCAATGCAGAAAGGTTTGTTTTGCCCCGGGGAGCGTATTCTCACCCTGCTTCGGAGGGCCGCCATGGCGTTTGGATGGTGTAGTACGAGCAGGTGGTCCCGGCCCCCCGACCGCTTCCACAGCTCTTGCGACAGCAGCCAGTCCACCAACTCTTGCTGCGCCACAGGATCATTAAGAATCGTTAGTCAGTACGAAACTGTTGCCAGCCCTAATTGTTGATGACTAGTTAGTTATCGGTTGATCACTTCAAAGGAGGAGTACGCTTCGAAGACTATCGCAACTGCAGCCAAAAGACCAACTCTTGTTGCACTTTCAGCGGCAATCGAGGTGAAAGTGATCTGGTATGGGCAGCCTTGGATGATCAATGTCGAGGTTACGTGTCTTTTGAGTGCCCACTTCGATTAAGGAGAGCGCTTCCAGGGCTCTTGCAACCGCAGCCAAATATCAGCTCTTGCTGGGCCCAGGAATGAAGGGACATGGCGCGAGGAATGGAAGGGAGCAACAGCCTGTCTTGGTCAACCCATAAGAACGTCCTTAGAGTCTTCAGACCTGGCAAAAGGGAAGCACTGAGGGCTGTTGCCTCTGCGGCCGATCGACGAGCTCGCGCTGGATCAAGCAAAAGGCAAACCTTCTCGGCGACTTCAACTCTGCTTGAGTAGTCCGTCAAAGGAGCCCGTGTATTTTGGCGCCAGCCTTTTCGCAGACCGGATCAACAACGTTGAAGAACCGGCAACGGCATTTTGACGGAAGTAACTGTCACAATTTCGCGTACCTGTAGCTCTAACTCTTGCGCGTACTCGCCTCGCGTTGGTATGTACACGTTGTACGCAAGACTCGCCCAGTACGGAACAAAGAAGACGTCCGCTTCTGACGGGTTGGTGACGCGGCGCACTACAGAACTCCCAGCTTCCTGTGATGGACAAAACGAACCGGTGACTTGAGGCGGGGTAAGTGGGTAGGATGCAGCTTGTATGAAGACGCTTCTTTGATGAAGTGGTCAGTCAAGCGGTTGGCTAGAGGCAAGTACATGTGTAAGGATGCGAGTAGTGTGAAGACGCTTCTCTGATGAAGTGGGCAGTCGCTTCACTTAAAGCACCTGCTACGATCTTATGGGTGGTAGTCATTGGTAGCAAATCTTTCCGCGCTTTTCTTAACAGATCTTCCCGAGTCAATTCTTCAATCAGGGGAATGCCTTGTTTTTCTCCTATGAATGATGAAAAAGAAGAGGAAAAAAATAAAGAGAAGAAGAAGAAGAAGAAGAAGACGAAGAAGAAAGAAAAAAAAGAAGAAGAAGAAACAACAAGCCCCTCAAGAAGAAGAGGTCGTCCGACTTACCTTGGCTGCCGGGTCCGTGAGCAAGTCGATCGTCAGCCAATACTCAGGGCTGTGCTGGTGACTCAGCCCCCCCTGATAGTCTGGAAATGGGGGCCCGTTCACACTGAACGGCTCAGACGCATTCACACCCAGCTCGACGGCCCGCTTCAGGAGGCCCCAGTTGAACTTTGCGGGTAGGTCGTACATGTAAACTCTCAACTCGGTGCGGAAAGGCTCGAAAGTGCGAATGCGTTCGATTCGGCTGGATGGATTTGATGGCGCGTTGCTAGGGGCTGCGGCATCTACGTTTGCGGTTAGATGTGCGTCAGCGTTTAAAAGGTGTTCTACGTTTAAATTGGTGATGTTTGACTCGCCCCGTGCCCCGTGAAGCGCTTGGGCATTATCGTGACCTGGGCTGGTTATGTCCTTAACTATGGAGGGTTTGGTTGTATCTACCGACTCTAGACTGGGGGCTGACTTATCTTGCCCGTTCGCCAACTCAAAATCACTATGTAAGTGTTCTTTGCCTTCTTCTAGAGTACGGCTTCTCTGTCCACCACCTTTGCTCCAGCTGATGCTTGACGAGGAGACCTTTCCATCACGCAAGTCGCTCCTTCCACTACCACCACCTCTATCAACGCTGCTGACATCCTGAGCGACGTCATTGCTCGAATCCCCCAGAAAAGTAGTGCGCAAACCCCGCTCGCCCGCTTCCAAATCACTGCCCACTGCCCCCTCCGCAGAAATCCCACCTGTTTGACTTTGCCCACCCCCAGCCAAAGTAACACGAAGCTCGCCTTTTTCCAGAAGCCCCCTTTTCCTCGAACTGGATTTACTTTCTCCCGCCACGTCAGACCTACTTGTATCAAAGTAGAGTAGCAGAACAAGTGTCAGTACCCCAGTCAAGATGCCCGCCACCCGTGCGAGCAAGCGCCGCTGCCCTGTGCCTCGAATGCGCGCTTTCGGTGACCTCATCAGCGACGCTTTCTGAGCTAAGCTCATGTGGGCGCCCGAGAGGAGGCCCGAGGAATGAGGGGCCATGAGAAGAGCTCGTCAATGCACCATTTCGCAGATAGGTCTATGACCGGTTTGGCTGATTGTTCTAGTCAATCGTCTAGCTTATGAACGACCACAAAGAGAGAGAGAGCTTAAAGCAGCTCGTACTTCTCCATTCGGGTGATCATTTTATCAAACGTCTACTTATGAATAACTAGAGTGTTGAGAGCTGACCATGAGCTGCTCACGACTCTCTTCCCCAATCAAATGAAGCTGAGTCCATTAATTTCAGTGGATGCACTCACAGACTCGCGTTGCAGCCGCTTCTGGTTCAAAAGAGGTGATCTAAAGTGACTCATATTTCAAGTTGATCAGGGCACGCAGATCAGAGCTCAGATCTCAATGGGAACCGTTGGATGAATACTGAGAGTTCTGGACAATCTAGCAAATAACAGAATCTGAGTCCCAGGGCCAGGGAGCCTTGGGGTCAGCTCAGCTGTATGATTGTGAAATTGGCTGAGACTCAGAGGCCTGCGGCGCTAAAGTTCGTTCCCGACGCCTGAAACTTGCTGTCCTACTCCAGCCCAGACAGGGAAAAGTATGTGAAAAGTTTGTTTCTACTAGATTCTAGGTACAGTAAGCCTCACTGCTTCAACCAGGTAAGACTGCCTTAATACTACCGCTTCTCCCGACTAATCTGCCAGTTTTACAGTAGTGTCATCTAAATCAGACTCATTCAACTCAGCTACAGACTGACTAAGTTACACTAATATTTTCACTAAAACTAGCAGGTTGCTCGGAAGAAGCTGTAACCACCGCCTATTTGCTGGGGCTGTTGGAACCTGGATCAGCAGATGCATGCGATCTGAACCGTCCGATCGCTTTCGTCAGTGGCGGGCCGTGAAGGAGACTTCGGGTGACGTCAGGTCGACGCCACCGATGGCAGCCAGCTCTGAGGGTGTCGTTCCACGGGCGGTGGTGGAAGTCAGAAAAATAAATAAATCATGTGGCTCTGAAGAGGCCGGAATTTGCCTGGAAGTTCGATATATTACCGATTTCCGGCCGCTCGTGGAATAGCTCGCCGGTGGAAGTGGCATTCAAAAAATGCGCACTTACTGCAGAATCCGACATGGCGCCCTCTCATTCG